GCAAATGACGAGACTTCAAACAGTTGCAGCATTGGACAATCAATTCAAGATCCTGGAGAAATAGAAATGGAGGAAGGCCAACGAGAAATAAACGATGATCAAAAAGATGTTAATGAGAGCCAATTGGATAAATCATTTCAATCGATTGAAAAAAATCCAATAGATTCCGAGGAAATGGATCAAGATCAAGATGAAAATTCTGCTAATCAAGATCAATCTATGAGTGAGAACATAGCGTTGGCTGATTCCGATGGAAAAGAAACTCAAGTGGATCTTGAAGCATTATTCGCACAAAATCCAAATGCTGCTCTGATTTACCTCAAAGAAAATAACCTTCTTGAATCCTACATGGCTAAAATCTCTACGAATAAGTAGCTCATTGTTACTAAGCAGCAAAAGTTGTCCTTGAAAGAAATTAATTTCTTTTTTCTTGTTTCCAAGTAAGAAATTTTTCCATTTAATCCAATCATTTACTGGTTACAAAAATTTATTTTTTACATTTTCAATCAATCAAACTAACCAATTATTACTGCCCAGAAAAAATTCAAACCAATCAAATTTTTTTGTTTAAATCCAATGATGATCTCAAAATTGGTTTTCTTTCCCCTCGAATCGGGTTACCTTCAAAAATCAAATAAATAGTCATTTTTGTTTTCTTGTAGAAACAGTTCAAATCCAAGTGAATTTTGTTCTTTTCAATTGTTTCTTATCTCTATTTGTGTTGGTTTCTATTTCTTTCTTATTATTGTTTGTCTAATTGAGTTGAATTTTTCCGAAACTTGTAATAATTGATATGCTCAGTCAAAGAGAAACAGTTTCAGTTTCTGGGAAAAGGTGCTCATCACGCTCAAATTCACAAATTGATTCAAGTGTACAAAAAATCCGTAAGAAAAGTGACCGTGCAAGTGTTTTCACCGATTCTCAACCTTCCACATCAAAAGAAAAACCAAAGAAAAATCTTGAAACAGAGATTTCTCAAGTATCTGCGGCTGATGGATTAAAGTCAGAAAAGCAAATTTTCAAAGAGTTGTGCTTAACTCGGAAACTCACAAGCGGAAAGGTCTATGGTGTTGTACTTCCGTTAGTGTTGGATTCTAGTTTGAAGCCATTCAAACAGCCAATTCTGATAAGATTCAATATCGATTTACTCAAAGAATTTGGATTTTCCTTACCATTCAATGCTTACATGAAAGAGAAAGAAAATTATTTTGAAATCAAATTCCAAGGAACCATTTTCACTGCTCAGATTATCGCTATTGGAGGTGAGTTTTTATGATATTTTCTTTTAAATCATCTTAATAATCCATAGTTGATTCAGACACTCCTCTAGATGTTAAAACTTGTCTTCGAAAGAATATGAAAGAGAATCCTACTTGGAGAAAGTTGAATTCAATAATTGGTAATGGTAATGGTGTGATGAATATTGTCCATAAACCCCTCAAGTCTGATACTGATTTTCCATCACAAAAAGTACTTGGTCCTTCAGCCCTTAAACAAATCTTTGGTTATTGTGAGCGGCAAGAAAAAAACAAAGAACAAATTCAAAAGAAAGGAAATTCACACTCAACGGGTTCACTTTCCAAAGAGAAGGAGAGTGAAGATTCTAATTGTGGTGATAAAGATCAACAGAGTATTTATGCTGACGAAAGTTCCAACCATCCTGAACCAAATATGAGAAACAACATGAAAAAAGCCACTGGAAAAGTTGAAATTATTAATGAAAGTCAACAGCCTAAAGTTCAAGTTGATACTACAGAAACTGAAACAAAGATTGAAAGATTGAAAGCAATCATTGAAGAAATCGACAGGAAAAAGATCACGCTTTCAGAAAGAGATACTACAGGATCTTTAATCTTCACAATTATCAAAGCGATTGAATGTATTGCTGATTCATTAGAGCTTAAGAATACACGATTTGAAAAGTCATCTTATATTGTACCTGAAAAGGATAAAACATATAAAGATCAAGATAAGGTAGTTCTCTTTCTCTCCTTCTTTTTATATGCTGTTTATACTTATTGGAAAATTTTCTAAAATCTTTCTCAGAATCAAATATTTATAGAAGGAACCATTCAACTTGATTTAAGCTCGTACGAGTTTGCCTTGCGAAACTCTCGCCCAGAGCAACCAGCATCTCTTGCTTATCAAATTGTCCATTTTTGTTTCCCAAAGCAATATTATTCAGAGGTTACGCTGGGTAAGAAATTCTTGAGCAATAAAGATATCGATCTTATTCTTAAGAAGAGAGAACAAGGAATCAAAGTCAAATTACCTTTACAGTATGTTTGGGGATTCAAAGATCCATATCAAAAACCCCTAGTAGGAGATTCTGATCAAGATCTTGGACTAGAGAGAATCAGAGCTTTCATAAGTAAGATATTGTAGAATCAAAGATATTGTAAAACATTCAAAAATCAAAATAAAATTCTGTTTATTCTGAATTGATTCTAGATCACATTTTCAGAAAATCTGAAATCTTTCGCTATTCACAAGAAATGGAATATAAAGTCAGGAATCGCATTTCCAAAGAAATAAGTTTCTTGAATTCAAAAAAAGTTTCAAGCAATTCAAGCGACGATGAATCCCATTCTGAAGAAATTGAAACTAGAAAAGACTCTCAAAGAGAGGAAGATAATTCCCATGGAAAGGACTCTGACGAAAAGATTATTAATGACAAAGATTCCGAAACAGATGAAGATGATCCTTGGAATATTTACTGTTTTGATCCATAAACTCTGATCCATTTATATAAGATTAAATTATTTTGATAAATATTTCTATTGACTTGTATACATATCTGACACACAAGATTAAAAACTTGAATCAAGAATCCGTTATTTTCGAAATTTTGATAAGACTTTTATCTTTATCTCATTTTTTGAGCAAAAACACTTCAAAATCGTTCAATGCCATGAACTCAAACTCCAGTTTTGATTCATAGATGAAACGAAATGAAGCTGATTTGAATTCACTTTTGAAATAAAAAATAATTATTTTGAATCATTTTTACTTCAAAAAGCTTCAAAATTTTTTGCTTCATTCATGATTCAAAATGGCTCCCCCGGAAAAATTTTTGAATCGGCGCCGATTCATCTCTGTTGATTGGGTTCTCCGACGTTAGAACTTTGTTTAATCCCTCTAATAATCTTTTTGTGTAAAATTTCAAGAGACAGTTTAATGTAATAAAATTTCCGATTTATATAACTTTCGTAGTATTTTAAATTAATTGCGACGTGCAAAATTTATAACCATTGGAAACGGGATTAATAAAAATGAAGTGATAGTTAAATGACAAGACGAAGGAATTGGATTAAGGACAAGAGAAAAATATTTTCTTTGTTTCGGCCTAGAAAGCACTTGAAGTAACGAAGTGCGTTGGTTCACATAGTAAGCCAGTTAAAGTACCGTAAATCCATCTGCACAACCAGTGCCTGGAAATTGACAATAATTGGCTGGAGTTTCAGTATTTATTCATTTCTGTTTTCATCCGTCGAAATTGTAAGTGTTAAAAAACAAAGACCTTTGACTTTCTAAAAACTTTCAATCTCCGTCATTCTCATGGGGCTTATTTCATTGTATCGATTTATTTCATGTACTGGTGCTGATTATAGCTATAGGGGTTGGTATCAATCCATTTATCAAGATTTTTCTCACTGATTTTGTGTGATACTTAAGATCAAGTTATGTAATCAGTAAATTGTTTGAGATTAAATTTCATGTCTATTCAATCTGATCCAAAATCGACATTATTGAGAAAATTCTCACAAATTGTTTGATAATATTGATAAATCATCTTGTCAATTATTCTCAAGTAATTTGCACGATGTTCGTTGATTATCATAAAAAAAGATTGTCATTGTTTCCTAACTCTTTTTGTTGTTATTAATACAATAAATAGCATAATTATTACAATAAGACCTCTGATCAAGAATTTGACAACCATCTTGAAAGCAATTGGCTGAAAATTGTGATCTAATTAATGGTTAGAATTGCCTTCCCATTGATGTGAAAACGTTTTGGATCTAAATCTACATCGGATAAATACTTTGGTCTTTTATTGCTTTTAAACGCTATGGGAACCGGACAGAGAACTGGGCACTTTTAAAGGTTAACATCCATCACCTAATAATTTGTCACAGCGAGAAAAGAAGAAAGAGAGAAAATTGTCCAGCCACATACTGCTTGACCATTACACTATCACCAAATGAAGTCGCCTAAGGGTAAAAATACCATAGAAGAAAATTTCTAAAATTGTTGACAATCAACTTGAAGATGCAAAAGAAACTGCTGATAAAAAGTGAAGCTCTGGTCATCGTCATGATTAGAATGACCAACATAGAAACGTGTGCATCCTATTTGTAGCAAAAGGATAAACAAATCAAGAGGAAGAGAATCCAAATAGGGACACATAAAGGACATTCAGATAAGCGGCAAGAAGGAAAAAAGAAAGAGAAATAGACAGAGAGGTTGGAAAAAGCAACGGATGACAAAGATGAGAAATTGTCAATTTCAAATTGACAATACAAGAAGAGAGAAGATGAAAAAAAGTTTATTCAAAAGGTAAAAATGGATAATCTCAGAAAAGCAAAAATGATTTGTAGTAATACTCACCCATCGCTCTATGGGTTTCCGGCTTAACCAGAAAGATTAATAAAATAAATGATCAACAATCAACTGAACAAATTCGAGATTACCGATCTCTCTCTTTTACATAAAGGTAAGGCCAAAGAAAAGGGATGATGACAAATATACCTGAAGGAGAGAGAGAAGATAAATGATGATAACAATGATTAAGCAAAGAGAAGAAAAAGTTTCCATTCTAAGTAAACATTTACCTGCGCAAGAAACGTTAACATTGAAAAAGTTAGAAAATTTTGTCAATAATTGTGATAATAATGAGAAACGATGATGATTTTAATCTTCATCTTTGGAAGATGAAGAGAAAGAGAGAAGAGAAAACGAGAGAGAAGAAGAAGAAGAGAGAGAGAGAGAGAGACGAGGAGGGAGATGATTTTCTTAAAGAGTCTTGAGTCCACATCGCGTTAACTTTTCTCTATGATAATTTTTTGCTTCTCCATTTCGAGGTTAACATTGATCTTGCCACTTAATTATTTTAAATGTTCGGTTAATTGTTGCTCTTCACTTTTAATTGTTACGAATTTGTGTTAATCAATTGATTATGGATCGTAGTCAATTCTGTGAATCGTTATAAGATCATCATCAATCTTCATTATGATGAAATATGATTAATATCTTTTTCCCCTTTTCTTCTGTAAATTGTTATTTCTTCTCTAATTTTCTCTTCTCAGATAACAATTAACACCATAATTAAATCTTTAATAACTTACAGTTTTAATCATCTCAGATATTCAAGGTAAATTGTTCCAATTGGAAAATAAAACCAAACAATTAACCAACTTTATGACTGATAAACTTTTAACTTTTCATTGCGACAACAACAATTCATCGGGATCATCGTATTCACTAATTCAGGACTAATTGTGTTTCTTTGTGATTTACTAATTGTGTTGCTCTTTTTTGGTGACAATTATAACCAGTGATTGTTATTTAGCCTATGAAACGGACAATCGATACATACAATACATAGAAAATAAAATGGCCTCTGAGACCGAAGAAAAAGACATTGAGAATAAGGTGGATTCTAAAAAGTCGGGTCGTCCTTTGAGGGTCAAGTTCATTCGTTATGGGGCGATCGCTGGGATTCTCGGAACTCTATTCGCTGCCCTTCAACCCTGGACCATAGAAAAAGTCATTAGTTCACAAATTAAAATCGACCCTTCGTTACCTGGTTATATGTTCTGGGAACGGGTTCCATTGCCGATCATCACTAAATTCAATTTATTTAACATTGAAAATCCTGATCAATTCTTGAAAGGAGGTAAATTAAAAGTTCGCGAGGTTGGACCTTTCGTATTATCGTAAGTAATTTAATTCACGACAATCGGATTAACATTTACATTGTTGGATTAACAATGTTCACTAATATCGTGCTATTAACTTTCAATAGTTTGATTGTCATCACTTTTTATTATAATCCTCACAATTGTTAATTGACATTCAGATTATCTTGTTGATAACTTAATTTCTCGCGATTGTTTGATTGTTTATCTAGTTTACAATCAATTTTACTTATCAACTTTGTTGATTGTATTACTTTATATTTCCAATTATTACAATTTGAAATTGATCTCTAATCAATTATCACTTCCAATATTTACTCTCAATTAATTAATGTGTTGATAATTAACAATTGACTAGCAAATTAAATACACTACACATTTATATTGCTAATTGAGTTGATTAAACTACTAGCAAATTGTCAACAATAAATATTTAGAATGAAAGTGTAAAAATGATAATTAACTTTTTTCCATTAGTAAAATTACCTCAACAATTAAGAAATATTATCCACAAACTGGACAATCAACTAGACTTGAATTTAACTAACAATTAAAGCTATTACATCACATTAAAATTAGTTTGATTGTGAAAAATTTAACCAACAAATTCAAAAGATAATCAATTGATTATTATTTTGCAAGAGTGAAATCATTTCCATCATCATAATCAATTCATAATTGAATAACAATCAATAAGCATTTCCAATGAAAATCAAATAAATGATTGTTAATCAATTACTATGAATATTTGATTATCTTTATTCAATGTCAATACAATGTAATATTTCAAGAGCCAATTAGCAAATCGTTTGAGAAATTAAATTCACAAAGACAAATAATCATTGTGATTTTGAGTCACGATTAACAATCGACCATTTGGTTGATGGTTCGGTCAAGTGTTGATAAGTAATCAAATTAATTTTCTAAATTGTTTGGTTAATCATTAGACAGGAAAGATGGAAAGAGGTAATTGAATTCAGTGATAAAACCGTCAAGTACTACGAATGGCGTAATTACACAATTCTTTACGAACAATCAAACGGGTCTTGGGATCAAGAGATCACAGTTCTTAATCCATTGGTCGCTTCGGTTGGTGCGATTATTGGAGATAAATTGGAACAGTTAATTCCCGTTCCGTTGGCTGTCAGTCCTTTCGTCTATTCAACTGTTTCCGCTCTTCTACTTGTCCATAGTCAGAACTTTTTCCTCAAGACTACACCTCGAAATCTAATTATTGGCCAACGAGTTAATCTACTGGACACAGTGACCACTCTAATTAAACCTCTTGAATTGTTGGGTGTTAAGGCTTCTGACTTAATTCCAACGGAAGATTTACCCAATAATACATTTGGACTAATTAACGGTAAAAATTTCACTCGAATGGGACCTTGGGAGGTTTACACAGGTATCGATGTACCAAAGGAAATGTATGCAGCCGCAGTTGGATTTAAAAACGAAAGGTAATTAACAGCTAATTAACTTAATTATTGTTCTTTATTAATAGCTTACCTCTTTTTTTTTTAATTTAACAGAAGAAAAATTAATCAATTATGATCATTTGATGACCTTAATCAGTTTACAAGTAAATTAACTAAATTAACTTGAAAGTTTTCATCTGATGAAAGTTAATAATCAACTCGATCATAATCATTATCCAACTACGATTCCCTTTTTTTTCTTGATTATTTCAATGTCAATCAGTGATCGATGAAATCGTGTCTTATATTTACACCAATGAATTTATCATGAAGATGATAATCATCATGATATAACATTAACCTCCTTTATCATCATCTCTATCTCTCTCTCTCATTTGCTTAACCTTGTTGTTCAGTTTTAAGATGATCATGATCATGATGAGTTTCTGAGTACGAAACTGAATTAAGTTTAATTTCAAGGTCGAATTGGAAATGATAGAAACTATTATTCATTATTATTATTCATATTATTGACTATTATCTACAGGGAATTAAGTTTAAATTGAGTGAACTCAGTTCTGTCTTTTTTTATTGTTTAACCATTTTCATGGTAAGTCAAATTAGATTGGAAATCGATGAGAAACTCAGTTAATCATCAATTTAAGGTAAACACAATTAACTCTTGACATAATTAAATTAAAATATCAGATGCACAGTTGACGTTAATTAGGTGAAAATCTCTCAAAAATTAATTATTTATCATTCTAGCCGAAAGTTAATACAATTAAAATTCAATTAGCGATTCAAATTAATCCGATTCTCTTATGAATTTTTCAAGGAGGAAATTTTTAGGAATCTTCAATCTGATAATAAATTATGTGTTTCCAATTAGCAGACACTAATCATAATCAATTGCTACTTTTAATTGTAGGTTAATGAAACGATGGGCTGGACCTGAATGTAATACCCCCAAGGGGACTGACGGAATTCAATTTCAACCCTTAATTAACAGGACAACTAAATTAACTGTGTTCGCCGGTGATATTTACAGGTGAGTTTGTTAAATTAATCAATAGCTTTTAATTGTTCAATCAACTTTCATTAAACTTTAGATCGGTTGATTTAACTTATGCTGAAGATGCTGATTACTTCGGGATTCCCGTTTACAAGTACGTTATTGGACCTGAAGTATTTGATCCGCCGAGTGTTAATCCCGACAATGCTTGTTATTGTGTCCATACTGGTAAAAAGAAATCACGATGTGAACACACTGGTATCCTCGATTGTACCGGTGGGTTTTCTGGGTCACCTTTTATTGTTACCAGGCCACATTTTCTTGACGCAGAACCAGAAATCCAGCGACAAGTTGAAGGTTTGTCGCCAGACCGAGAGAAACATGAATTTTACCTTCTCGTTAAGCCTGATCTTGGGGTACCTCTTTCGGCTAAAGGTCGATTACAGTTTAACCTTCGGGTTGAACGGGTTCCATTTCTTCGGGGTTTTAGTAATATTCGTGATACAATTGTTCCCCTGGGGTGGATTGAAGAAGGAGGTGATCTAGACGGTGCTTTGTATTATCTACTCAAGGGAGGTCTTATTGTCGCTCCAATGGTCACCACAGCGGGTTTCTATTCCGCTGCTATCGGTGGTTGGGCGGCTTTTATGGGCGGTCTTATTTACCTTGTTGCTCGTAAGGTAAGAAAGGTCAAATCACCTTCACTCGCTCCCATGTCCATAGTCCGTTTAGCCTTGTACATCAACCATCGATGTTGACACTTATTCACTCACATCCAACAAAGAAAACCACTTGATTTGAGTTGTTCTTGTAAATTGTTTTCCCTCCTTTTTAACTGCACAATAACAATCACCGCAATTATCACCATCATCATGATCATATTTCTCAAGATGATTAACTATTGTTTGTATTGATTGTTTACACTTTTCACGCTAAATTGTTGCACTGAAAAACACTCTCACTTAACATTTTGGATTCCAAGGTTATCGAAGTGATTAACAATCTATTTCGTAAATTGTTGATTCTTATTTTGTCAAATTATCAGTTGATTGTCACTTGAAAACGTACACAAGGCGTTTCTATTTTTATACTTAAATTAACAATTTAAATCATTGTGATTATGATACAAGACATAAAGACAATCAAACACTTCGAGAAAGTTTATTTTTGATTACATTTTTAATCATGAAAAGTAAATAGTTTTTCATGTGATAATCAACTTGTGACGACAATTAAATCAACCTTGTAAAGATTATGTTGATTTAATGAATCACAATTAAGCTTCCTGATTTGGTGTCAATTGATATACAAAATAGTAAATTTTATCACATTGTTTAACAATTGAAAATTTAACTTTTACATTTTTTTAATTGTAATTAACTGCATCTTGAACCTTATTTTATTTATAAAATCAACAATTTGTATTGATCCCTTGGCACAATTGAATGACAAAATTTTGATAATAATTTATAACTTTTTAATTGCTTGGTAATTAAAATGATTCACATTTGCACAAATTTCACCCAAAAATATACAATTAAATTCATTGATAACATAATACTCATATAATCTATCCAAACCATTGATATTAATAGTATGTAATCGGTTGATTGGAAAATTAATCAGCTAATTGTAATAATTATACAATTTGATTACAGTCTGGTAAAGGTAAAGTTGGAAATGCTGATAAATTGTTTGCACCTCGAATGTCGCCAACAAAAGAGGAATTAATCAAAGATTCTGGTAAAGTTGATCAAACGAAAATGTCTCTTAATCAACAACAATCAACTATGAATGGAGTTTTAGTTCCTCTTGATTATAATCAATCATCGGGGATGTTAAACAATACGTTGACATTGGTCAATGGGTCAGGTTATATTCCGTCAAGAGGAACAGGTCCAATTTCAATCATACCAGTAAACTCTCAAGAAATGTACACACCATCACCGGTAATTCAATTTTATCGACTTCCACCTCAAATGAATCAAAGTGGACAATTCGATCAGCTTTTATTGACCATACCCAATGGAAATATTGATGCAGGAGGAGGAGGTGGTGGTGGAGGTGGAACAGTGCCCAAAATAATGTGGACTGAGAGACAATCTAAGTCCGTAAAAGAAAGAACCGTAAAAGGCCGGGAAAAAATGACTCGAGGCCGAAGTTTACCTCCTCGAGAAAAGGCCAATCAACGATCGAAGAGAATTCAAGTGACCTCAAAGGAGACACAGGATAGGTTTGTCCAGGTAGATCGTGATATTAACGGCTTTCGGTATGCGGAAAAAGATGATATCATAAAGAGCTACTCGGCTTCTCAGAAAAATAATTTACTCGATAATGAGATAGTTTCTGATAGTTTAGATCAATTGAAAAATGATGATACCGATATAACTCTGATAGAAAATACGTATGCAAATATTCATGAAGATGAGAAAATTAGTGAAGAATCAGAGAAAATAACTTGAATAGAGAAAAAGCAAATTGATTCAAACGAGGTGAAAATAATTGTAGAAAACAATCAGTTAGAAATTGAAGAAAAAAGTCCATTAAAACAGTTAGAAGGTGTAAAAGATGATGGAGATGTTTACGATCCAGTTTCTAATGAAAAAGGCCTTGAGGCCAATGGAAAAGTTGAAAATCTTTATGATAACAGATCGCAATCGCCGAAAACGGAGCCAATCTTACAAAATGTATCAGCCAATCTTTTTGCCTCTTCTTCTCACATTTCTCGGTCCCTAATCGACATGGTAATCGTTGGGAATCAAACATCGGATGTGGAAAACAATCAATCCCCTGATAATGATACTGATAATTATTACGAAAATGTTGATGGTGATGATGTTTACCAACAGGACAACAAACGACCTTCACTAGGAGATGCTATTGCTCGTAGTGTTTCGGCCACTTTACCTGGAACATTTACTGTGGGTTCTAAGAAGAATAGCGAAAATCGATCAACTTACTCGGCAGTTTCACGATATCAATCAATTGACCCTCGTGAATCTGAAGATGATGAAGATGAAGTGACCCTTTTCGAAAGGAACTCAACAACAGAATCAGAAGCAGCAACACCTCAAAGCGGTAAGATTATGGTTCACATTCACCTTAATTCAATAATCTAAATATAAATAATTGTCTCAGATTTTCAGGGTGATTTCAAAAATTTGATTCTCTTTGATCACCAATCGCTTTGGAACTGTTAATTTGACTCACATTTATTGATTTGTTTCTTTTCCTCCAACAGGTTATGATACTACTGAGGAGAAACAAGAAGTAAAATCTTATTCAGCAAAGAGAGTTAACAACTTACCGGAAGTCGAGACACCAGAACGACTGGGAAGTCCATCATTTTCCGATGACTTTTCAATTGGATCACAAGCTTCTCGAACCTCTTCAGTTAAGAGTTTAATTCAACCTCGAAACAACAATAGACCAAGACGAGAACCAGAAGAGCCCAGAACAAAATCATCATGTCTTATATCTTAACTCAAAGACGATTTGAACTAAAAAAATGTAGAAAAGAAAATATTAATCTCTTATTAATTGATTAAATTGAGAATCAACTAAAATTAAATGAAGATGGTTTTATGATTAAATTTAATATACTGATCATTGAATTGAGATCTGCTGATTGAGGATCTCAAAAGCTAGGAAGACTAGGAAGTCCATCATTTTCCGATGACTTTTCAATTGGATCACAAGCTTCTCGAACCTCTTTAGTTAAGAGTTTAATTCAACCTCGAAGCAACAATAGATCAAGACGAGAACCAGAAAAGTCCAGAACAAAATCAGCGCGATAATCAAACGCTAGGTCACTATAAGGTATCGAATTTGGCACTTTGGCCTCGAATATCTTCCGTCTGGCTGATCAGAAATAAAATCAGACGATATTTTTGAGATGACGATGCAAAACTCTATGACCAATAAAAGTTGGGTCTAATTTTCTAGTTGCTGAGAAAATCGAGAAATTGAGAAAGTAAACTGAATAATTTAACCAATAACTCAAACAGAACTTAATCTAGATTTAATCTAAAACCAGACTTACTGCAACGTGTGACATCTTCATACTTTTAACAAACTTTCTGTCGAAAGTTCTTCTAATACAGTATTGAAAACGAATTCTAACTTGTTAAAAAAGTTTTTTGTTTTTTGGGGAAAATGAAATACATTTGAAAGAAGATTATTTTAATCACTCCCCAATGAATTAGTTTTTTTCTTTCTTTTGAAACATTAATTCTTTCCTAAAAGTATATGAATTCATTCTGATTTAACTGTAATTTCTAATAAAGCAAAAATAGTTGAAACATGATTTATTAAAGTTTGAATTGCTTGAAAGTTTTTTAATGAGCCCATAGAGGTGAAAAGACCAATACAAGAATATTCATTTTGAAGTATTGTGATCATCAGATTCTGATGTTGGAAACCCTTGAACCAAGATGAAAGATTAAATATTAAAGATAAAATAAGCCTCATGAGAGTTATCAAGAACGAGAAATAATCGAAATTTATTGGTTGATCTAAGTTCTTGAGCATCAGAAACATAACCACAACCAGCACCGGCAGAAGCATAATCAAAGCCATAGCCCATGAGGAAGAAGGAAAGAAAGAAATTTATTAGTGGATCAAAGTCATTGCACCAGTATTAGAAGCCGGAACCTGGGAAGAAAGGTTGCTGATGCCGTTGGGAAGAGCACTTAAATTGGGCGTAACATTTTGTACAAGATTTGATACTTCTGAAGAAACCATTGAACTTACATTCAATGACGCAAGGTTTGTGACTGAGCTAGAAAAATCACGTAGATCAGCCGACCCAGCACCACCAGGACCAGCACCAGAACCGAAGTCAGAATTGTAAGGATAATCATAATCATAATCCTGACCAGCACCAGCACCAGCACCACCAGCACCAGAACCAGCACCGATCCGCTAACCCAGCCTGGGCCAGAACCATAACCGAAACCAGCACCAGTACCCGGTCCGCTACCCCAGCCTGGGCCAGCACCAGAATTAGCACCAGAACCAGCACCCGGTCCGCTACCCCAGCCTGGGCCAGTCCTTTAACAGGCATTGTCCATTAACATTCAATCGTAGTGGAAATTGATGGAGTTTAATAATTGATAATTTATCATAATCCACAGGAACCAAAACTCTACATTAGTAAACTTGATTCAGAGATATTTCCAATGGAAGAGAATTAATTAAAGTATAAGTATTGAAATTTCGATAGATTAATCAAAGCTTTATTACAATGTTTAACTCAAGGTAAATCTAACAGTTGTTCTGTTTGACCATAAAAACGGCAGAAAAGATCATTCTTGAATTCGATCTCTTAAAATTTAATCAAAAAAGTGATGTAATGTTTATCACACGTTTTCCTTGTTTAGATAAGTGAGCATCAACTGAATTGGATGATGAATGGTTAGGTGATTAGCTGAATATACTGATGATCTTTAAAGTTTTTTTCATTCTAAATGTTTGCAGATTGATCATTAGAAAATTAGACTTTTGTTAATTATAAAATTAGAGCCGACTTTTATTAAATTGTTCAAATTCACCTTAATTCAATAATCTAAAATATAGTTGATAAATAGTCGTAAATGTCTCAGATTTTCAGGATGATTTCTTAAATTTGATTCTCTTTGATTACCAATCGCTTTGGAACTGTCAATTTTTCTCACATTTATTAATTTGTTTCTTTTCTTACAACAGGTTATGATACTACTGATTTCAAAGTACATCGCATTAATGAATTTGATCTAGTAAAATTTACTCAAAAGAGTGAGCACACATTGTCCGTGTCAAGATGATTGAGCATCAAATAAATTGAATGACGATGATTATGTGATTAGCTGAATATACTGATGATCTTTGATTATTAGGTAAAAATTAAAGTTTTTTCTTCTTTTGATTCTTAATGTTTGCAGATTGATCATCAGCAAATTAGACTTTTGTTATCAATAATTAAGATAAATTACACTGTAAGAATAACTTTTATCCAGCTTTTATTAAATTATCTCCATATGACAAAAAAAATTTCTGGTCCAATTTTTCGTTACTTATTACCAGAGAATCGCTTTGATTGTGTTTGTTTTTTAAAATAAATATTTAAAGTCAATTGTTTCATTTTCATTTGTTCAGTGAATTCAATTTAAATTGTGACAAACAAGCAAAAGTAACTTTGAAGACAGAAATTTTGTGAAAACGTTTATCGAAAGGTTAATCACCTTTGATTAAATCGAGTAAAAGATGGAAATACAGTGTATGTGCTCATTAAAATTGTAATCGAAACTATATCATCATAATAACTGATATTTATGATTGAATTTAATATACTGATGATCGAGTAATTGAGATCAACTGTTTGAGGATCTCAAAAGATGAATTTATTTCTTTGTTATCGGGCACAATAGTCTTGATATCACCTCACTAAAAATTAAGATTACAGGGGAAGAAATTAAAAGAGATATGAAATTCAGTCCTTAGGACTAATGTTCAATCCATCACGAAAATGAGATGATAAAATCGAGCAATAAGAGACATTTTTTAATTGTGATTACTTTTATCCCTTGCATTTCAAACTATATCAAACAAATTTAGCAAATTATCTCCTTAGGCATGTTTGATTTAATATTCTCATCTAGTTGATGTTTGAATCACTTTGATAATAGTAAGTTTGTTAAAATGTAGATGCAATCATTAATTACTGTGTTCTAATTTACCTTATATTTTTTGATTATTTAATCTTTAAATAAGTCAGAAAGATAAACTAGTATATGTTTGAGTTTGTTCAGGTAACTTTATGAAAGTCAAAATAACAAGTCGATATGAGAAAATCACAAAAATGGTGGAATCATTTAAATAGAAAATTATATTTGAATTAAATGTTAATCTGAAATATCATGGTCATAAAATGATCATGTGAACGTTTCTGTTTATCTTTTGGTTTATTCAGGTAACTTTATAGAGGGTTAAAACAACACGATGATATTGGAAGAAAATCACATAAAAGGAGAATTATATTGAAATTGAATTTTCATCTGAATAAGCAAAAGTTTCTAACAGTTAAAATTTAAAGTTTTAATCACGAGAAAAATAATGAGTTTCAATCCACTTTTGGACGTTAATTCTTTTTGGTTCGTCACCATTTTCATGGGACTTATGTCATCATTATCCTACCAGGATCCTGGTTCTGCTGCTGGTTCTAGTTCTGGCACTGGTGCAGGTTTTCAGAGTTATGGGAATTCTCAGGGTTATGGTTCTAGTACAGGTGCGAGTGCTGGTGCTGGTGGTCCAGGTTCAAGAATTTCGTCATCCAGTGCAAGTTCAAGGGCTTCTTCAGCGGTTACAAGTTTCGTACAAAATGGTGCTCTTGATATGAAGAATCTTCGCAACGTCATCAGAAAACTTTCTTCCGAGTTTTCGACATCTACTCCTGGTGCAAGTCAATCTGATGCCTTTCTTCTAGCTTTATTGCAAGTATTCAGTGAATTAAATTCCATATTAAGTAGCGCAAATTTTGGATCTTCTGATAATAATACACCTGATCAAAGGGAAAACGATATTTTATCTTCACTTTCATAGGGCTTATTTTATCTTTAATCTTTCACTCTGGTTCAAGGGTTTCCGACATCAGAATCTGATGATCACAATACTTCAAAAATGGATATTCTTGTATTGGTCTTTTCATTTCCATGTGCTCATTAAAAACTAGAAAAAATTCAAACTTTAATAAATCAAGTTTCAACTGTTTTTCTTTATTAGAAGTTATTAGAACAACTTTCGACAGAAAGTTTGTTAAAAGTGTGTCGAAGTCACTGCCGTTGCAGTAAGCCTAGTTTTAGATTAAGTTCTGATTGAGTTCTGATTGAGTTATCGGTTAAATTATTCAGTGCACTGGTCCACACATTAAGTAGCACACAGATCTCCGGTGTTGATCAATGAATATCTTAAATCTCACACCACAAAAGTGAATAAAAAAGGTTAATTTATCGAGTAAGTAATCAACAGTTACTCATTAATCAAAGTTACTTTTGCTTGTTTGTCACAATTTTCAATTGAATTTACTGAACAAATGAAAACGAAAACAATTCACTTTGAATATTTACTTTCTAAAACAAATAAAACAGCAACTCTCTGATAATACTGATAAAAAGCAACGAAAAGCTGGATAAGAAAAAAGGTATGTTAAATATGCATATGGAGACAATTTAATAAAAGTTGGCCTTAATTTTATAATTAACAAAAGTCTAATTTTCTAATGATCAATCTGCAAACATTTAGAATAAAAAAACTTTAATGTTTACTTAATAATTCAAAGATCATCAGTATATTCAGCTAATCACCTAACCATTCATAATCCAATTCAGTTGATGCTCACTTATCTAAACAAGGAAGACGTGTGATCAACATGATCACTTTTTTGATTAAATTTTAAGAGATCGAATTCAAGAATGATCTTTTCTGCCGTTTTTATGGTCAAACAGAACAACTGTTAGATTTACCTTGAGTTAAACATTGTAATAAAGCTTTGATTAATCTATCGAAATTTCAATACTTATACTTTAATTAATTCCTCTTCCATTGGAAATATCTCTGAATCAAGTTTACTAATGTAGAGTTTTGGTTCCTGTCGATTATAATAAATTATCAACTATTAATTTCCACTACGATTGGATGTTAATGGACAATTCGTTCAGCTTTTATTCACCAAAGTCAATAGAAAAGTTTCAACAGCAAGAAAAGAATCAAAAACATTTCCAGAAGCGTTGTTGTTGGCCTTTGGTAATTTAATTCCAATTGTCAGAAAGATAAACTAATTTAAGTTTTGGTTTATTCAGGTAACTTTATCAAGGCAAAAAGAATACGTATTGAAAGAAAAAGACATAAAAGGTTGAATCATTTGAAGGGAAAATCATAGTTAAATTAAATCTTCGTCTGAATAAGTGAACGTTTCAAACAGTAAAATTTAAATTTAAATTGTTAATCACGATCAAAAAAATGAGTTTCAATCCATTTATGGCCGTTAATTTCTTTTCGCTCACTACTATATTCATGGTTCTAATGTCGTCTTTATTGAACCAGGCTCCTGTTAATGGTCAGAGCTCTTCTTCTAGTGGTGCTTCTCCTTATGATGCTAATAGTGCTGGTGGTTATGGCCAGGCTATGGTGCTGGTTCTGGTGCTGGTGCTGGTGGTGCTGGTGGTTATGGCCAGGGTTATGGTGCTGGTTCTGGTGCTGGTGCTGGTGCTGGTGCTGGTGCTGGTGCTGGTGGTTATGGCCAGGGTTATGGTGCTGGTTCTGGTGCTGGTGCTGGTGCTGGTGCTGGTGCTGGTGCTGCCGCTGGTGCAGTTTCAAGACTTTCGTCATCTAGTGCAACCTCAAGGGTTTCATCAGCAGTATCAAGAATCGTACAAAATGATCAACCTGATATAAATAATCTTCCCAACGTCATCAGCAACCTTTCTTCCCAAATTTAAGCATCTAATCCTGATGTGAGCGAATGTGAGGTCTTGGTTCAGGTCTTAATGGAAATAGTCATTCACTTATTAAGTAGCGAAAATGTCGGATAGATAATAATCAAGTATTAAACAATGTTTGATGTGTGTCAAAATTCTAACTGTTAAAAAAGCAAGGACTAATCCACCAATAAATTTCGAATATTCCCCGTTCTTCTCATCTTTCGTGAGGCTTATTTCATCTTTTATCTTTCACCCTGGTGCAAGGTTTCTGCAATCGGAAATTTTTCGGCTTAAGGTTCGGTTTGATTGTCTCAGGCCCTCCGGGCCTTTCTTTGTTCATGATGACCCTTATTAGCAAAGACCTAACCTAACTTAATTTAAACAAACACAATTAACTGAACAATTAAGTCCATTTTCATATGTAGCTTGAACTTTAATCCCACAGAAACAGCTCAAAGTGAAAATATCGAGTTGACGGACAATTCTCGAATCTTACCGGCATCGCAAAAGTAAGCCTAGAATCTAGGCCCAAGATTAAGTATAGATTAAGTTTTATTAATAATTAAATTAATAAATTTACTGGTCCATCCATAAAGTAACACACAAATCTACAGTGTTGATCAATTAATATCTTAAATCTTACCTGACAAAAGTGAATAAAAAAGGTTAATCTATTAATCTCAATATTCTCATATTTGGAAAAATAGTAAAATTAAATTACAGAAAATTAACAAATCAATTAAAATTTATTTAAATATAAATTTATTTGGAAATATCTCTGAATCAAAAGTTTGTTACAAATAGAGCTTTGGCTCTTGTTGATTATGATGAATCATTGATGATTAAATTCCATCAATTTTCACTACAATTCAATCAAAACGGACAATTCGATCAGCTTTTATTCACAAAAACTCGATAAAAAAGTTTAAACCCAAGAAAAGAATCAGAAACATTTCCTAGAAGCTTCAGTTGCTGACCTTTGATAATTTAGTCTAAATTAGTCAAAAAGATAAACTAGTTTTGGTTTATTCAGGTAACTTTATCGAGGCAAAAAGAACACGTATTGAAAAACTAACCAAATAAAAGGTGAAATCGTCTAAAGGGAAAATCATAGTTAAATTAAATCCTCATCCTAAATAAGTGAGTATTTTTAACAGTTAAAATTTAAAGTGTTACTCACGAGAGAAAAAATGAGTTCCAATCCGTTAATTCTTTTTGGTTCGTCACCATTGTTCTGGGTTTATGTCATCATCATCCTACCAGGATCCTGATTCTGCTCCTGATAATGTAAAAAGTGCTGACTTGGCTGCTGGTTCTGGTTCTATTTCTGATGCTCAAAATGCTCTTTCTAACTCAGCTCGAAGACTTTCGTCATCTAGTGCAACTTCACGTGTTTCTCGGTTGTCGGATAGTCCAATGATTTAGGTTAGTCACTATCCCCGTAACAGTATTAACAATGAATTTTTGATGAATAAATTGGTTTCCAACCCCTTAACTATAACCAGCACCAGTACATAACTCGAGGTATAACCAATTGATTATTGTCTTTAAACTTTTGTCGAGAACTGTATAATAATAAGTTGATACACTGAAATAAGCCCCCTGAGAATGACGAAGCCAAGAAATATTTGAGAGTTGTAAGAGAATCAAAGTCGTTTTGTTTTTTAATTTAATTTAATTTACATATTTTATAATGAAAAAGTTGACAAATTAAATAACAGAAGGTTAACAAATCAATCTCGTAATCAGTTAACGCAAATTTGGTTTTCTAAGCCACAATCCAATGAAACTTCTCAATGGTAGTTGTTCATACATGTATTGTATTTGGCTCAACTGTTTTTGTAGTTTCAAATTGAAACTTTCATTCTGGAATCGGGTAAAACACCGGGCTAGGATTCGCAGAAACCAAACTTTCAAATGAGAAAACCTTTTTTTCAATCGGGAAACACTGTAAATAATAAATATAAATATCGGGTGACCGAAAATGAGTGAGCATCTCACGAACCTTAAGTTTTGGACCCACGTTTCTATACATTTTAAGAAAGTAAATTTGACGCTGAGTCCAAAAATGTTTGGCTTTTTCTAGGACGCACGGTTCTCAAGATATCGAGTAGCCTGAAAAGCGAACGGTTGACTTTGGACTCAAAATTTTCGGTCAAAAGTTATTCTTTTTGACCTATTATCTTATATATCTAAGCTCATCATTATCTGAAGTAAGGTTATTGAGATCCAACATGGCTGAAATCAACGAAAATTGCTATCTAACTTTCCCATTATAAATTTCTCATAGAGAAAATCGCGATTTTGGCCTTTAAATAAGAACCACAGTTGCACTTGAACTTCAAAAATTCTGAAAAAATTCACGATTTATATTTGATCGATGGCGCTTTCAATTGCGTTTGAAATTTTATTCTAGGACCTACCATTCTTGAGATGCTCACTCATTTTCGGTCACCCGATAATTATCTCATATCTGCAGAGTAATTTCATAAATTTGATTCTCTTTGATCACCAATCGCTTTAGAACTGTCAATTTTTCTCGCATTTATTGATTTGTTTCTTTTGTTTCTTCTTTCAACAGATTATGATACTACTGAGGAGAAACAAGAAGTAAAACCTAAGAGAGTTAACAACTTACCGGAAGTCGAGACACCAGAACGACTGGGAAGTCCATCATTTTCCGATGACTTTTCAATTGGATCACAAGCTTCTCGAACCTCTTCAGTTATGAGTTTAATTCAACCTCGAAACAACAATAGATCAAGACGAGAACCAGAAGAGCCCAGAACAAAATCACCATGTCTTATATCTTAACTCAAAGACAATTTGAACCAAAAAAATGTAGAAAAGAAAATATTAATCTCTTATTAATTGATTAAATTGAGAATCAAATAAATTAAATGAGGATGGTTTTATGATTAAATTTAATATCCTAGTGATCGTTGAATTGAGATCGGTTGATAGAGGATCTCAAAAGATGAATGTACTCCAATTCCTTTGTTATCGGGCACAATAGTCTTGATATCACCTCACTAAAAATTAAGATTGCAGGGGAAAAAATTAAAAGAGATATGAAATTCAGTCCTTAGGACTAATGTTCAATCCACACTCACGAAAATGAGATGATAAAATCGAGCATAAAGAGATAATTTTTAATTGTGGTCTTTTTTCTCCGTAAGATTTCCAACTATATCAAACCAATTTTTATTAAATTATTATTAATATTTCCTTAAGCATATTTGATCCAATATTCTCATCTAGTTGGTGTTTGAATCACTTTGATAAAAGTAATTTTGTTGAAATGTAGATGCAATGGTTAATTACTGTGCGCTAATTTACCTCATGTTTTTTGATTATTTAATCTTTAGATTAGTCAGAAAGATAAACTAATAACTCTGTTATATGTTTGAGTTTGTTCAGGTAACTTGTTGGAAGTCGATCTGAGAAAATCAAATGGTGGAATCATTTAAATAGAAAATTATATTTGAAATGATCATGTGAACGTTTCTGCCTATGTTTTGGTTTATTCAGGTAACTTTATCGAAGCCAAAAGAGCACATTGATATTGGAAGAAACCACATAAAAGGTGAAATCATTAGAAGGTAAAATCATAGTTAAATTAAATCTTCATCTGAATAAGTGAATATTTCTAACAGTTAAAATTTTAAGTTTTAATCACGAGAAAAAATAATGAGTTTCAAACAACTTTTGGTCGTTAATTCTTTTTGGTTCGTCACCATTTTTCTGGGGCTTATGTCATCATTATCCTACCAGGATCCTGGTTCTGCTCCTGATAATGTAAATAGTGCTGGTTCTGGTTCTGGTTCGGGTGCGGGTTCAGGTGGTGGTTATGGTCAGGGTTATGGTTCTAGTTATGCTAGTGCTACTGGTGTTGGTGGTTATGGTCAAGGAAGATATGGTCAGGGTGCTGGTGCTGGTGCTGCTGCTGGTGCTGGCGCTGGCGCTGGTTATGGTCAAGGAGGGTATGGTCAGAGTGCTGGTGCTGGTTCTAGTTCTGATTCTGGTGCTGCTGCTGGTGCTGGTTATGGTCAAGGAGGGTATGGTCAGAGTGCTGGAGCTGGTGCTGGTCAAGGGGGATATGGTCAGGGTTATGGTGCTGGTGCTGGTGCCGCTTCTGATGCTCAAAGTGCTGTTTCTAACTCAGTTTCAAGACTGTCGTCACCTAGTGCAAGTTCAAGGGTTTCATCAGCAGTATCAAGCCTCGTACAAAATGGTAGACCTAATTTGGATAGTCTTCCTAATGTCATCAGCAACCTTTCTTCCCAGGTTTCGGCATCTACTCCTGGTGCGAGTGGATGTGAGGTCTTGGTTCAGGTCTTAATGGAAGTAGTCACTGCGTTGGTTCACATATTAAGTAGTGCAAGTGTCGGTAATATAGACTTAGGATCAGCTAGCGTATCTGCAAATACAGTTGGTAATGCACTAGGCAACATGGGAAAATAGTGTACTGGTTTTTCCCAATTAATTCATCTCTATACTAATCAGTTAAAATTCTAAGTGTTGAAAAAACAATTTAAGTTTCAAGTTTCAGATATTTCTCGTTCTTTCTCATTCTCATGGGGCTTATTTTATCTTTCACTCTGGGTAAGGTTTCCGACACCAGGACATTATTTAATTCCTATAATAATAATAATCTAAATAAATTGAATCAAATCGGGGTTCTCGCTAACGGTTTGATAAATTAGAGTAATTTTCTATGTAATATTCTTAGTAATTAATTGTCTAATTATTAGTGACCGTCTGATCTATGCTAATAAGGCATGACCGGTGATAAATGGAAGTTTCTGTTATGAATTAAACTGATATGTCTATACATAGTCGTTATGATTGTTCGAAAATTCTACTTCCATGCTTTATCGGTCATACCTTAATTCATCGATCGTTTTAATTGATTCAAACCATTTTCGAAAAAAATTTGATCAAATCAGGTCGGAATTCAATCTTTTATCCGAATAGGTAGTGTTTAAAAAAACAAAGAACTTTAATCCATCAACAAATTTCTTTCTTTCGTTCTTGTTCACTTTCATGGGGCTTATTTCATCTTTAATCTTTCACTCTGATTCAAGGGTTTCCGACATCAGAATCTGATGATCACAATACTTCAAAAATGGATATTCTTGTATTGGTCTTTTATTTCCATGTGCTCATTAAAAACTAGAAAAAATTCAAACCTTAATAAATCAAGTTTCAACTGTTTTTCTTTATTAGAAGTTATTAGAACAACTTTCGACAGAAAGTTTGTTAAAAGTGTGTCGAAGTCACTGCCGTTGCAGTAAGCCTAGTTTTAGATTAAGTTCTGATTGAGTTCTTGATATAAGTAATCAGTTTACTGGTCCACTTATTAAGTAGCTCGCGAATCTACAGTGTTGACCAATTAATATCTTAAATCTTACACCACAAAAATGAATACGTATAATGAGTTAATCTATTCATCTACATATTCTCATATTTGAAAAAATTGTAAAATAAATTACAGAAAATTAACAAATCAATCTCGTACTCAGTTAACGCAAATTTGTTTTCTAAGTCACAATCTAATGAATCAATGAACTTCTCAATGACAATTGTTCATATTTGGCTCAACTGATGATTTTTGTAGTTTCAAATTGAAACTTTCAATCTGGAATCGGGTAAAACACCGAGTTAGGATTCTCAACTTGAGAATCTCAAGTTAGGAATCGATGATGAGTCGATAGAATCGAATCACATTCGATGGTATCGATTCCACTATTTGTATGAATAGACTAAACTGTGAATCAAAGTGACTAAACATTAAATTAGTTTCTCTTTTCAATCTATTTAATTAGTTTACTTAATTGTTTTATTTTCTCACTTTAATTATTGGTAATATTGAAAATGTTCCTTACAAGGTCTGAATATGATCGTGGTGTCAACACCTTTTCCCCTGAAGGTCGACTCTTCCAAGTTGAATATGCAATTGAGGCAATTAAGGTAAAAGAGAAATGGTTACCGGTTGTTGAGAATATAAATTATTATTATCATCATTTAAACGCATTAATTGGTTAATTTGCTCTTTCTTTATTTTATTCTGTTCTCTTATTCAGCTCGGAACCACTGCTATTGGAATTTCAACATCTGAAGGTGTTCTTTTGGCAGTAGAGAAAAGAGTAACTTCTCCTCTTATGGAACCAGCAACCACTGAGAAAATTGCTGAAATTGATTCTCATATTGGATGTGCTTGTAGTGGACTTATGGCCGATTCTCGTACTCTTGTTGATCGAGCTCGAGTTGAAGCTCAGGTAAATTAGAAGGTTTCTTTTGGTCTCTTTCCTTCAGTTTGGTAAAAGGTTGTTTCTTACTATTAATATGTTACTTTTTCTTTACCCTCTTTCCAGAATCACTGGTTCTTATACAATGAAAACATGTCCGTTGAAAGTGTTACCCAATCTGTTTCCAATTTAGCCATTCAATTTGGTGACAGTGACAGCGATGGTAATGCGATGAGTAGACCTTTTGGTGTTGCTATTCTTTTCGCTGGTTGTGACGATGGTGGACCACAATTGTTTTACATGGATCCCTCTGGAACTTATGTTCAATGTGATGCTAAAGCGATTGGCTCAGGTTGTGAAGGTGCTCAACAAGCCTTACAAGAAGCCTATTCTAAAGTAAATATCATTAGTTGAATTTATTTCTCTCTTTCATCAATCAACTATTCATTTTATTAATGTTTCAATGTTTATTTTTCTTCAGTCTTTATCTTTAGCTGCTGCTCTGAAAGTTTTACTAACAATCTTGAAGCAAGTCATGGAGGAGAAATTAAATTCTACTAATGTTGAAGTAGCAATAATTAAACCTGACACAGGATACCGAATGTTATCAAAAGAGGAGATCGAAAATGCCATCAAAGAAATACCAGTTTAAAAACTTTAAAAGTCTCTTTCTCTCTCTAATCGTCCTCTGAAGTTTTTTATATGTTTCAGTTTCCATCTTTCAACTTTGAAAAAAAACTCTCCCAAGTTTCTGGTTTAAAAGGAAAATCTAATTAAACAAATATTGTCATATAAACAAAACAAAAACATCTAAATTACTAAATTACTTCCTAATCAACAATCGTTTGGAAATGTAAAGAATTGAAATTACCTGATTACATTTATCATCTCATCAAGTCCAAAACTTTTCCAATCCATTAGACTGTTATGAGCAAAAAAAATAGCAATTAGTATCCAAAGAAAACCCAATTAATTATTTTTCGATAAAAGTTTAATTAATAGTCAATTATTGATTCTTTGATAGAATCACATGTCGCCATCTAGTGAATTTTTTACAATAGAATTTATCTCAAGATCGGTGTGTCATTTAGCTTTGAGCGCCTATTCAATGAAAAAGTCTCTTCGTTTGTCATGCGCAGAAGTGGAAATGGTTTTTATTTTTATGGAAAAATATATTTTTTCAAAATAATAATTTCCTAGTCTTTAAACTCAATTTCAATTTAAATTGTTCATTAATTGTCTTTTTCTCTATTAAATTGGTATTGCGTGTTTTTCGATTCTCAACTGATTATAAATCATGTCACACAATTACGTTGTAACTGCCCATAAATCATCCACAGTGTCAGCATGTTGCACCGGTGAGTGTTTTTGTTGTTTGTCTTTTTGTTTTTCCACAAAAAGCTTGAGTTTTTTTTCTTATCCGAAATGAAACTAAATCAACAGCGTGGTTTCTCATCATTTACCAATTTCTTTTTTTAATCATGTAGTATCACGATTAATTGATTGTTTTCATGTTTTCCAATTTTCTGAATCTCTTGTATAATTTTTACTTGGAGAGTTTGTTAAATTTGCATATCTAATTCTCTATGTATTAAAATACAGAGAATGTACTTGAAAGGTATTGATTTGGTTTTTCATTTCTTTTTGTTTCTTGTTTCAATTCATAGGAAATTTCACATCACCCACAGATCTCAATTTAATCATCGCTAAAACAACTCGATTTGAGATTTATTTGGTTACTCCAGAAGGTCTTAGACCTGTGAAAGAGGTCAATGTCTATGGAAGGATCACCATTATGAAGTTATACCGACCCAAGGGTGAAAATCAGGACAGGCTTTTTATCCTTACATTTCGAAATCAAATTTGTATTCTTGAATGTGTTAAAGATGGTGACAATTTTGAGATAATCACCAAAACTCATGGAGATGTTGCAGACTCGGTTAATCGACCTTCTGAAACAGGTTCAATTGGAATAATCGACCCTGAATGCCGAATAATTGGCCTTAGAATTTACGATGGACTCTTTAAGATTATACCCTTAGGTAAATTACATTTTAATCTCAAAGATTTTTTCTAGGAGAATAACGTCCCTTTGTTATTAATGTTTTCTAATCTAATTTTTTTCTCTTCTCCATTTTCTTTACCTTTACCTACTGTTTTCTTCTTACTTTTTGCAAGATTTAGATAAAGGAGAGATGAAAGCTTTTAATATCCGAATGGAAGACATCTTAATTCAAGACATTCAATTTCTCCATGGATGTTCAGTTCCAACTTTGGCTTATATTTCACAAGAAAATTCGGCTCGTCATGTGAAAACATTGGAAGTTTCAGTGAAAGATAAAGAGTTTATCAAAGGTCCCTGGAAACAAGACAATGTTGAAAGTGAAGCATCCATTTTAATTGCAGTGCCTCAGCCTTTTGGCGGTTGTTTGGTTATCGGTCAAGAATCAATAACATATTTAAATGGTGATGCTTATGTAGCAATTGCACCTCCAGCTTTACGTCACAGTACCGTTGTTTGTTATGGACTAATTGATACCAATGGATCACGTTATCTTCTTGGTGACATGTCTGGAAGATTGTTTTTACTTTATCTTGAAAGAGAGGATCGATCTGATGGAGGTGCTAATGTTAAAAGTTTAAAACTCGAAACATTGGGAGAATGTACAATTCCTGAATGTCTTACTTACCTTGACAATGGAGTTGTTTATGTTGGCTCACGTTTAGGTGATTCTCAGCTTGTAAAACTAATTCTTGAGCCAAATGAACAAGGGTCATACCTTGAAACAATGGAAAACTTTACCAATCTTGGACCAATTGTCGATATGTGCGTTGTTGATCTAGAAAGACAAGGACAAGGTCAATTGGTTACATGTTCCGGTGCTTTTAAAGAAGGCACCTTACGTATCATTCGCAATGGTATTGGTATTCAAGAACATGCTTCAATTGATCTACCCGGTATCAAAGGTATTTGGCCACTTCGATTGGGATCAATTGATTCCAAATTTGATAATCTATTAGTTTTATCGTTTGTTGGTCAAACTCGAGTTTTAATGTTAAATGGTGAAGAAGTTGAAGAAACCGAAATCTCCGGTTTCGATAATAGTCAACAAACATTTGCCTGTCAAAATGTTTCTTTCCATCAAGTGATCCAAGTTACACCAACCTCCGTACTACTTGTCGACGTTGACACGAAAAAGTTATTAAATGAATGGCGTCCACCCTCCGATCAAACAATTTCCGTTGTCTCTTGTAATCCTACTCAAATTGTTTGCGCTGCAAGAAATAAACTCTACTATTTAAAGATCAAAGAAGGCTCATTGGAACAAATTAGTGAGACCATATTAGAACACGAAATTGCTTGTATCGATGTTAGTCCATTGGCCGAAGATTCCGATTCAACTGAATATTGTTGTGTCGGCTTATGGACCGATATCTCAATCCGAATTTTACATCTCCCTGATCTCAAAGAACTACACAAAGAAATGCTTGGTGGTGAAATTATTCCTCGATCGATAATTGCTGTTACCTTTGAGGGAATTAAATATCTTCTCTGTGCTCTTGGTGATGGTTCACTTTTTTACTTTACTCTTCAAACTCGACCGGATCAGGAAACTTGTTATCTTACTGATCGAAAGAAAGTTACCCTTGGAACTCAACCTACTGTACTTAAAACTTTCCGCTCCAATGTTACTGTTAACGTATTCGCCTGTTCAGATCGTCCAACTGTTATTTACAGTGCTAATCATAAGTTAGTTTTTTCAAATGTTAATCTAAAAGAAGTCAATCATATGTGCCCACTTCACTCTCAAGCATATCCTGATAGTTTGGCTCTTGCCAATGATAATAGTCTAATCATTGGTACCATTGATGAGATTCAGAAACTTCACATTCGTACAATCAGTCTTGGTGAATCGCCGCGTCGAATTGCTTACCAGGAGCAAAGTCAAACATTCGGTGTAATCACGATGCGCCACGATATTCAAGACATTGAAGGTTATGTTCCAGCTCGTCAAAGTGCAAGTACAACAGCTCAAAACACTTCGCATGCCCCGAACATGGCTTCAGCCATCAAACCAGGAAGCAGTTTAGCAAGTAACGCTGGAGACACATTAGGCCATGAGATTGAAGTTTTCTCTCTTTTAATTATCGATCAACACACATTTGAAGTTCTTCATGCTTTTCAATTTACTCCAGCTGAATGTGCGCTTAGTATTGTCTCCGCTCGACTTGGAGATGATCCTAATCCATATTATATTGTTGGTTCTTGTTTCGTTCACCCTGAAGAACCTGAACCCAAATTGGGAAGGATATTTGTCTTCCAATGGGCTGATAATAAGCTTCAAATTATCGCTGAGAAAGAAATTAAAGGAGCACCATATTCGCTGTGTGAATTCAACAATAAACTATTGGCCAGTATTAATAGTACAGTTCGACTTTTCGACGGAGCACAAAAAGATTTACACAATGAGTGTAATTATTTCAATACAATTCTCGCTCTTTATCTTAAGGTGAAAGGTGATTTTATACTCATTGGTGATTTGATGAGATCGATTTGTCTCTTAGCGTATAAACAAATGGAAGGAAACTTTGAGGAGATCGCCAGAGATTTCGAGCCAAATTGGATGACAGCTATCGAAATCCTGGACGATGATACATTTTTAGGAGCAGAGAATAACTTTAATCTATTTGTTCGTCAAAAAGACAGGTAATATTTTCTTTTCTAAAATTTCTCTATATTCCTACTCTATTTCGTGTATTCCGAAGTAAATTATTTCTTTTGAAAACATAATTTCTAATCACTCTCTTGACAACATTTCTCATTCTAGTGCTGCTACGAATGACGATGAACGATTACCATTGCAAAATGTGGGGCAAGTTCACATCGGTGAATATGTTAACGTTTTTAGACATGGATCTCTCGTGATGCAACATCCGGGAGAAAATACCACACCGATTCAAGGATCTGTGCTTTTTGGCACCGTTTCGGGAGCGATTGGTGAGTGGATCGATTGTTGAAAACTATTGTTTTCATTATCAATCTATTAATTGTTTTACTATCTGATTGTTGTATTGTTTTTCTTTATATCTTTCATTGTGAAGGTCTGGTTGCTCAAATTCCTCAAGATTTCTTTGATTTCTTATCGGAAGTACAAGGAAAATTAGCCAAAATAATCAAATCAGTTGGAAAAATTGATCACTCAGCATGGAGATCGTTCCATACCGATAGAGTAACTGAACTTTCATATGGATTCATTGATGGAGATTTAATTGAAAGCTTCCTTGATTTAAGTCGTGATAAGATGAGTGAAGTTGCCGTTGGATTACATGTGAGTAATAATCTCTTAATCCATATCACTAATTCAACATTATAATTGAAAAACAAATTCAATCTAATTGATTTTTTTGTATTTTTTCCTTTCTCAGATTGATGATGGCAGTGGAATGAAAAAAGAATGCACAGTTGATGATTTGGTGAAAATTGTCGAAGAATTAACAAGAATTCATTAATTATTGATTTTTATTAAAGCAAAAACAACTAATTGAAAAACTAATCATCCACTAAGACCCAAAAAACACCAAAGGATTTTCAAAGAAAGTAACCAAACAAGAACAAAATGAACAGGAAAAGGAAACATTTGAATAGCATTTTCATTCAACGATTTCTTGTAATCTTTTCTCACCTTTGTCCATTTCAATCATATACATAAAAACATCAAATTAGAGATGAAATTGTCTCTTAAATCAACGCATCTCATTTTTCCATCATCTTAATACAAATGTAATAAAAAGCAATTACCACCAAGAGCCATCGGTAATTGTTTTCGTTAGTGAAAATTATCACATCCAATATTCAATAAACATCAATGGTAATAAAAAAAGTTATCAAAGTAATTAGTCAATAAATAAACTGACAGGTAAGAAAATAATGCTTTCAATTTCTTTATTGATCCAATTGGTTATTACAATTAACTTGAGTAGCATAAATTGAAAATGTTGATTGTTTATTATTCAAAAGGTGATTTCTTATTGCGAGCAACAAATTCAATATAAACTGGAATCTTATCTGATGATTGTGATTTTTTCATCTCTTCAGAAACTTTGATGACATTATCATGAATTTGTTGATCACCAAGAACTTGATCAATCGCTTGAACCAACTTTTCCTCAGTAAAGTCGGACAAGTTTATCTTTTTACCGAGCTTAAGATCAGCGACTCGTTGACCATTGTCCAGTTGATCATCGAATATCGGGATAGCAACCATCGGCTTACCGAAGTATAAAGATTCAACCAATGAATTTGATCCACAGTGAGTGATGACCAAGTCAACTTTCGGTATAATACTCAGTTGTTTGACATAATTATCACCCCAAACATTTCCAGGCAATTGTATCATGTGGCCATTTCGACCAAGAGCAAAAATGAATCGATTAGGTGACTTTGCACAGGCATCGACCAGCATTTTAATGAGCGTTGGATCATTTGAAGCATTTGTTCCCATGGAAACGTAAACCAATTTACCAGGTTTATCTTTCAATTTATCGGGTAACTCAAAATCTTGCAACTCAGGTAATCGTATTGATTGATCGAGACGAACCCAATTCTTATTAACCGGACCCAATTCCTTGTAGTCCAAAGCTTCAGGGAATATATAAATTCCCAAATATTCAGCATGAGTCCATGATCGCAATTTTCCTTCAGCAACTCTGATGGCCATTTCTTTCATCATATCATTTCCATTTTCTCGAGCCTCAGCCCATTTTTCGGGTGCATCAAAAACAGAAAGACCAGAGCCAATAGGAGGTCCATTGTACAATGAAACAGGTCCATTGGACATAACAGGGATGAACGGACAAGGACATTCTACGAGAGAAAAAAATATCTGTAACAATCAATCAAGAATTTGATTAGAGATGAACAACTTACTCGTCATAAAGCCCATTACCCAACGATAATCTCCCAATACTACATCGGGTTTAATGACTTTCATTGCGTTTTCGATTGCAGCATTTTCACCACTAAACATTGGTCCTCTTCCACCACCTCGAGGTCCACCACCACCTCGATTACCACCTCGACCTCTTCCTCCTCCGCGCATCAAATCCTTTGGTGAATATTTTTTTTGATTGTCGAATGTCTCAAGAGAAGAATCATTAAAAGGTCCAGAATGGGTTTTCTCAAGAGGATCATCGGCCTCTTGATAATCAAAAATATCGATAAATTTGATTCCCTGATTTTCAGCAAGACTCTTGTGTTCAGGGTAATGAATGAACATCACATTGTGCCCACGATCAACCATCAGTTTACCAATACCCATGGAGGCATTAACATGACCAATTCTGTTAATTATCAGAATAGAACAACAATCAAATCAAAAATCTTTCATATTAATCATATGAATAGTTACCAAAAGGCTTTTTCTTACTATTTTATCATCTAAAAGTTTCATCAATCGTTTCAAGTTACATTTTCTAACAAAAGAACCAACCAAATTGAGTTGACCATCACCACATAACAATTGAGACTGTCCATTGATTCAGAATGATGAATTGATCACCACAAGACAATCAAACCTAAAATTTAATCAGTAAACTAATTTAGTAAAGACAAATCAACTTACCCTCTACTTGCAGTAATCAGGACATTTAAAGGTTTCATTGTATCAACCATATTGAGTTAAATTGTGATTAGAAACTGTTGACAATTAGGTTGATTTTCAGGCTTGGTAGTATTAATGTTCACCAATTGAATGACTGATTGTAAATAAATGTTAATTGTTGAATTCAAATCGTTTATATTGAGTTTGATTGATTGTCTCAAGGTTACCTTTTAATTTGATCCTCCTCTTTGGTGTAATAATCATTCAATATTTAATCACCTTGTTTTAATTGCAATCATTTATTTATATTAATGTTATAAATTATTGTCATGATTAAGTGTCAACAATTAAATCCTTTTAGCTTATGATTAATCATTTGTTAGATTATATTAATAAGGCTTGGAAAATTACAATACTTTACAGTCATTTCAGTCAGAAAGCAACACTTTTCTAAAAAATCGCAACACCAACTTAACCCAAATTTTCACACATTGGTGATACTTTTGGCGTTTTATGACCTTGTCAAATAAAGAGCAACTCTTTTCTAGAAAAAAGCAACACATTGGTCAAGATACAATTCGATGGTCACTTTAGTCTTTGTTTTAGTTTCCCTCCGTTTTGAAATTTTTTGTGCTTTTTATCAATATGCCTCAGTTATCTAAAGAAGTGAAAAAATTAATAATCGAAGCTCATCGAAATGATAAAAATAGTTCTGAAATCGCGAAAATGTTCAACACTAAACCAGGAACAGTTAGATCAATTATCTCTCGTTTCAACAAATCAGGTACATTAGAAAGGATAAAGACAAGGAAGAGAAAATTAAGTGATGAGATTGTGGAAGTGATCAAAGGATGGGTTGGTGTTAATTGTCAACTAACATTGGAAGAAATCAGGGATAAAATCGAGGAGGAATTTGAAATTAGTGTTTGTGTCTCAACTGTTTACTATTGTTCGGAAGGCTTGAACTTCTCGTTTAAAAGAGTTTCAATTGTACCTGAAAGGAGAAACTCGGAAGTAGTAAAAGATAATCGGAAACAATATGCATTGGACTTTCTTCGTTTGGACATAAATCGTGACAAAGTTTTTTTTATTGATGAAACAGGTATTGCTGTTCATGCTCGTCTGAATCATGTTACATCCGTCGAAGAAACTGTTCGAGCTGCCGGCCATTCACTCACTTTCTTACCCGCTTATTCACCTTTCTTGAACCCAATTGAAGAGCTTTTCAATCAACTAAAACATTATGCTAAAAAATTTAATCCAAAAACAGTTGAGGATGTTTTTTATGCTATCAAATTAGCATCTGAAATGGTATCAGAACAAAATTGTATCAACTATTACAATCATATGCTCGAGTATATATCGAAATGTATTCAACGAGAAGAGATTCTCAATTAGTGTTGCCTTTGTTTTGAAAGGTGTTGCTATCTATTTGATGGAAAATAAACAAAAAAAGTTCACACTTTGGTGTTAAAATTTTGACCAACTAAGTGTTGCGATTAACTTGAAAAGTGTTGCTTTCTCACTGAAATGACTGTAATTATATTAAATCAAGATTAATTCCTAGAATTGGATCACTTTTAATAATAATTGGAGCTATTAATAAGTACGATAATGAATATAATAGTTAGTCAGTTAATCTGATTGACCAAAGTTAACTGGATTAAAAAATACTCCAACCAATCAGAATCCCTTAGTTAATAATGAGACGCAATTGTTTTAATCATTATTGATCTTATATCAGAAAAGATGTAAAAATTAATCATTGAATTCAAATGTTTAAAGTCAGATTAAAAATATCACCTGTTGATTACTTTTAATTGTTAATCTATGTCAAATTAAGTGGAGTCTTAAGTGAATAATCAATTGATTGTCAACAATCAAGGTTAAAACATAACAGGATCATTTGCTTTTGTGTGTTGACTTCCACTTAGTGGAATCCACTAAGGCAATTTTCACATTCGCTACCTAGTGAATTTTTAATTATAATTATGAAAATCAATTAAATTAACTAATCCAATAGATGGTGACTTAGGAAAAAGTGTTGCTTTAACAGAGGTGTGGGGTGTACATCAGAAATGATTTATTTATAAAATTTATTGATTGGTCTAATCAAATATGAGTAATTATTTGAAGGAAAAGACCGAAGACTAAACAGAAAAGTAACAATTCAGGCCAATAAGAGATTTTAACTGTTATTTAATTGATCGCACGTAGTAAATGTATCTTGAAAATGAAATCTTGATAATTTAATTATCAAGAAAATTATCCATGTACAGTGGTACCTCCGATAATGAGACTTTGTGATTATAAGGTATGACCGGTAATGTTTTGGACTGAATTTTAAAAATTCAATTTCATGATGCTTAAGATTAAAAAAATACGGAGGTCGAAATAAGAGTGCGTCGAAACTTAGTTTCCATTTACATTCATTTTTTCCCATTGGAAAAAATCAGAAAAAAAGTGAAAATTTTTTTTTGAAAATTCAAGGCAATTCTATGGGAAAATGGATGAAAATACGTAATATGTAAGTGGAAATTAAGTTTCGACGCGCTCTCATTTCGACCTCCGTATTTTTTTAATCTTAAGCATCATGGAATTGAATTTTTCACCAATCATAGTCAGAGAGTGAATCTTCATTTTAACGTTTAAATGGAGACAATAAGTCTAGTCAGTCGTTAATCAATTTTTAAAATTTAGTCCAAAACATTACCGGTAATACCTTACGGTTTCGGTCTTTCTGGTTTCAAAGCTTAATAATTATTAGGATTTTAAGAATTGTATTGTTATAAAATTTATTTTTTATTGTTTCTAATTGTAAATTTAGACCAACGTGTGTATTTTAACTGGTTATCGGATTGATTTGAAATAATAATAAAAGAATTTTGATAAAAGAAACATTGAAATCTCTTCATAGATAATATGTAACTTTATTTTATTGTAACATGAAGGCTGAAAAGCCTGGGGTAGTTTTTAGATTAAGCTACGTTTTTGGTGCAGCATCACTAACAATAAATTAAGATAAAATATGAATGTCGGTATGGGACATACGGAGAACGAGAAATATATGGAACGTGGAGGTAAAAGTAAATTGTTTTTTCAACACTTGGAATTTTAACTGGTTAAAATAGAGATTAATAAATTGGGAAACACCAATACATTAATATCCAGTGTATGTGCTAACCAATGCTTGACCAACCATAGCTGATGATGTGCTAACTGAGTTTGTATCTACATATCCGATTTGTGCGCTACTTAATACGTGAACCAACGCACTGAGTACTTCCAATAAGGATTCAACCAAGACATCACATCCACTCAAACCAGGATTAGATGCTGCAACCGAACTACTAACGCTTCTGAAAATGTTGCTAAGAGTGCCTTCATTAACTCCACCACTTGATGCGAGGCTACTTACAGCTGAAGAGACCCTTGAAGCAGATTGCTGTGACGAAAGACTTGAAACCGAGTTCGAGACAGTGGAACTGACACTAGAACCAGCACCCAAACCAGCACCCAAACCAGCACCAGAACCGACACCATAACCAGCGCCAGAACCAGCGCCAGCACCAGAACCGTCGCCAGAACCAGCACCAGAACCGGCGCCAGAACCAGCACCAGAACCGGCGCCAGAACCAGCACCAGAACCGACACCATAACCAGCGCCAGAACCAGCGCCAGCACCAGAACCGGCGCCAGAACCAGCACCAGAACCGGCGCCAGAACCAGCACCAGAGCCGACACCATAACCAGAGCCGACACCATAACCAGAACCAGCGCCAGAACCAGCGCCAGCGCCAGAACCAGCGCCAGAACCGGCACCAGAACCAGCGCCAGAACCAGCGCCAGAACCAGCGCCAGAACCAGCGCCAGAACCAGCACCAGAACCAGCACCAGCACCAGAACCAGCACCAGAACCAGCACCAGAACCAGCACCAGCACCAGAACCGGCGCCAGCACCAGCACCAGAACCAGCACCAGAACCACCAGCAGCATCAACAACCCCGAGACCAGGATACTGGTTTGATAAACAAGACACAGTAGCCATAAAAATGGTAGTCAACCGAAAAAAATTTACGCCTTTAAGTGGATTGAAACTCATTTTTTTCGTGATAAAACTCAAATTGTAACGGTTAAAAATGTTCACTTATTTAGATGAAAATTTAATTTAACTATAATTTTTCTATTGAAATGATTTCGCCTTTTATCTGATTTTCTCAAATGTCAACGTGTTGATTTGGCCTCGACAAAGTTACCTGAATAAACTTGAACATAAATTAATAAATTATAATTAATTAATTTTGATAATAAATAATCAAAATGTGCATTGATACATATCAAGTAAGTGAATCAATCAGTAATTAACGATTCCATCGACAACTTTACAGAATTACTATCGTTGAAAAAAAGTGAAAACGAAAACAATTTACTTTGAATGTTTACTTTCAAAGGAAAACACAACTGGAAGTGATTCTCTGATCAAACAGCAAAGAAAAATTTGATGAGAATTGAAATCATATCAAATACGCATAAGGAGATAGTTTAATAAAAATTGGAATTGAGATTTAGAATCAAATCTATAGCGATGTGGTTTATATTATTGTTAATTGTCAGGTTCAGAAAATTTGCTTCAAATTTTCTTCCTGGACTTTTTTTCACCAGACAATTAGCCTAATTGTTGTCTTAATCAAGATATTTTTAAATCTTTAAATACAGGGCATGATAATGGGAATTTGTTTGACACCAAGTTCGAAACTGACCTTTCGGTAGGCCAATAGTCCGTTCGAATTTCGCTTTGAGAACGAAAATCATTTTTTTCTGGCTTTAAAAAGAGCAGAATATTTCGCCAAATTTTACTAGATAATTTTGGCCGAGCGATTCACGGACTTTTGGCCTACCGAATGGTCAGTTTCGAACTTGGTGTCAAACAAATTCCCATTATCTCCCAAGTCCATATCTGCGATCTGATCTTGCCAACGACTCTCCGTTCTCAAGTTATTCCGAAAACAAATCTGTTAATTTAACGGAATTGCCCTGTAGATGTTTAATGTTGGCAATTATTAATAGATCGTAGATACATCGAGTTGACTCGGTCTTAACACTTTGTGAGAGTAAATCGGTTAGGTCAACATTTTTTATTAGAAAATTAACAATAGTCGGATTCTTTTCGATATAAATGTATTCTTGGTATCCTCTTTCTAACAATTAAATCCTTTTAGCTTATGATTAATCATTTGTTAGATTATATTAATAAGGCGTGGAAAATTACAATACTTTAATTATCTTAAATCAAGATTATTAAGTACGATAATGAATATAATAGTTAATCTGATTGACCAAAGTTAACTGGATTAAAAAAATACTCTAACCAATCCTTTAGTTAATATTAAAACGCAATTGTTTTAATCATTATTGTGCTTATATCAGAAAAGTTATCCCATCAGATCATTAACTAAAAAGTTAAAAGTCAGATTAAAAATATCACCTGTTGATTACTTTTAATTGTGAGCAAATGTCACATTGGGTAGTATTGAGTAAATAATCAATTGATTTTCAACAATCAAGGTTAAACATAACAGGATGATTTTCTTTTGTATTGAATCAGAAATGATTCATTTGAACAATTTAATAATTGTACCAATCAAGTACGGGTAATTATTGTATGGAAAAAGACTGGGGACTAAACAGAAAAGTAACAATTAACGACAAAGAGATTTTAATTGTTATTAAATTGATTTCATGTGGTAAATGTATCTTGAATAATGAACATGAAATCTTGATAATCTAATTATCAAGAAAATTATCCATGTTATGCCCTGGGAAGACTATTCATGCAGGGTTTGCCATCTTGTACGAGGCTTGATACAGCTGAAAAATCCCAATATAATTTAGAAATTGATTAAGCGAAAATGAAAAAACTTCAATGTTTACCTAATAATTCAAAGATAATCAGTATATTCAGCTAATCACATAACCATCGTCATTCAATTAAGTTGATGCTCAATTATTTCAACAAGGAAAACGTGTGATCACTTTTTTGAGTGAATTCTAAGAGATCGAATTCAATAAAGATCTTTTCTGTCTTTCTGAAAATTCTATTAAGAAAAAGATTTTAACTCATTTTTTTTAGTAATTAACACTTTGAATTTTAACTTATTCAGATGAAAATTTAAGATACAAGATCATAAAGATCAAAGAAGGTTTTTGTAAACAAACAAGTGAGACCACATTATTATTATTAATAGAACACGAAATTGCTTGTAGCGATGTTAGTCCATTGGCCGAAAATTTCGATTCAACTGAATATTGTTGTGTTGGTTTATGGACCGATATCTCAATCCGAATTTTACATCTTCCTGATCTCAAAGAATTACACAAAGAAATGCTTGATGAATGATTCTCTGATCAATCAAACAGCAACGAAAATTGGACGAGAACAAAAATCATATCATATGAATATGCATAAGGAGATAATTTAATAAATATTGATTAAGTGGATAATAAAAGAGAACCAAATTAGTCTGAAGAGGTTCTAGAAGCTTGTGATCCAATTGAATAGTTATCGGAAAAGAAAACAGAATAGTTAATTCGAGGAAAATGAACAGTTCCAGTGCGATTGGTGATCAAAGAGAATACAATTATTGTGCAATGTTCTCATCTTATTTGTCGTTGCTGTGGATTGAAAATTAGTTCAAACTTAATTAGTTTAGTTCATCTTTTTTTCTTTCGAATAATTAAAATAAAATAGAATTGGGTTTTCATTTGGAATCAAATCTTAAATGAACGGGAATCTAATAATGTTAATTGTCAGGTTCCGAAAATTCATCTTCCTGATTAACAACTAACTGATCACCAAACAATTAGCCTAATTATTGTTTAAATCTTTAAACAGATAGATGAGTTTGCCAAAATGTTTTTTTCTCATTCCAATAAAAAGATATTATAATTAAATGGAGAATCGATTGAGTTAATTGTTTGCTTCGTTGTACTGAAATCAGTTGATTCCTCAAACAAAGTGATTTTTAATTGTAAACATGAAATTGTCTGTGATTATTGAAGCTCTTCTCTTAATCTGCCTTCTTACTGACCAATGTCTCACCAAACCAATGGGAAGGTTAAGTGTCAAAGTTTATCGAGGTCCAAACAAATCATTTGGTTCTAAACCTTATGCAACTTGGGGTTATTATGCTTTACTGCCAAGCGATGGATCATCACACAGAGAATCCAAGTAATCATCAGTAATAGTTTTCTTTTTAATGTTGTAATCACCAAAGTTTCCGTTTCCTTTTTGGTGAAATAAAGTCCAATTTAACCAGAAAATAAAATTATTCAGTTGTCATGTTTTCTTGAGACTTAATTGCTGCCAACTGATCATCAGTAACTTCTTGTTGTTCCCAAATTTGAATGTACGATTCTGAAAGTGTAATCATCTGAGGTAGAATCTCAGTAACGTGAAGATCTTGCATCTCAAACCATTTCCCTGATCCTCGGTGTAAAACGTGAATCCGATAAGATCCTTTCCCTGGTTCTGGGTCACCTTCATGGACAATGTTCGCAATTAGATCGTAGATACATCGAGTTGACTCGGTCTTAACACTTTGTGAGAGTAAATCGGTTAGGTCAACATTTTTTATCGGAAAATTAACAATAGTCGGATTCTTTTCGATATAAAATGTATTCTTGGTGAATCTTTTCATGTAAAGTATCAGATATTTGGGAAGATTGGTCAACTCAAACTTCTTCATGAACGAATCCTTGTAAGTTTTATATTCATTTTCAGAGATTCCATTGAATTTTGCCAGTAGATTGAATAAAGGAATCTGGGGAATGATATTTTCTCGAAGTTCATCTTTAAACAATGGCGGAGGTGGCAAATCCAAGGTAAGGTAAAGAAAATGGGATTCGTCACATTTTTCCTTAAATTCATCTTGAAGCATCAATTGTAATCGTTCATCGATCGTCTTGTCCAAGGGAATAATTTTCCTCGAATAGACTTTCATGGAACCACGAAAAGTTTTATAAATTATACTCGAATTGGTCTTTTGTTTACCACCAAGAGCAATGTGAAGAGTTAAGAAACCATGACATAAATTCAACTGGATCTCCTTGTTCAGTGATTTGGAATTTTTTCTGTGATGAAAGTACAACCGATTGAAGCATCTCATGGGGAGAAACATGGGCCTTAAAGTTTCTTGGATTCCATAGTTTCCTCATCAATTCACCGAGTCTTTGAACAACCAGGAATAAATTGTCACCGGAAGGTCTTTTAGCAGCTAATTTCTCATAATTAGATTCCTTTAGGAAATAATCTCTCAATGGTGGAACATGAGATAAAGCTTGAAGAATTACATTACAATAATCATTATGTTTGATGTTATTTAAACCAACGATTCCAGGTAAATATGTTCTGCCATCAAAGGCTCGGCACAATTTAGATGATTTATCAAATTCTTCAATCTCAGTTGAGGTAAATGTTGGCATGAGAACGTAAGTTATATCATCTGTTTGGGAAAAGAATAGAAAATCAGATTAGTGAGTTTAAGAGGAAAAAAGAATAGAATTGATCTTTGATAAACTGACCGAACATAATTTCTCAAAATCAAAGTCAAGCAAATGTCGATTAATTGTGTCCAAATAAGGACAATTACGAGAAATGTCAGTCATGTTGAACTAAATTAGAAAAGAAAATTAAAATGAAAACAAACAATGAAATCTAAAAACCACTAGAGAGAAAGAGAAACAAAAATGTAAACAGAATTGAGATTGAATTTTGATCACTTTCACTTTCACTTTAGGAAATGTTTCGAATTTGTTTAAGCACAGATTGGTGATGGCAGTGGAATGAAATCGCATCTCATTTTTCCATCATCTTAATACAAATGTAATAAAAAGCAATTACCACCAAGAGCCATCGGTAATTGTTTTCGTTAGTGAAAATTATCACATCCAATATTTAATAAACATCAATGGTAATAAAAAAAATTATCAAAGTAATTAATCAATAAATAAGCTGACAGGTAAGAAAATAATACTTTCAATTTCTTTATTGATCCAATTGATTATTACAATTAACTTGAGTAGCATAAATTGAAAATGATAATTGTTTATCATTCAAAAGGTGATTTCTTATTGCGAGCAACATATTCAATATAAACTGGAATCTTATCTGATGATTGTGATTTTTTCATCTCTTCAGAAACTTTGATGACATTATCATGAATTTGTTGATCACCAAGAACTTGATCAATCGCTTGAACCAACTTTTCGTCAGTAAAGTCGGACAAGTTTATCTTTTTACCGAGCTTCAGATCAGCGACTCGTTGACCATTGTCCAGTTGATCGTCGAATATCGGGATAGCAACCATCGGCTTACCGAAGTATAAAGATTCAACCAATGAATTTGATCCACAGTGAGTGATGACCAAGTCAACTTTCGGTATAATACTCAGTTGTTTGACATAATTATCGCCCCAAACATTTTCGGGCAATTGTATCATGTGGCCGTTTCGACCAAGAGCAAAAATGAATCGATTAGGTGACTTTGCACAGGCATCGACCAGCATTTTAATGAGCGTTGGATCATTCGAAGCATTTGTTCCCATGGAAACGTAAACCAATTTACCAGGTTTATCTTTCAATTTATCGGGTAACTCAAAATCTTGCAACTCAGGTAATCGTATTGATTGATCGAGACGAACCCAATTCTTATTAACCGGACCCAATTCCTTGTAATCCAAAGCTTCGGGGAAGATATAAATTCCCAAATATTCAGCATGAGTCCATGATCGCAATTTTCCTTCAGCAACTCTGATGGCCATTTCTTTCATCATATCATTTCCATTTTCTCGAGCCTCAGCCCATTTTTCGGGTGCATCGAAAACGGAAAGACCAGAGCCAATAGGAGGTCCATTGTACAATGAAACAGGTCCATTGGACATAACAGGGATGAACGGACAAGGACATTCTACGAGGGAAAAAATAACTGTAACAATCAACGTGTATTTGATTAGAGATGAACAACTTACTCGTCATAAAGCCCATTACCCAACGATAATCTCCCAATACTACATCGGGTTTAATGACTTTCATTGCGTTTTCGATTGCAGCATTTTCACCACTAAACATTGGTCCTCTTCCACCACCTCGAGGTCCACCACCACCTCGATTACCACCTCGACCTCTTCCTCCTCCTCCGCGCATCAAATCCTTTGGTGAATATTTTTTTTGATTGTCGAATGTCTCAAGAGAAGAATCACTAAAAGGTCCAGAATGGGTTTTCTCAAGAGGATCATCGGCCTCTTGATAATCAAAAATATCGATAAATTTGATTCCCTGATTTTCAGCAAGACTCTTGTGTTCAGGGTAATGAATGAACATCACATTGTGCCCACGATCAACCATCAGTTTACCAATACCCATGGAGGCATTAACATGACCAATTCTGTTAATTATCAGAATAGAACAACAATCAAATCAAAAATCTTTCATATTAATCATATGAATAGTTACCAAAAGGCTTTTTCTTACTATTTTATCATCTAAAAGTTTCATCAATCGTTTCAAGTTACATTTTCTAACAAAAGAACCAACCAAATTGAGTTGACCATCACCACATAACAATTGAGACTGTCCATTGATTCAGAATGATGAATTGATCACCACAAGACAATTAAACCTAAAATTTAATCAGTAAACTAATTTAGTAAAGACAAATCAACTTACCCTCTACTTGCAGTAATCAGGACATTTAAAGGTTTCAGTGTATCAACCATATTGAGTTAAATTGTGATTAGAAACTGTTGATAATTAAGTTGATTTTCAGGCTTGGTAGTATTAATGTTCACCAATTGAATGACTGATTGTAAATAAATGTTAATTGTTGAATTCAAATCGTTTATATTGAGTTTGATTGTCTCAAGGTTACCTTTTAATTTGATCCTCCTCTTTGGTGTAATAATCATTCAATATTTAATCACCTTGTTTTAATTGCAATCATTTATTAATGTTACAAATTATTGTCATGATTAAGTGTCAACAATGAAATCCTTTCAGCTTATGATTAATCATTTACTAGATTATATTAAAAAGGCTTGGAAAATTACAATACTTTAATTATCTTAAATCAAGATTAATTCCTAGAATTGGATCACTTTTAATAATAATTGGAGCTATTAATAAGTACGATAATGAATATAATAGTTAGTCAGTTAATCTGATTGACCAAAGTTAACTAGATTAAAAAATACTCCAACCAATCAGAATCCCTTAGTTAATATTGAGACGCAATTGTTTTAATCATTATTGATCTTATATCAGAAAAGATATAAAAATTAATCATTGAATTAAAATGTTTAAAGTCAAATCAAAAATATCGCCGTTGATTACTTGCAATTGTTAATCTATCTCACACTGAGCAGTCTTGAGTAAATATCTTGTTGACAATCAATTGATTGTCAACAATCAAGGTTAAAACATAACAGGATCATTTGCTTTTGTGTTGTATTTCTTTTTTTTTCTTAAAAATTCTGTATCTTTTCCAACAAATGTTCGACATGAATAAAAATAGCTTTATTGAAAGTTCATAAAAAAAGTGATCTTGAACTGGCCATTACAAGGTCTAAAATAAAGGGACAGTGAAGATAATCGAAAAAGAGGTAAGATGAGCGTTAATGGTTGGAGGTGAAGCCTATGGTTTTTCAACACACTTATCATTGGTGTCCATTAGTTCAAAATGTTAAAATTAAGCTGAACTTTGGGTTAATTGTGCACCCGTTTGATTGTCCCAGGCCCTCCGGGCCTTCCTCTGTCAATTTTGACCCTTTCAATGAAGACCTATCTTCTGGTGAATACGGGCCAAAATTAACCCATACGAAGGACGAAGGACGAGAAATATTATCTGAAACTTGTAGGTAAAAGTAAATTGTTTTTTCAACACTCGGAATTTTAACTGATTAAAATAAAGATTAATAAATTGGGAAACACCAATACATTGCGTTTATTGATTGACTAACATAACCTGCATTTGCACTATCTGAGTTTGGATCTACAGGTCGGTACAAAATACATTTGAACAATTTTGAAGCTCAATAACTAACAGAATACTAGCATTTAACCATTGATTTATACATCATTCGATAGCTAATTTTATCAGCTTAAATTTGATAATAAAATTGACCTTTTAAACAAAACCATTTTTTACAAGGTTTGATCAAGACATAAAAGGTCATTTTTGCAAAATTTAGGCCAAAAAAAGTTCAACTTACTATTATTTTTAACTGTATGCACAGAAATTGATCAAATTTCATTTTTAAAAAGTTCTTTTTGGCGACAATAACATGTAAGAAAACTATTATTTTATCTGCAATATTTTGGCCACAATCGTGAGGTCAAATTTGCGATTTTTCAGTTTGAAAAACCCCAGCCTAAAATGACATAGACAGTGGCGCCATCCGAAAACGGGTTTTTCGACTCAAATTGGCCTGGTTAATTTATTAATTGTTTTAAAAAAATGAAATTATGTTTAAATAATATTGAATAGTTGAGCTATTCACTCATATTAATTAATAGATAAACAATCTAATCAATCAATAGTTACAACCATTCAAAATTGTTCAAATGTTTTATGTACCGACCTGTACATATCCGATTTGTGAGCTACCCAAACCGGAACCAACACCAGCACCCAAACCAAAACCAACACCAATACCAGCACCGGAACCAAAACCAAATTTAGCACCGGAACCATCACTAGTACCCAAACCAAAGCCAAATTCAGCACCGGAACCAACATTAACACCCAAACCAATACGCGCACCAGATCCAGCACCAGCAGCAACAACCCCGAGATCTGGATACTGGTTGGATACAGATGACACAAGAGCCATAAAAATGGTAATCAACCAAAAAAAATTTACACTTTTGAGTGGATTGAAACTCATTTTTTTCTTGATAAAACTCAGAATTGTAACTGTTAGAAATGTTCACTTATTTAGATTAAGATTTAATTTAACTATGAATTTCCCTTCAAACAATTTCAACTTTTATGTGGTTTTCTCACATGTCAACCTGTTGTTCTGGCCTCGATAAAGTTACCTGAATAAACTTAAGTTTATGTTTAATTAAACATAAATTAGTTTCTTTCTGACTAATTTAGACTAAATAATCAAAAATATAAAGTAAGTAAATTACTCAGTAATTAACGATTCAATTGACAATTTCAAAAAATTACTTTTTTTTAAAACAAAATGAAAATGAAAACAATTCACTTTTAATGTTAACTTTCAAAAGAAAAAACCACTGAAAGTAATTCTCTGGTCATTCAAACAGCAACGAAAAGTGGATGAGAACAAAAATAATATCAGATATGCATAAGGAGACAATTTAATAGAAATTGGATTAAGATAATAAAAGAGAATCAAATTAGTCTGAGGATCTAGAAGCTTCTGATCAAATTGGAAAGTCATCGGAAAAGAAAACAACAATAGTGAATTCGAGGAAAATGAACAGTTCCAATGCTATTGGTGATCAAAGAGAATACAATTATTGTGCAATGTTCTCAACTCATTTTTCGTTGCTGTGGATTGAAAATTAGTTCGAATTAAATGAGTTTAATTCATCTTTTTTTCTTTCGAATAATTAAAATAAAATAGAATTGGGTTTTCATTTGGAATCAAATCTTAGGTGAACGAGAATCTAATATTGTTAATTGTCAGGTTACGAAAATTTATCTTCCTGATTAACTTTTTTCACCAAACAATTAGCCTAATTATTGTTACAATTATTGTTGTAAATCATTATATTTTTAAATCTTTAAACAGATAGATGAGTTTGCCAAAATGTTTTTTTCTCATTCCAATAAAAAGATATTATAATTAAATGGAGAATCGATTGAGTTAATTGTTTGCTTCGTTGTACTGAAATCAGTTGATTCCTCAAACAAAGTGATTTTTAATTGTAAACATGAAATTGTCTGTGATTATTGAAGCTCTTCTCTTAATCTGCCTTCTTACTGACCAATGTCTCACCAAACCAATGGGAAGGTTAAGTGTCAAAGTTTATCGAGGTCCAAACAAATCATTTGGTTCTAAACCTTATGCAACTTGGGGTTATTATGCTTTACTGCCAAGCGATGGATCATCACACAGAGAATCAAGTAATCATCAGTAATAGTTTTCTTTTTAATGTTGTAATCACCAAAGTTTCCGTTTCCTTTTTGGTGAAATAAAGTCCAATTTAACCAGAAAATAAAATTATTCAGTTGTCATGTTTTCTTGAGACTTAATTGCTGCCAACTGATCATCAGTAACTTCTTGTTGTTCCCAAATTTGAATGTACGATTCTGAAAGTGTAATCATCTGAGGTAGAATCTCAGTAACGTGAAGATCTTGCATCTCAAACCATTTCCCTGATCCTCGGTGTAAAACGTGAATCCGATAAGATCCTTTCCCTGGTTCTGGGTCACCTTCATGGACAATGTTCGCAATTAGATCGTAGATACATCGAGTTGACTCGGTCTTAACACTTTGTGAGAGTAAATCGGTTAGGTCAACATTTTTTATCGGAAAATTAACAATAGTCGGATTCTTTTCGATATAAAATGTATTCTTGGTGAATCTTTTCATGTAAAGTATCAGATATTTGGGAAGATTGGTCAACTCAAACTTCTTCATGAACGAATCCTTGTAAGTTTTATATTCATTTTCAGAGATTCCATTGAATTTTGCCAGTAGATTGAATAAAGGAATCTGGGGAATGATATTTTCTCGAAGTTCATCTTTAAACAATGGCGGAGGTGGCAAATCCAAGGTAAGGTAAAGAAAATGGGATTCGTCACATTTTTCCTTAAATTCATCTTGAAGCATCAATTGTAATCGTTCATCGATCGTCTTGTCCAAGGGAATAATTTTCCTCGAATAGACTTTCATGGAACCACGAAAAGTTTTATAAATTATACTCGAATTGGTCTTTTGTTTACCACCAAGAGCAATGTGAAGAGAGTTAAGAAACCATGACATAAATTCAACTGGATCTCCTTGTTCAGTGATTTGGAATTTTTTCTGTGATGAAAGTACAACCGATTGAAGCATCTCATGGGGAGAAACATGGGCCTTAAAGTTTCTTGGATTCCATAGTTTCCTCATCAATTCACCGAGTCTTTGAACAACCAGGAATAAATTGTCACCGGAAGGTCTTTTAGCAGCTAATTTCTCATAATTAGATTCCTTTAGGAAATAATCTCTCAATGGTGGAACATGAGATAAAGCTTGAAGAATTACATTACAATAATCATTATGTTTGATGTTATTTAAACCAACGATTCCAGGTAAATATGTTCTACCATCAAAGGCTCGACACAATTTAGATGATTTATCAAATTCTTCAATCTCAGTTGAGGTAAATGTTGGCATGAGAACGTAAGTTATATCATCTGCTTGGGAAAAGAATAGAAAATCACATCGGTGAGTTTAAGAGGAAAAAAGAATAGAATTGCAATTTGAAATTGGAAAGATAGAATTACTCACCTAAGGAAGAATCTTTTATCTCGTAATTATCAGGTAAACAATAGAATTTAAGTGTTTCTAAATTAAGATAAACATGATGATCGGTGGCAACCGAATGGACAAAGGCATGAGTTCCTATTCCTCTTCCTTGGAAATATTTTCCACACACAAGACAAGCATAGACATTGATCTTTGATAAACTGACCGAACATAATTTCTCAAAATCAAAGTCAAGCAAATGTCGATTAATTGTATCCAAATAAGGACAATTACGAGAAATGTCAGTCATGTTGAACTAAATTAGAAAAGAAAATTAAAATGAAAACAAACAATGAAATCTAAAAAACCACTAGAGAGAAAGAGAAACAAAAATGTAAACAGAATTGAGATTGAATTTTGTTTACTTTCAATATGAAAATTTGAGAATTGTGTTCAAGCGCAGATTTCAATCACTTTGACAATTAATTAAATTGCTAAATTCACTTGTAATCAGTAAGAAAAGAAATTAAAAGCTGATGAAATTGCCTGAAGTAAATGTGGAAAATAATTTAGAAGTTGGATTCAAATTGTCCGGTTACATTTCTGATCATCTGTAGTTAGGTAACTATGAGTGAGAAAGGGAAAGAGACTCAGAATTTAACTTTACTTTGACTTTGTCTTTGCTTTTGTTTTCCTTTGTTAATTGTGATTAAGTTAATTGCTGTTCATTCCAATTACATTCCAATTGATTAGAAATCATGACTTTCTGGAGAGAAGCTGGTTTAAAGTAAGTGGAATCAGTTAATTTTCATCTTTTCTCTTGAAACGTTTTCTATTCACCATTTTGGTTGATATTTACATGTACTTGTTGCTTGTTCTTGTTTACGTTTAGTGATTTTAATTTCATTTCTTAATTGTTTCCGTTTTTCTTTGATTTTCTTTTATTTATTCAGTTATCTTCAATACAGCCGAATTGCTGGTCGAATAGTTCGACAATCATTGAAAAAGGATGTCAAGGTTGGAGATAGAGAGGCAAGAAATCAATCAACTATCAAAATAGTTGAAGCCAAAAAGAATTGAATTGATTAATCAACTGAAAATCAACATGTTCCAAAACAAAGAAGATTTTTATAATGTAATCTACTTTTTTCATTAAAAGTTATACATTTCCAATTCTAATTACGATTTCATCAGTTTTTATCGGGTCTTCTTTTCATGATAACAAACTTCTAATTGTTATCAATTGGTAGTCGATTTAATTGCCATGTGGATTGATCAGCAAGAGGAAATTAAGGTAAACGAGAATAAGATCAAAACAAATTGATTCCTCAGCTGATGCGAAGACTGCTTGAAAAATCTTTCATCTTGTGATTGAATTTTGGCCTTACATCAACAAGATCGCGATTTAAACTCGTGATCCAAAAAGCTTAATAAGTGTTGGCACTTTTCGTATTAGAAAAGTTCAATTTTCTATTTGATGACAAATGTCTTCTTTTCAAGTAGATAATTTTTGCAGATTGTCGTTGATTTGAAACGATTTTTGTTATACAAAATAATCGGGGGTAATTTCTTTTCAATTATGGAATTAGTTTGATCAACTCAAAAGAGAATCAATTTACAATGTAGACTACAAATTGATGGCGGTAAAAAATATGTTGAACATTTTGCTTCCTTCGTGCGATATGTTTCGTACTAATTGGAAGGTTTTTTGGTGAAGAAACTTGAGATACTTCGAATTCCTGATTGTTTTGAAGCCTTTTCCAATTCCTTTTGAGATCTAGATAATTTCGCCTTTTTAGCAGCACCATTTACTGGGACTTCTTCCTTGCAGTAATTATCAATGGGTTCACATTTTGCTCCATCGATTGGCCGTTTTTGACCCTTTGGGGTACTACTGGCAATGGGTTTTGTTTCAGGTTCGATTTCTTTTTCTTTCTCTAAATTGTAAATTTCTCTCAGTGAAGTTAAAACATCTTCAGGTAAATATTTGGAAAGTAAATTAACAGCATATCTGATATACTCTTTTTCATCAGTCTTTGTATCACGAGCAGATGAAAATCCAGCTATTTTAGTTGAATTAACTGATACTTCAATCTTCATTTGTTGTAAACAATTAATTATCTGATTAACTTTAGCTTTTAACCAAGTAATTAGCTTTTTTTCATCCAAACGGTAATAAATCTCATTGTCCAATTCTTTGACATCAGCAATACAACAAATATCACTTCTCTTATTGGTCTCAAATATTTTGATCATAATTGTACTTCCTTTATCATCACCAAAAATGTCTTCCAAAGATTTAAACAATTTACTATCACCAATTAAATTAGGTAAAATTATAAACAATGGATCAACTTGAGTAACCATTTGAAGGGAACCATTTTGTACAACTCTCTCCCCGACAAACCAAGATCTATAAATGAATAATCAAGAAACAGAAATTAATCAGTAAAATGAAAGAAACAACAATTGCCAGAGAAAATCAATTCAATTTAAAATAAAAACAAAAAAAGAATAGAAAAAAATTACCTTCTATCTTCAGAATATTGAACAATCTCATAAACATTGTTGTATTTATCATCGTAAAGGTAACAACCGTTTTTACCAAAAGTGAAACTTTTCAATTTTCTATCAACACAACATGTTGGTAAAGTGATTATCTTATAATCTGCTTCTTCATCAGCCATAATTATCACAGTAAATTAAAAAGACAAACAACAATTAAGAGCAACAATTAATTTAGAAAATTATTTACAACATTAGTCTTTTACAAAGAAAAAAATTCAAAATGAAAGAGACTCAACTTACCATCTGTTTACCGTTTTCGCTTATCGGAAATGATAACCGAGTTTTGTTTATTCTAAATTTTTTCAGTTCGGATTAGATTTGTTTCTCTTTTTTGTTAATTAACTTCTTTCTCTTTTTAATTAATCAATTTTACCTGGATTTATATTTAACACTGATCGTGTGTGTTTCTATTCTCACTTTATACCTGTTCCATTTCTGACTGAAAGAGTTAAATTGTTGTAATTCTTTGGGTTTCTTATTTTTGGCTCTTCAATATTTGTCAATCTCTTTTTCTTTTAATTTGTTGGTTGATTCTTTTTTCTTCTTTTACTCTATTAATTATTTATTGCTGTTAATCATTTAAAACTTGAGTGTTCTATTTGTTCAATATCATCATGTTAAATGAAGAAGATGATCTTCGATCCAAATTGGACCAATCGGCTGTTACATTGGCTGATAAGGTTCGCATATTGGATGCCTGGTCTAAGTATATTAGACTTCATAGAGAACGGCAAACTAATATTGGTAAATTTCTTATTCTAATTGACCTGATTAGCTTTTATACCTTTTTTCCCTTTATCTAATTTGATTGTTTGTTCCTTCTAAATAGAAACTGCCAAAGCTGTTCTTGGAAATTGTCCTGATATGTGCCCAGAATTTGAAAGATATTTTAGAGAAGAAAATAAACAATTATCATCGCTGGAAATGTTCAACAATGAACCTGATCCACATGCTATGGTTAAAGAATATCGTAGAGCTGGTGCTGATCAGGAAGAACCTTTGCCAAATGAACTACGATCACCTGAAGTTTTATCTCGAACTATGGATTATCTTATATGTAATATTATTGATCGCGTTGAAAATGAGCCTGGTATTGTTAGCGATTGGTATGATTTTGTTTGGAGTCGAACTCGAGCCATTCGTAAAGATATCACTCAACAGCATCTCTGTGATCCAATAAGTGTCGCACTTTTGGAAAAGTGTGCTCGTTTTCACATCCACTGTGATCATGCCTTAATTGAAGAAGATGCTTCTGTTTTTGATTCCAAGATCAACCATGAGAATCTGAGTAAATGTCTCCAGTCTCTCAAAGATTTTTACAATGATCTCAATATAAAAGGAACCGCATCACCAAATGAATCTGAATTCCGTGGTTATTATCTATTGTTAAATCTTGGTCGACCTGATATCCTTCGAGAGGTCAAACTATTCCATACTTCAGTGAGAAACTCAGAGCCTGTTCAATTTGCCTTGAAATGTCATTTCGCCATGAATACTAATAATTTTATCAAATTTTTTGACCTTGTCAGAAGTACTACCTATCTAAATGCATGTATACTTCATCGATATTTTTATGAAGTTCGTCTTCAGGCTTTCAAGATCATGAGAAAAGCATATACAATAACCAATCAAATTGAAATCTACCAATTCTCGGAACTCACTCGTCAACTTGGATTTGAACATGAAGATGAAATTAGAGTTTTCTGTGCAAGTATTGAATTAGAATGTGAAAATGATTCAGTTCTACTGAAAAGAGGAAAAACCAATGACGGAAGGGCCAATATTCAAATTATCCGATCAAAAGCATTGATCTCATCGAAAAGACTGGAGAAAACATTAAGTGAAATAGTCCAGGGTGGACCAATTCCAGAGAATCCATATAAAAAGTTTCCACTTCACAATAGTTTCGATTCCAATGGACGTTTGAAAAAAGAATCTCTTATTGGAACTGAGAGGAGAACTCGTCAAATAGTTGGAAGCTCATCAATTGATCGAACACCAATACCTCAACCATCTCAACAACAACAACAAAGTCGAATCAGAGAAGATGTAATAAATCAAGCGTCCATTCAATTAGCTCAAATGCTGCTTCACGAAGTTATTAGAGAAACCGTTATATCCAATGCTGGGAAGGTTCGAACTCATATTAAATGGGAAATTCTTTCCGCTCGAGAAGCTGAAAGAATCTGTAATAGTCTCATCTCCTTTATCGTCTCCGATATTATTAGATCATCTTATCATTCTGTTGCTCGTCAAATCAAAGAAGTTGAAATACGAGCCAAAGATTATCGAAATGCTGTTGATACTGTTTCCAATCAATTGTGCGATTCGTTGGTGAACCATTATATTCTTGGAAGTCTCAGAAATTCAGCTATATCCATTTTAAATGCTTCTATTAAGGATCACAATGTGAGGAAAAGTCGACTCTTGGTTGAATCTATTCTGGAAGAAGTGGTCAATGAACAGACCAAACTGATTGCTCAAAAATGTTACGAAAAGTTAAAAAATCAAGAAGAATTAGTTAAATATATGAAAGAGAAACGATCTCAGCGTTTAGCGAAACATTATTTTTCCTATTGGAGGAAAATGTGCCTTAAGGTAAAACGTTATCGACAAATAAGAGCGACATTTCCTGCTGCTAATGTTGAATGTTTAAGTCCACGAATTGAATCAATCCAATTAAAACGAAAAGTTGTCACTGTTTTAGAATCAACTGAATCACCTATCGAACCAAGTCCAGGGAAACAGAAGAAATCAGAATCAAATGAACCTCGAATGGAATCAATGATGAATATACTCAAGCCTAAAATGTTTGCCGAACAAGTGACCAATTTAAGTAGTACCCTTGATCCCGTTGGCGCGATTGATGATTCATCACCAATGGAGAAACTTAAACGTAAATTAAGCGTTGAAAAAGAATTAGGTCATTCATTACGACGAAGTATCGAAACATATCGACAATTTTCCCAATTCGATGAAAATGGCCCAAGAGATGACATTAGTTCGAAATAAAAACCCTCCAACACAAAAAAACGAAAGAAAAAACTCCAACAATCTAATTAATCTTAATATTCATAACATTGAATTTCACCCAAACAACAATTCCAAGTGTTTAACTAATTTCTACTTTTAATGTGTTATAATAAGAAAAAAAAATTGGAAAAAGTTTGCATAAATGATTTAGTCAATTTGCAAGAAAATTAGATGACCAAACAATTTATAATGTGACCAAATAATTTATTAATAGAGACGAAAAAAGATAATAAATTTTCTTGGAATAATTAATTTTCTTATTTTCAAATCATTTGAAGCAATAGAAAGATTAAAGAAAAATAAAGAATATCAATAAAATGGAAATGAAAATGATAAGTTTTCATCTTTGTGTCAAGATAAAGATTAAATTTAGATGAATGGTTAATTATTAGATTATTAAGCCAATTATTTTTTAGACGAATAGAAATCAAGTTAATTGGATCAAAAGAATTTCATTTGGAATTTTGAAACGCGCGCTTCTTTTTGAAAGAAGCGCGGTCAACATTTTACTCAATTTCTGTTTCTTAAATTCTGAGATTAGTTTTGTTAAGTAACAAAGTGTTTAATATTAACTCTTTAATTGAAATTTTGTTGATTGTTAAATTATCTTTTTCTTGTCAATTAATTTTTATGCTTCGTTCTAGTTTAACTGTTATTTGTCTGTTATTGATTCCCTACTGAGCTGAGAAAAATGTCTGACGATTGGGGATCAGCCGGTGATTGGGGAGATTCTGGAAATTCTACAAAAAAATCTGATGTAACATCTTCTGGTGCTGGTAGTTCATGGGGAAATGGAGCTACTGGTGGTTCATCGGCAAAAGCTAGTTCAGGTGATGATTGGGCATCTGGTGGTGATTCATGGGGAGATTCCGGTGGTTCCTCGAAGAAATCTGGTGGTAATGATGCCGGTAGTTCTTGGGGTGCTTCTGGTGGCTCTTGGGGAGCCAGTGATGTAGGAAGCTCAGACAAACCAAGAGGTAAAGGTTGTTTCAAATGTGGACAGGAAGGGCATATGTCTCGTGAGTGTCCTTCTGGAGGAGGAGGTGGTGGCGGTAGCCGAGGTAAAGGATGTTTCAAGTGTGGTGAAGAAGGTCACATGTCTCGTGAATGTCCATCTGGAGGAGGCGGTGGATCTCGAGGTAAAGGATGTTTCAAATGTGGACAAGAAGGTCATATGTCTCGTGAATGTCCTTCCGGTGGTGGTGGTGGCGGCGGTAGCCGGGGTAAAGGCTGTTTCAAATGTGGACAGGAAGGTCACATGTCCCGAGAATGTCCTTCAGGAGGAAGTGGCGGTGGTTCAAGAGGTAAAGGATGCTTCAAGTGCGGAGAAGAGGGTCATATGTCTCGTGAATGTCCCTCTGGTGGTAGTGGCGGTGGCGGTGGCGGATCGAGCTTTTCGTCTAAAAAAAAAGGCAGTGATGACTGGGGATCTGGGGGTGGGGGAGGATCATGGGGAGAATCTGTGTCTCCAGCTCAAAAGAAAGGCAAATACGAGTCTGATGGTGATAAAAGCTCAGCTAGTAAAGAAACCGATGATTGGGCATCTGGTGGTGGATCGTGGGGTGACTCTGGCTCTTCCTCTCAAAAAAAAAGTAGTGATAATTGGGGATCCAGTAGTGGGGGCGGGGGTGGAAGTGGTGGTGGTGGTGGCGGGTCCAGCTCTTCAGCTAAAAAAAGTACTGATGATTGGGGATCAGGTGGTGGAGGAGGATCTTGGGGTGAGTCCAGTTCTTCAAAGCCTTCACCAAAGAAAAGTAATGACGACTGGGGATCTGGTGGGGGAGGATCTTGGGGTGAATCTAGTTCCTCAACCTCTGCCCCTAAAAAAAGCAATGATGATTGGGGATCAGGTGGTGGTGGTGGATCCTGGGGAGACTCTGGCTCTTCCTCTCAAAAGACAGGAAATGATGATTGGGGATCTGGTGGAGGAGGAGGAGGAGGAAAATCTTTTGGTGGTCGAGATAAACCTCAAGGTAAAGGTTGCTTCAAATGTGGTGAAGAGGGTCATATGTCACGTGAATGTCCTTCAGGTGGCGGTGGTGGGGGTGGTTCAAAAGGAGGTAAAGGCTGTTTCAAGTGTGGGGAGGATGGACATCAAGCTAAAGATTGTAGTGCACCTTCACTTGATGCCGATGGTAAACCCCGACCTCCAATTTATAAGCCTCCTGATCTGAATAAAGATGACAAATCACTTTATGAATCAGTTGCTACTGGTGAAAACTTTGACCGATATGATAGTATGCCTTGTTCCGTGAGTGGTCTCAATGTTCCCAAAGATCCCGAGAAATATGAGACCTTTGAAGAAGCATTTACTAGTACAACCATAAGAGAAGGACTCGCAGCCACAAAGATTTCAAAACCAACGCCTATTCAAAAATATGGAATGAGAATCGTAATGGCCAAACGAGATTTAATGGCTTGTGCCCAAACAGGATCGGGTAAAACTTTAGCTTTTATACTTCCAATTTTGCAAGATTTATATTCAGATCCAAATACCTGCAGTGAATATGGTAAAATGCCCCAAGAACCGGCCGCAGTTATTGTAAGTCCAACCCGTGAATTGGCTCTTCAAATTTACCGAGAAGCATACAAATACAGTGCCGATAGTATAGTTAAAGTTCAAATAATTTACGGAGGAACATCAGTTTCTCATCAAAGAGCTAAATTATCTGAAGGTGTTCATATTCTTGTTGGTACTCCTGGTCGATTACTCGATTTTCTCAATAGAGGAATTTTCTCTTTCTCAAATTTAAAATACTTTGTTTTGGATGAAGCTGATCGTATGATTGATTCTGGTTTCGTTCCTGATGTTCGTAAAATGGTCTCCCATCCTACTATGCCGCCTAAAGAAAAACGTCAAACTCTCATGTTCAGTGCTACATTTCCCGATGCTGTGCAAACAGTTGCCGCTGAATTTTTGAAATCTGATTATCTTTTCCTGACTGTTGGTATTTTGGGTGCTGCGAACGCAGATGTTGAGCAAACAATAGAAAAAGTAGAAAAGTTCAGCAAAAGAAATAAATTACTCGAGATACTTGGGACCAATAAAAACAATGATCGAACTATGATCTTTGTTGAAGCCAAGAAAACAGCTGATTTCTTGGCATCCTTTTTATCTCAATCTGATTATAGAGCAACAAGTATCCACGGTGATCGTTATCAGCACCAAAGAGAAGAAGCTCTTCGAGATTTAAAGTCGGGAAAATTTCCCATTCTAGTTGCAACTTCAGTTGCTTCTCGAGGTCTCGATATTCAAGGCGTGAGACATGTGATAAATTATGATCTTCCCAAAGAGATTGATGATTATGTTCATCGAATCGGTAGAACTGGTCGAGTTGGTAACAAGGGTAAAGCCACAAGCTTTTATGATCCTGGTCAAGACAGTGCTTTGGCTAAGCCAATCATTGCGATTATTAAAAGTGCCAATCAAGAAGTGCCTGAATGGCTTAATGAAGAAGCGGAGGGTAATAATAGAGGATATGGCGGAGCAGATTTCGGAGGAGTTGATATCAGAGATGTAAGTACAATATTTACGCTTGCGATTTTTTTCAAATAAGTTTAAACACATGAAATAATGATTTTTAAAATTTTCTTTCAGGGCAATTATGTTGATATTGATGCTCCAAAATCATCATCATCAGTGAGTTGGTGTCTAGATGCACCAAAAAATGATTCAGCCATTGATGATTGGAATCAACCAGCACCCAAGAAGGAAAATGAAAGTTCAGTTAAAAAACAACAAAATGAAGTGATCGATGATTGGAACTCAGAGCCACCGAAAAATGAACAAATCAAGATAAAAAATGAGGTTAAGGATGAACCTTCAGTTAAACAAGATTCATCAATAGATGACTGGAACTCAGATCCACCGAAAAACGAGAAAGATACATCAATAGGCCGAATGAACGAGTCAGCTACAGATGATTGGAACCAAGATCCACCCAAGAATCATCTAGAAGATGAGTCTAAAGATAAAGTTCAGGAAAATCCAAAAATCGAGCAAAATTCATCAATAGATGACTGGAATTCAGATCCACCAAAAAACGAGCAGATTGAGATAAAAGATGAGATTAAGGATGAACCTTCAGTTAAACAAGATTCGTCAATAGATGACTGGAACTCAGATCCACCAAAAAACGAGAAAGAAGCATCAATAGACCAAATGAACGAGCCAGCTACAGATGATTGGAATCAAGATCCACCAAAAAACGAGAAAGAAGCATCAATAGACCAAATGAACGAGCCAGCTACAGATGATTGGAATCAAGATCTACCTAAAAACCAACAAGCTGACGAATCGAAAGAAGTTGAAGCTCAGGAAAATTTGAAAACCAATCCAGATCCACCAACAGACGATTGGAATCAAGATGCATCGATGGGTGAGCTAAACGAATCAACGAAAGATAATGAGAATCAGAGTTTAGAGAAAGAGGAACTTCAAGATGAGCCCAAAAATGAGATTCATGATTCGCCAAAGAAAGATGAAGATGCAACAATGGATGAACTTAATGAAACTCCAATAACTAATAGTAATCAAGATCCACCAAAAGATGAACAAGATGAGTCTAAAAACGAAACTCAGAATCCATCAACGGACGAGCCTCAAGATGAGCCTAAAGATGAGATTCATGATTCATCAAAGAAAGATGAAGATGCATCAATGAATGAGCTCAATGAAACTCCGATAATTGATATTGATCAGGATGAACCAAAGGATGAACCAAAGGATGAACAAAGTGAGTCTAAAAATGAGACTCAGGATCCATCGAGTATTGAGCTCACCGATAAACCAGTCAATCCGAGTCAAGATGAACCAAAAATTGATTCTGAAAAAGCTTCGAGTGATGATCAGCAAGATGAGTCTAATAATGAGACCAATTTGACCACAATAATTGAGCGTCTTCAATATTCACCAATAAACGAGCCTCAAGAAGATTTGTCTAAAGATGGAATCCATGACACACCAAAGACTGAACATACTGATGAGGCACTAGAATCGAATCAAGAAACACCTAAAGAGGAAAAAGATGAAGCCAAGATCGATGAAGATGCTCCAGAAAAAGATGATCAAGATTCACCTAAAAAAGATGAATCTCAGTTAATCGAGTAGTTATTGAAAGATTAACTGTTCCCTAATTGTGATCCACCAACTCATACCGAACCTCAATCTCCCCAGAATTGCTAATTATCCATTTCCATTTCCATTTAAATTGTTCATTGTTTTTTACCCTTTTTTACTTAATTGTTTTCATCACTGTTCAAAATTTCATCAAAATCAACAACTAAAAATCAAATATTTATCCACTACATTAATTGTACTGACAAAACAAAAACAAAAACAAAAACAATCATAAAACTTAAAGCAATTATGTTAATTAATTAAAAAAATTTAACAATTAATCATTAAGAAGTCTGGAAACGTAATTACTTTTCGTAATTATCAAAGTTTCATCCAATTGACCAATTAACTTTTCTTATCACAAAATTAATTCTTGATAAAAAAACTTACCTCTAATTGATTTTTCTTTCTCAGACTTTTCACTCTCTCTGTTGATTTAATTGCTTAATTGTTTTGTTAATTAATAGATTTACTAACTTTAGCTTTTTTTCTGCAATTAATCTAAACAATTAAATTAATTGAATTAATTGTTACTCTAAATTGTGATCAAATTTTGCGCGAAAAAAAGTAAACCGGTTACATAGGAACAAGAAATGATTTTGTAAACAAAAAGGTAAACTTTGGCTTCGATTTAATTTGCTCTCTATTTCATTTGGATTAATCATCAATTTAATTGTTAATTTTAATCTAATTCTCTCATCAATTTATCTAATCTTGTCGGACAATTTGACCTGATAGATAATCAGTCATGTCAAAACGTCATAGGGTCGATCTTGGTGAAAGAACCAAGAGCAGGTAAGCCTATGAGATAATTTCTTGCTTCTTTTTTCTAAGCTTCTCTTTTGCCTTTTATTTATTTAATTGTCTTTAATTATTGTTTTTTTTATTCTTCTTCTATTAATCATCTTTTTCAATTTGTTTTTTCTTAATCTCTTGTGATTTTTCTTTAGAAGGTTTGATCTTGAAGATGATTCAACCAAACTTAAAGGAGATTCTAATCCTGGTACTTCCTGGGCAAGTGGAGATTTACCTGGATCAACTTTAGCCTCAACATCATCAGCAGCAACAATGATTGGATCAACTTCATCAACCAAAACTGCAGGAATTAATCCCTTGAATAAATTACCTTATTCTCAAAAATATTATGAAATATTTCGTAAAAGGATCCAACTTCCTGTCTGGGAATATAAGCAAAAATTTTTTGATCTACTCGACAAAAATCAAATTCTTGTTCTGGTTGGTGAAACTGGTTCAGGTAAAACTACTCAAATTCCTCAATGGTGTGTTGATTATCTTCGGGAAAACAACAAGAAAATAGGTAAGAAATAATAATAATAAGCAATCAATCCTATGAGAGCTCATTTATCTCTCAGATTGTAAAGAAGTTCCAATTCCAATTTCAATCAAATTTTCTCTTTCATTGATAATCTTTCAGGTGTTGCATGTACTCAACCAAGAAGAGTGGCAGCCATGAGTGTGGCGACTCGTGTAGCTGAAGAAGTGGACGTTGCCTTGGGAGCAGAAGTCGGTTATTCGGTTCGATTTGAAGATTGTACCAGTAAATCCACTGTTCTCAAGTACATGACCGACGGTATGCTCTTGAGAGAAGCCATGTCAGATCCTTTATTGGAAAATTATTCCATCATTTTACTCGATGAAGCCCATGAAAGAACTTTAGCAACCGACATTCTGATGGGCGTTTTAAAACAAGTTGTCACCAAAAGAAAAGACCTGAAAATCGCTGTGATGAGTGCTACTTTGGACGCTGGTAAATTTACAGACTACTTTGACCAGGCACCTTTGCTTAATGTACCAGGGCGAACTCACCCTGTGGAAATATTTTACACCCCTGAGCCTGAACGAGATTATCTTGAAGCGGCGATTCGAACCGTTATCCAAATTCATGTGACCGAAGAAAACGAAGGAGATATTCTTGTTTTCTTAACTGGACAAGAGGTTTGGTCCATTCTTTTCACTATTTTCTTATTCTAGCCTAAAGTATTATACTAACCTCTTTTCCCTTCTCCTTTTCTTAATCATAGGAAATTGAAGAAGCCTGTAAAAGGATTAAACGTGACATCGACAATCTTGGACCTGATGTTGGTGAAATTAAGTGCATTCCCTTATATTCAAATTTACCACCAACTATGCAACAGCGGATCTTTGAACCCGCTCCAGCAAACAAACCAAACGGTCTAATTGGTCGTAAAGTTGTTGTTTCGACCAATATTGCAGAAACATCGCTTACAATTGACGGTGTTGTCTTCGTTATCGACCCTGGTTTTGCGAAACAAAAAGTGTACAATCCCAGAATTCGTGTTGAATCACTTCTAGTATCTCCTATTTCAAAAGCTTCCGCTCAACAAAGAGCGGGTAGAGCAGGTCGAACCAAACCTGGAAAATGTTTCCGTCTTTATACTGAGAAAGCATATAAACATGAAATGCAAGAAAATACTTATCCCGAAATCCTCCGGTCTAATTTGGGCTCCGTTGTGTTACAATTAAAGAAACTCGGAATTCATGATTTGGTTCATTTTGATTTTATGGATCCACCGGCTCCTGAAACATTAATGAGAGCTCTTGAATTACTAAACTATGTTGGTGCTCTTGACGATGAAGGTGAATTAACCGAACCAGGTTCAATTATGGCCGAGTTTCCATTGGATCCTCAATTAGCGAAAATGTTAATAGCTTCATGTGACTTTAATTGCTCCAACGAGACTCTATCAATAACAGCTATGCTCTCAGGTTGGTTAATCAATTTTCATATATTCAAATCCAAATAAATCATTAATTTAATATTAATTATTTCAACAGTGGCTCAGTGTTTCGTACGACCAAATGACCTCAAAAAAGTTGCCGATGAAGCAAAGATGCGTTTTGCTCACATTGACGGAGATCATTTAACTCTATTAAATGTTTATCATGCATTTAAACAACGTAAGTTTTACAACCAATCATAATTAATAAAAACACTATTACAATTAATCAATTCAATTCTCTTCCCCAACAGATCACGATGATCCCCAATGGTGTTATGAAAATTTCATCAATTATCGATCAATGAAAAGCGCTGATAATGTCCGTCAACAATTATCTCGAATCATGGATCGATTTGATTTAAAAAGAGTCTCAACTGAATTTAATCATAAAGATTATTACGTTAATATAAGAAAAGCAATTGTTGCAGGATTTTTCATGCAGGTATTTTAATCGTTTATCATTGAATCTTTCTAATTCTAATAGAAGCAAAACTTAACATTCACATGAATAATTGTTATCTAATTAATTAGGCTGCTCACTTGGAAAAGAATGGTCAATATCGAACCGTAAAGGACAATCAAAACGTTCAACTTCATCCATCAACTTGTCTTGATCATAAACCTGAATGGGTTATTTATAATGAATTTGTATTAACTACCAAAAACTATATCAGAACTGTAACTGATATTAAACCAGAGTGGTAAGTTTAATTGTCTCGGAAATGTATCCAAATTTGTGTCAAATTAATATAGACACAAAATCTTAAGTCAATCTCACCAAATTAGTTACTAATCTTATATCATTTTCTTTTTATTATCATTGTTATTATCCCCTGCAGGCTTTTAAGGATAGCACCAAATTATTACGATCTAGACAATTTCCCTATTGGTCAAGCTAAAAACCAATTAGAATACATAAAAGCCAAAATGGAATCGCAAAAATTTACCCAAGGTTTTCCCCTACCCTCTTAATTGGAAGCAGTTAATTAATTTCAATTGTATTGGTTTTTAACAACTTATTGATTCACACACATTCAGTTGACATTAGCGACCAAATTTATTTAAATACTTCACCATTAATCTTATCGTTTTCATATTCACATAATCTTGATCCTTTATCCGTTCCGATAATTGTTGTCTTCCGGATCCTTTTCATTACGAATCTAATAACATCAAACACCATGTAATTTGAATAATCAACAGTTCCCTAAACAATTAACTAATTAATCTTCAACAATTATTGAAAATTTTGTTACAATTTCAATAATCTTTAAGTTGACATTTCCTCAATCAATTTGTTAATAAAAATAAACTTAAGATTGAAAAACATTTATATTAATTTACACAGAAAATGTTAAATTGTATTAAATAATTAAGACAATTAAGATTTTCTCAATGTGAAATTTGAATCATTTTATAGCTTAAACCTTGATGAGCTTTGAAATGAATTTAATTTCATCAATTTTCAACAATTAGATTAATCATAATCTTAATTTCGTTAATAGTGTTAATCTTAATTATCACCTTCATGTTAACGTTTCTAATTAAATCTAAAAACGATCATGATTGAAAGGAACAAAAAATTGATTAAAAAGTCATTTTTATTCAGAACAATTAAATTCAGTTAATTATCAAATTCTGTCAATCAAGTTTGATAGACGATGACGAATAATTAAAATTAACTGATTAACAATCAATGACAAAGAAACAAGATGAATGTTGATTAATCTTCACTAAATAAATATCAATATTCACGTCAACTAATTCCTAATCAGTGTTACAATACTAATTACAATTAAGTGCAACTATTTTACTCTTCGTTTAATTGTTGTGAATTATTATTCTAAACAATTAAAAAAAACAACAGAATCAAAAGGTAATCAATTCTGTTAATCAACCTTTTCACAAATGAACGTGACTCTGTTACTATTGTTTAAAGAAAATTAAATCAATTCAACTGATCACTGATGTTAATCACCTTGATTAACTAAATCAAGTTAATGAATACACGTCGATAATAACAATTTATTAATCATGGAAACTTTTTACAAACAACGAAATTGTTAGAAACTGGAAGAGAAACAAAATTACCAACAATTTAATTCCTTGATTTCTCGCAATTAACTCTGTTTATAAACGATAATTAGGTTGATTATTTGTTAATTTTTTCGCTTCTAATTGTGATTATTATTAATAATTAACTCGCAACCTCCTTTAATCCTCCTCTTGTCATCTTCATGGTTATTGGATTGACTTGATAAGTTTAAACTCATAATCAATGGAGTATGTTAATTACAATCTTAACCAAAGTGTTATGGATGAGATTTTCAGTAGTTAACAATCAGCTTAATCATCTTAATCATCATCTTATATTTCATCTTAATCATGATCAATTTAAACCTTCAGGTTAAATGATGAAAAAAAGACTAACCTATTTTTGGGTTAACTTTCTGGTTAAATCATCATCATAATAAGATTGTTTTAATAATATTCATCGCTATCTATATAATATATAGATTGTAAGTAAATCACAACAATTAACTTAAACATTGTTTGATTCTCATTGGAAACATTGTATTGGTTGACAATCAATCAAATCGTTTCCCACCAATTTAAATACACAATTATTACATTGAATGTCAAGGGAACAGCCAACAAGAAACTGATCAATTTTAAGCCGATAAATTGTCATTGATTTGCTAATTAAAATGGTTTCGGTTTTGATTTTTTCTTGATTGTTTGCATTTCATCATCAAAATCATAATGATCATCTTGATTGTTGACATTTTGATAATCATTTATATCAGAATCATGATCATTATTATTATTATGTTTCCGAATCGTTATTTATTATTGTATTGATGTAACAATAAAGTTTCATGAGAAAAGCAATTAACTAGATCTCATTGATTTTAAGTGTTAATCACAATCAAAATGACAACAATTTAAAATTTAAATTATTCCCCTATCATAACATGTTGATCTGAATTCACAATTTAACAAAACAATTAAAGGGAAGACATTAAATTTAGATTGCAACTCTTTCGTTTCATTTGTATAATTGTCATGATTAACTGATTGTTCAAAGTTAGGATTGACAATTAAAGATGATTGAAATTGATTATCATTAGGTTGATCAGGTTAAAATGATCAAGGTTAATAATATAATTAGTTGATTGTCAACTGATTAATAAAAAGTTAACACTTTAAATCAATGATTAGTTTTACAAATTACATTTAATTACTTGTTAATTTGGTTATAATTAATCAGTTATCATCCTGATTTACTGTTGATTTAATTAATTGTGATAAATGTGCAACATCGTGTAGGAGTAATAATCATAATTATTTAAATCATGAATCTTGATTAAGTTTTATTTTTTACCGATTACAATTAATGATCAAGTGATATAATCACAAACACTATTAATAAGATGAACAATTTAAATTACCAACAATCAACAAACCTACAAGTTTACTGATTAAAAATCAGCAGGGATTTTTCATTAATTTCAACAGATTCATAGATCATCTAATCAGTTGATTTATAAATTGTTAATTTAATTCATCAACAATTTAGACCAAAAAAAAAAGGTTAACTTGCTAAAAATATAAGACAAGAAAAAAATCTTAATCATAACAAATTGTTGATATCAACTGAATTAAAAACAATTACAACAATCAAAAAGATCATCCTGACAATTAAAAAATAAATTGTTATCAAGATTGAAAATATAACTGATGATCAGTGAGACAATTAATCAAATTAACAGGCAATCTAAAAGTGATATATAAATACAATCAATATTCAATGTTGGTGTTGATCAATTTACTTAATTGTTGAATAATATTTGCGTTCCTAACCTTGAATGTTGATGGTTAGATAGTTAATTGTTTCACGTATTAATCAAGATTCTGTTAATGATTAACTGTTGTCGGTCAAATCAACGTTGACACAATATTAACTCTAATGATAATCAAATGGATCCGCACGATTAACAGTTAATATTTGTTTTCTGTTTTTTAATCATGATGATTTATATTGGAAATGATGAAAAACCGTTAAGGTAAAGATACCTGATCAAATTGGAGGAAGTGGGCTGATGTTGATGGGTGGATGACAATGATGATGATATTAAAATTGGGTTGAATTATATAATTTGTGTACGAAGGGCATCATTGAATCAGTTAATCATTGACAATCATGCAATCATAATAATAATCATCACAATCAAATCATCTATGCAAACACAATATCAATTTCTGGTTCAACTTTTTTTTCCCGAAAAAAAATTGTCGCATCTCCATCACATCCTATCAATATACTAATACTGATAAACAATTTAAAACAATTAACTAAATCCATATTGTATCATAATTATCATTCATTCAACCTACACTTTACTACTAATACTATTATCTGTTTACACCATCACACCCTTAGGCTATTTGGTTAATTGTTTGATCAGTTAAACTGAATGACTTTCTTTAGTTACAATCTAATCTTACAAAGAGTTTACATTTGTAATTACAATCAGTAAATCACTATAAGGACATTAGATAAATTTAAATTACGATAATTATTTCAAAATGATTATCATATCATTGAAAATGTTCACTGTATTGGTTGAGTAAATTGTTTACGATTGAATTTCATATCAATTAGAAAACAATTTGATATTCATTTGGAAACAGGTAAAATTCAATCAATACCATTATCTTTATCATCCTCATCCTCATCCTCATCTTGTTATCATCATCAACTTGTTTATTAATCTTTTGGGTGGACTGGTCAATATGATGGACTCGAAAAAGAAAACTTTTTTTTTCTCTTCCTTCTTCGAAGTCAATATGTTTATATATTCACTCGTGACATGATTTATTTTGGATGATAAAAGATGATGATGATTACCTTAAAAAGAACATTTCAATTTCGAATCATCTTCCTTTCTTTTCCCCATCATCATCATCATCGCTCGTCATTAACAACAAAAGCACCTCCTTTCCTCCCACCCTCCAAATCCACCTCCAATCGTCCTCCTCCTCTCACTATCTTTACATCATCATCATCATCATCATCTTGTTTCTCTTCCTTCCTATCTCACAAACATTATCAGATCATCATCATCATCTTCATCTTCATCAACATCATCATCATCCAACAACATCAACAACATAATCAACTTTACTATTAAGTGTCATCGGAAACACAACAACAACAACATTCATTGTGTCTGTTGATTGAAAACTTGATTGTTGTTTGTTGATAAATCTTAATTTTTTTTGTTTTCTCCCTATTTGTGATTCACTGATTGTTTGTTGGATGTTAATTCACAATTTACATTTTTCTCGTTCAGTGAAACAATCAACACAATATAAGAAAAACTTTTAATTGTTTATATGATTTGGAAAATGTTGATCAACATGGATCGAAACTAAAAAATTACTTTTGTGTCTCTAAATCATCAACAATTTAATTCTTTCATTCAATTTCATAGTTAATATAATATACGATTATTACCAAGGTAATTTAATTTTCTTTTCCTTTTTTTTTCATTAATAATTTGTTACTTTTAATTGTTGATATATAATGTGAATATTATCATTGATCAACGTTAATTGTGCCAATATAATCAACATTTTCTTTTCGTCAACAATCACAATCGATTGATTATTAAACAATCTAATTTAATTGTTATTCTTTTCTCTTTTTTATTCTTAATTTACTTCAGAGTAATTGATTATCCAATCGTTATCCAATTCGAGACAATTAATTCAACTCTCGTCCAGTGTGTCATTTATATTAATCATTAACAATCGGGTTTTAATAATTAGTTAATCAAAATGTTTCCTCGAAAATCAAATTCACCACCAACTTTACAATTAACTCTTCTATTGGCTTTGTTAATTAACCACAATCATAGGAGTTTTGTCATTTGTTCAAATAATTTTAGCCAAAATCAAGGTAAGAAATGAATTAATTAATTAACAGCAAGAGAAACAATTAAATTGATTGTCAACCGAAAGGTATTAATAATAGTAACACCAATATCTCAAGTTAATTGAGTTAACATTAAACTTGATTAGTTGATTGTGATGATCAAAAAAACTCTCATATGAAACAGGATAAACTTTTTTTTCTGTCCAACAATTAACTTAAACATTGATTATCAAAGTTCACAACAATTAAGTCTCAACACTATCATAAGACAATTTATTTGCTTAATTTACTAATATTTGATTAATCTAGTTTATTAAAGTGTAACAATCATAATTTGTTGTGGTTAACAAATTGTTCATTCACTTTTATTGTTAAGTTAATACTCCAAATCAATTGTAATCAATTGGTCATTGATTAAATATTACAATCAAGTTGATTGTTGATAGAATTCAATAAGATTTGATTAACCGGTTAAATTGTTGTAAACAGATTACAATTGATCAGCTTATTAATCAGTTGATAGTTATTTGATTTATTGATTCATTTGGATAACAATTAACTGAGTTAGCTTGAAAATGATTTCAGATTAACAATCAAGAAAACAACATGAATCAAATTGTTTTTAATTTTTAATTGTGATCATAATCATAATCATCATCACAATTTACAATTTAAAAAGCTGCTTGATTATGATTAAAATAATTTGTCAATTGTTATTCCTTCCGTATTCATGATTAAATTAAAGATGATTAGTTAATCCTTCATAAAGAAATTTATTTTTACTTTAACCACCATTAGCTATTAGATTAAACCGTTAACACTGATCAGTTAATTGTTGTCTTGGTTAAGCAATTAAATGCTGACCATTAATACCCAACTCTCCATAAAATATTAAATACTAATTAAAATACAAAACAACAATCAATTAAATCAAAAATAATCAATCAACAACCAACAAGAAAACTTTGATCAACATAACAATTATTAAGACAATCACTTTTTTTTTTGATTAACTTATTCAATTAATTGCAATGAGAAAGTCTTTAAAGTTAGATTTAAATTGTTTTAATTACTTTTCAATGATCGAAGTCAAAGTTAATTATAACAATTGATTTCTAACCTTGTCTACAATTTACCTCTAAATGAGAAAACAATAATTACTATTATTATTATTATCATGATGATGATGATTATGAATAACTAACTGTGCGTGTTTATTGATGATAATGACAATGATGATGAAGATGAGGATGATAATTGAGTTTGATCTCGTTTCATGATTGAGATTCACACTTATTGTTATGGATGAATAATCATTCCAATCTGATTATGATGATGATTAAAATGATGAAAAAAGATGAGGATGATAATGATAATGATAATTCACACACTTGTACACTCACGAAAAATATTATCATTCAATTAGACATTAGAACTAAAGTTAGAACAAAAAAAATAAACTTTTTAAGGTTCGACAAAGTATCGATTTCGTTTATTTTTTTTCTCGATTTTGTTATTTTCTTTTTTCTTCACCCAATCGATTTTAATTATTGGTTAATCAAAGTTTTCTCATTTAAAAATGAAAATGATTCCAAGTGAAAGTCCATTGACCTATTGGGAATAGTTAGTTAATTGTTAGACTATCGTTAGTGATCAATATTAATTCATCATAATCAGTCTCATGTTTTTGATTGATTGTTGTTTTATTTGTATCACAAGTTCAAGATCAATCATATTAATTGTGAGATTTTGATTGTTATCATTTCCAAAATAATTGATAACTTAATTGTCGTTATCATTTAATTTAATAGATTTAATTTCGTTGATTATTTACAAACAATTTACATAATTTAACGGGGAAACTTAATATGGGAGGATAGAGTTGATTGTTATGCTAATTGTTGAGATTACTTTTCAATTTACCCTTAATTAGGTTGATTTGGTTTTGTTGGGAATTATTTTTAATTTGTAATTACAATTAGTTTCAAGAATTGGTTTTCTTTTTTAAATTATTATTATAATTTAGGGTTTGTTACTTATTATCATGATTGGTGATGAGGATGATGAATAATTTAACTACAATCAATTGATTGTTGTCTTGAATTTGTTGAAAAAAAAACTAATAATTGTGATTAACAATAACTCGCTTCAATAAGTTACACTAAAAGTCAATTGATCTGTAAATTGTCATTTTAATTGTTATCAAATTGTTACTTATGATTATGGAGTCAGGTTATTTTGGTTTGAATAATGGTTGCTAATCATCACAATTAATAAACATAATTTAATTGCTAATCAATACATTCTTATGCTCATCAACTTATTGATTACTGATGATGATGGATTGTAATTAAGACAAAAATAACAATTGATTTAATTTGTGGTTGATTATAAAGAGCAAGAACCTTTTTGATTGAGTTGACAATTAGTTAACCAATTGAATTAATCATAATACACTAAGGAGATTATCAGATTATAATTAGATGACACTTTGATTGCTTAATTAAGGCTTAATCATCCTGAGGCTATTAGACATTATATAAGATTATTTTTAATTGCAAGAGAAATAAAAATTATTTAATTCTGTTTGATTAAAGATCAATTTAATTATGATAAACTGAATCAGTTCAATTTGGTTAATTGCTTAACAGTTAGATGAAAATTGATCATTTTAATCTGATTACCAACTTTAATCCAAAGTCTAATTAGTTGATTAGCAATAATGACCATGATAATCAGTTAAATTGCTTGCAAAGTATTAATATAAGGTTAATTATAATTATTTGTCCTTCAATAACATTAAACAATTAAAAAGCCTTAAATTTAGTTCCTTGAGTTAATTGTTGACTCAATCTTAACAATATCTTGAATCGTGATCAAGTAAATTACCAATTACATTTTTTTCATTTGTCACTTAATTCATCATTATTATTTATTGAATACACATAACCTTTGAAGAGAGAGAGAGAGAGACAATCTAATTACAATTAAAGGGTTGACCAATTAAGCGTAATTATTGATTAACTAAATCAATTCTGGATTCAACCAGGACACAAATTCAACCTGAAAAACTGAAAACTATATATACTCAAGAGGATTAATCAAGATTCATTGGTTGTGATTGATTAAAAGATGATTTTGACAAACGGTCGACTGATTATCACCATCAACAGGACAACATGATGATGATGATGAAAAAAAAACAAGATAATTAAATTAATATTAGATTGGATTAGATTAGAAAAGGAGAAAGCATAAAATTTTCAGAAGGGAAAAAAAGTAAACATCATTTTTTTCCCTCTCATCTAAAGGTAACGAAAACATTGTCATCCTCATCATCATTTATGTCTTAATGTGTGTTCTTATCCTCCTCCTCATCATCATCATCATCTCTCAATCAGAAATGACCTAGAATCAATGTTCCATCAATGTTACTAATAACTGATGAGAGAGAAGATCAATTTTAAGGAAGCGACACTTTTCCGCTTTGTATCCCATTAATATCTTTATGGAGTTTTTTACCTTTCTCTCTCTCTCTCTCTTCACGGTGAATTGATCTTCAAGTCGATATCACATATCACTAAATATGTGATGATTTAGTTATAACTTGAGGCCACTTTTCAATGAACCTTATTAACTACAATAATGTATAAGAAGTAACAAAATTGATATTAAAAGTTTGTCTTTGATTTCAATGCATCGCTATTTAGATGATTAATAACAAAAGTTTACAAAGACAATCATTTTCAACATATTGATTGTAAAGAAATGCACTTAATCATTAATAGAGATTGATTACTTTAATTATCACTAGATCGACGTGATCATTAATCCAAAATCGTTGTTATCTTGTTTTCCAAGGGAAATTCACTCTAAATAATACATTTAAATTGTTTTTTCTTTTCGATGATTAGGTCAATCCTCTAATTCACAAGTAACATCGACCAATACAACAACCGAATCACCAAGATACATTCCTTCACAATCAGGATACTCAGATGATGATTTTACCTCAAGCCATTCACTTTCACCACAATTATCCTCATCATCCTCATCCTCATCTTCTTTACCTTCGGCAAGTCATTCAATCAAGGAATCACGTCGATCGTCACCCTTACACTATGGTTTAATTACACCTCGAAATGATTTACTGATGGCCGCAAATGCTAATTCACAACAACAACAACACCATCATTATCAACAACAGCAACTTCATCACCATCTCCAACAACAACAACAGCAACAACAACCTTTCATGGTTCGAACTGGGTTTGGACTTCATTCCGGTGATTTTCATGCCAATGGAGGTGTTAACGGTAATCAAATGAATCTCCATCAATCCTCATCACCTCTTCATCATTCAGGTTCAGCTAATTTTTATAGCCAACGAGACCTTTCATCCGCTGGTTCAACTCCCGCCGATTATACTACATCCGGTGCTGGTTTCCTTATGCCCGATCTTCAATCAGAAGCGACTTCGAATCGTCTTTACGATTTAGCTTTGGCCAGTAGTGAAAATGAACGTATCAAGGCTACTCTTTCAGGTCGAGTTCGTTCATCAAATGGACTATCATCTTCATCAGGTTTATCTGCAGCAGCATCATCGACTTCCGGCTCATCGGCATCACCTTCTGATTATTCAGCTCTTGATAATAATCCTTCAGTTGGTTCATCTTCATCTTCACAAGCTGAATCAGAACTTGCCAATTACCTTAAAGCTGCCGCTTCTGAGGCCGCTGCCTCTTCATCTTCACCTTCTGCTGGTGGTTCATCGGAAAACACCAATCAATTGGTTCCAAATTCACCCAATCTTGTTGGACGACGGAAGCCACTTTATGCCGAACGAGTGGTTGAAGAGCAACACATTTTCGATCCCGCGGTTACCAAACATCTCCTTCAAAAACAACGAGAAAACGAATACGCTGCTAATAATTTAATGGAATCTGGACTCTCCGCTGAATCTCCTGTTCCAAGCGAATCTGATTTAGCTCAACAATTAGCTGCCATGTCAGAATTACATTCAAACCATCCTGGTTCATCTTCACCCTCTGAATATTTACCTCTTTCATCTTCCGGTCTTTCACTTAATCCAAACTCTTTTTCATCCATGAATTCCATCAATGAATATTCAGCTCTCGGTGGTGCTGGTGGTCATAATGGTGCCGCCGCCGCTGCTGCTGCGGGTCTTCGAGGTTTCTCTAATCTTGGTGGACTTTCTGGCCTTGGCGGGCAAGGATTAGCTACATCAGCTTCATCTCTTCCCTCGATGATCACACCTTACGCTCTTGCTGCAGCCAACTCTCTTCCCCGTAGTCCCGCTGGTGTGCCCGCTGGTGCTATTGTTGGTGCTCCAGGTTCAGCACCTCCACCAGGAATGAAACTCGCCGGTTATGTAACAATGACCAATCCCTCACCTCCAATGATGTCACCACAAGTTTCCTCATCAATGGTTAATCCAATGGCCTTAATGGCTCAAAACATGGGTAACAATCCTGGTCAATCAATGGGCGGTGGACCTGGAATGGGCAATCTTGCCGGCGGTATGTCTAATAATCAAGCTCAAGCTGTTGCCCAAATGATGGCTCAGGGAATGGGACAAGGAATGGGACAAGGAATGAGCCAGGCAATGAATCAAGCGATGGGTCAAGGTATGGGACAAGGAATGAAATATCCTTTCAACCCAATGGCCTTCGGACCAGGAGCTGCAGGTCAAAATCAAGCTCTTCAAGCGCTTCTCGGCGGTGCCATGGGTCAAGTTGGTCAACAGGCAAGTCAAGTATCAGCAACAACCAGTAGTCCAGCTTCAGCATCCGCTGGATCAGCAGCAGCATCGACTGCTCCAAGTTCAAGCTCATCTGGACAATCACGAAATCGTTTCTTTAGTCGACTTAACCCACTTAATCTTTTCCGAAGATTCAGAATACGAGGAAACTCAGCTGGTTCAACTTCAACCGAACCCTCAGTTGCAGAAGCTGAGAAACGATCGTCCGTTGTTTCAGAATATTTTTCACAAGGTCAACAAAGATTCAATCGATTCCCATTCAACCAACATGTCGGACCACATTATACTCTCTACCCATACGATCAACACTCGGCCTTTCATCACTCACGACGAGCTCGAAGATCAGCCGACGAGATTTCAAAAGACCACCAAGAACAACCTTTAGCCTCAGAAACAAATTCATCTCAAAACGATACCGAAACCGCTGAAAACTATTACCCATTTCCTGGAAACTATTTCATGCCCGCTTCAGGTGGACGAATGAGGTTTCCAAACAGTGAAGGCCGTCGACGAGGTTCTCGAAGATACTCTGGACCAGGCTACCTAAGTTCCGTTGAGAGTCGAGGATTAGGACTCATGGGATCAGGAAATTTCGAAGTCATTCGCGGTGGAATTCTTCCAGGCAACAATAAGCGGACTTTAAGGCCACATTCATCAATGTCCAACGAACGAGACAACGATGATCGTAACGATTCAGGTTATTCAGATGAAGATGATTCTAATAACCATAATAACAATAATCATAATAACAATTCAGATGACGATAAATCGTCTTCATACCCTCCCTTGGAGGATGAATTTTTCTCAGCCGGTAGTCCAGGAATTTTAGGATTCCAAGGATTTAATCATTTCTCTGGCTCATCATCGTCAGTTTTCAATAATTTATCAGCAAGCCGACGGAAATCAGCGATCCTCAGCGGCGAAAAAGGTTCTGAAGCTCTGGCCAGCGAAAAGTCATCCACATCAACCGATTTACAGGCCATCTCATGAAAGAAACCACAACAAAATCAATTCTCTAAGTTAATTAAGTATTAAGATAGTTTCAAATTCTGATTAGATTCGTAGTAACAATAACAATTAAGAGTAACAATTATGTCGAGAGGAAACCAAAACCAGAAAACGAAATCATCATCAACGAAAATTATTCATTAATTGTTTTAAAAAAAATCTTTTCTTCTCCGTTGATTATAATCATCTTTTTTAAATTCTAAACGCAAAAGGTTAACGATTTGATGAGAAAACAATTAATCAGTTTAATTACAATTCTATATATTAATTTATCTTCTCATCATCTATTACAATCATCATTCATCATCAATACACCGTAAGGGAATCACTTAAATCTCAAGTTTCACAATCAACTACAATGGAAAAACAATCAAGGCAATCAAACTGATTATCTCATCTTTTAATTAATTAATCTACACAAATAATACAACAACCAAAAGAAACAGCCACCGTTAATTAATTGCTTAAAACAAAATTAATTCACATTTTAATTTCCCTTTTTCATGTCGATTCACAATTGACTAAATCAACTTTTTTTCTATCAAATTAAATTTTGGATTTTTTATTTACCTTTTTTTGGGACCAAAATGTTAACTGATTTTTCTGTTAATTGTTAATCATTTACATTAATTGTCATAAATGATCAATGTTAATAAAATCAGAACTTTTTTTCTACGAAAACAATTAAACCATCAATCTACTACAATTGTAATAAGGAAAACAATTATTACTGAGACAAGAAGTGGACGAATTTTTATCGATAATTTTTAAATTAATCGTGTTCATTATTAATTAATTGTTAATAACAAAATATGAGATTTGATGAAACAATGAAATAGAAAGAGAAAAGAGAGTTTACATTTCGATAGAACTCGAAAGATCAGCTTGGTGATTCGATAAAATCGATTTGTATACAATTTGTTGATATTTGGTTCGAATCCTTGTCCAAGATAATTGTTTGATATTTTTTTACAATTCAGTTTATATTTTGTCTAAATTAATTATCTAAAATTGATAGACTATAGGCTAGATCCCAATAGTGTTCAACGTGATGATTTTTCAATAATTCTCGAGCGTAACTTTCGTTTGGAGCGTTTTTAAATCGAAAATCATTGAAGGCTCGATTCTTGGCTAATCCTTTCCAAACGAGGAAACATTTATTTTCCACTTTTTCCCCGGTAACATATTTATCTTTAAATCCGGTATCTTCATTCCAATCGATTCTTCTCATCATTAATTTTTCGAATTTAATTTGCTGCTTTGGTCCACCTTCGACAATGACAACGTTCACGTTTTTAAATGTAACAACAATTCCCGTCATTTGTAACTGTTTAGCGTTGGTTTCGACTTTAAACTTTCTCTTCGGATCGGAAAAATTGAGAATACGATAAACCGTTACATGAACTCCTAAGCTTGTATCTTCTTTAACTTTTTTAATTTTCTTTTGTTTCTTCTGATCAGCTGTTAATTTCCTTGAAGCATTTGCTTCTTCATGGGTTTTCTGCCGTTTGGCCATACTTTCTTTCACTTGAGATTCAACCTTGGTTGGATCTTTGATGGCTTGATCACCTAGAACTCTCATCATATTGGACATTTTCACTTTTGGCTCGGGCGGTGGTTCCAATCCTAATCTGATCTTTTCTTGTTTCTCTTTCCAGGTTTCTCGGCGATTTTGTCGACGTAACTTTTTATGTTCTGCTTTCGTTAAAAACACTGGTAAGGCCATTGGTTTGTCTGTTGCTCCTAATGGTTTTATTTGCATTGGATGTTCTATAAGATGAGTTATTCCTTCATATTTTTCTTCTAATGGTTTGTCACAATTAACTGATTCTTCATAGCTATTATCTGTTATAACAAAACTGTCCCACCATTCGACATCAGGTATATCATCTTCCTTGATTTCCTTCTTTGGTACAATAGAGCTTAAAACAGCAAGTCGAGCAGCAGATGAAATGCCGGTTTTAACAGCAGCTTGAGCTATTTGTTTTTGTAGAGACTCTAATTTAGCCTTAGTCCGAACCTTTTCACCAACTATTTCAAAAGTACCTTTGTCGTAAAATTTAAAGTTTCGCTTCACCCTAGTAACAGGCTTAACTTCAACACGAGGGTCAAAAAATTTACTTTGAACATCATCATTTGTAGGCTTCTCTTGGTTTGTTACCTTGAATTGCTCGCGCTTTTGAGCTCGAATATTTGCTTTTAAAGTAGGTAAACGCTGGACTAATGTAACCTCTCTACCGCTACTATCAACTGTTCTACCTTCATGGTCTAATATCAGGGGAGCTGGTTTGGAATTTTGTTTAGATGAATCGTTCGAGGAAGTACTGGCAGTAGCGGCACGATTTGATAGTGATAAAGCCAAAGCAGGATTTCTTCTTAATTCAGCAGTTGCCATCTCAAGCCTGGCCTGTATTTGAGCTCTAGTAAGTTCAGCTGGTGTAAGAGAAGGAGGATTATTTGATGAAGATGTTGATGGAACAGAATTTGCTCCATTAGAAGCTTGAGCTGCAAGTAACCTGAGGGTAAATTCAACAAAGAAAAAACATCCATTAGAAAAGAAAAATTAAATGAAGTCAAGAAAGAAAATAATAAACACTTACCTCTGTTTCTCAGCAATTTGCTTCTTTTTCATTTCAATTTGACGCTGGGCATTTTCCATCATCTCTTTAATCTGAAGACTATTCAATTTCGCTGGAACAATAGGAGTCCCCATTTTATCAAATGAATCGAATTAACTCAAAAAAGAATAACACAAATAATTTACACAATTAAAAATCACCAACAATTAGATTGGTCTAGAAAGAGTAACAATTTGTATGACATATGAAAGTAAATGGTAATTTCTGGTCGAATAGGCTGTTCCAAAGTAAATAGATGAACCTTTCCGATTGGTCCCAACAGGGAACATGTTGACGTTTCCATGGAAACCGATCATTTACGCGGAAAATTTGAAGCCCCAAATTGGAGCAAAAGTAAAGTTTTAAATTGGAAGAAATAAAATTGAACAAAATTGGCAGAAATTTGGAAAGGAAAATTGATTTAATTGATGTAAAGAATATTATTAACAGTATTTTTTATCTTTCAATGCATTGGATTTAAGTAAAGAAAAATAAAGTTAATAGTTGGTCTGAGCGAAACCTCGAGCGGTTTTAACTGGACTGACATATCGAGAGGGCGATTGAACTACTTGTTTGGTTGAATAGTTTGAGGTCTTAGTGGGAACCGATTTGGGTGCTGATGTTTTCGATGGAGATTTAATTGAAGTTTTGGTTGGGGTTTTAACTGCTTCCTCTTTGACGACTTGGGTTTGAACAACTGAATGGGTCTTTGTGGGGGCAACATAAGTCTTGGATGGTGCAACTCTTTGGGCGGCGGTTGAAGTGGTGGTACTGAGAGTGGTTGGTGCAGGAGTAGTTGTGGTAGTGGTGGTTGTGGTTGTGGTGGTGGAAGATACTTCTAAAACGGGAGATTGGGCTAATTCAGAGGAAGATTCTGAGGCAAGTTCTTGAGGTTCAGTCAAAGGTGTGAGAACTGGAGCTTGAGCGGGTTCGACAACTGCAGGTGATTGGACTGCAGGATCAGCTAAAACGGGAGATTGAGCGGGTTCAGCTGGAGTAGAAACAACTGGAGAGGATTGGACTTGATCGATTGATAGAGTTTGGTGAATCTTGGAAACTATTTTCTTAGCAATTGCTTGTGGAACTTGCATTGAATCGGATATATTGAAAACTCGATTATTCAATTGAACGTAACCACGAACGGGAATCATTTTCTTCCATGATGGATGAATCCATTTGGAATCAATTGATGGGGTAAGAAGTAAACTGTAGATGAGAACACAAGATGATAAGAAGATCATGATGAAATATCAAGTTGATTTGAAGAAGATCAAAGGTAAAGTTTAAAATCGAAGGGAAAAGTTTTCAAAGAGATCTAAAGGAAAGTTGAAGCGAGAATGATGATCCTTTGTTTGACCACCAAGTCTATTTATAGTTCATCTCTACAAGTGAAAAGTTAAGCCGATTGGTTGAAAGGTCAGTTTTCCCCTTCGTTCCTATTGGTCATTTAACATTTTTACCCGTTTGTTTAAAGTCACTAATTAAACGGAAATGGAGTTGGCCACTTTAAATGCCTTATTATTACAATTTCTTAAGATTGCTCGTAAAGTTGACCCGGGGCCACATTCAAACGTCTTTGGGTATTCAAAGCCTTCTGGGCGACGGTAAATCTCTGACATCACTTGTTCCCATCTAACCGATTTGAAAATTTGATCTGATAATTTCTCATGTATTTGCTTCTCAAATCTATAAACTTTGGCATCAAGATTTGAATAACAGGGTATCCGTAATCGATTAGAAGGTGTTTTCATTAGAGCTTCTTTAAATTTCTTTTTCGCTGGTCTCATTAATTTAGTATGAAAGGCACCGGAAACTTTTAATCTTTTGGTTAGTTTGATTCCAAATTCTGATGCATTGAGCTCGATAAACCTTAAAGCCTCCTCATGGCCACCAATTACTTTACAATGAGGAAATAAATGATTAGAGACACTACAAACAGCATGATCTTCATCAATGCCTCGGGCTAAACACCATTCAACGGCAGCTCGACATGCAAACGAAATCCTTGCATCCGGACCAAATTTAATTGTAATTAAACCACCAGGAACCCGCTCAGCAGCTTCTTGCATGGCTTCAGCTCTAATTTTAACCAACCTTAGACCATCTTCAAAGGAAAAGGCTCCAGCAAAAACCAATGAAGCCAATTCTCCGACACTAAATCCCGCTGTTCCAATACAAGCTTCAACCACACCCGGATGAGTGATTCTCAGTTTTTCAACGGCTCCTAATGAGGTAACAAAAATGGCCGGTTGACAGTGGACAGTTTCATCAAGCTCTTCTGCTGGACCATTAAGACACATCTCCAATAAATCATAACCAAGTATACGATTGGCAGTTTGAAACATTTCCTCAACATTGGGAACCTCTAAAAGATTATGACCCATTCCAACAAATTGTGACCCTTGACCTGGAAACAAGATAATACTGGTTCTTGATGGATCAACCGATTTATTATCAAGCAAAAATTTAGGTGGCTTTCGACGGGGTAACAATGACTTGTTACCTTCTTCATCCTTTAAAGTAGTAACAATTTCCTTCTCGTTATTATCATTGTTTACATTTGATTCTGTACTCAAGCACCGATGAAATTTATTCACAACAAAAGGTAACACTTTAAATCTTAAACAACTATGTTGACTATAGAATTGACTATTAATTGGCTTATATAATTCCAAAATTCGATATAAATTAAATGACATTTTTATCCTAAATTGCGAAAACAATTAAATATAATTACAACATTTGAGAAATAAAAACAAAATTTCATCACATGTTTATCATATGTCGATATCAGATCTCAGATATTTGATTGAAAAGATACTTGGATCGGATAAAAGTCCAATTGTTTTTAATTGTTCATCTTTAATTGCTTATAAAATTTAAGAAATTAACTAAGTTTTATCAATACACAGGTGAATATTGTGTATACATGTTGTATATTCAACAATTGTAAACGAAAAGAGACTTTTGATCATCTTTTCATTTGTTTTCTCAAAGATTTTCCAAAGTTTCCAAAATTTGATCTTCGATCAGTTATTTGTTTTTCTTTAATCATTATCAGTGATTGAATTAAGATATTGAATGAATGTTGGTTTAATTTGATCGAATTTATCAATTGGATGCATTTTAGTGTAATGAATGAAAGATCTTCGTAATCGATTCAATTCGGGAAGTGGAAATATCCGATTTAAACGAACTGGATTAGTTTGTCCGATGATTTTAATTGTGAAAATTGATCCAAGTTTTTGAACTTTAATTATTTCATCAATAATTTGCTTGGTTTGAGAATCCAATTCATAAAGGAAATTAGCTTCAGACAATGGTTGCTAAAGTTAAGAGGAAGAAACAATAATAACAATCAAAGATTAATCACAAGTCAATTTTTTAAAATCTTCGAGATAATTGTTTCCATTAGGATTATTTCATTTTCCAAATAATCCTTTGGTTAAGTTTTTAATCCACTTAAATCTTTCACATGGATTATATTGATTGTAGTGAGCTGCATTATTGATGATAATGACGATAATTCATCACAATGGATTAGAATTGGATTTAAGTTTAACTCAAGTGATGAGATTTACGATCAATTGAATATTTGAATTTCAATTGGTATCTCTGGACAATTGGACATTGGAAAAACTTACTGATTGGGTTGATTGATTGGGTTTCAATGGTTTTTTATCGATAATCGCTGATTTAATTTCATCGAATGAGGCCTCAAATGAATTGGAGAAAACAAAATGCGGTGAATCCCAACGATTCTGTGAATTCGGTGCCTCATATCTCAAGTGTAATTCATTGAAAATTTTCTCATCGTAACGTTTACCACTGGAAGAATCTCTTAAATTGTTCAATCTCCAAGATTCATCTTTAAGATTGGAACATTCAACCTAAATTACAATTAAAAAAGTAAACAAAATAACAATCGAATCCAAATAATCCAAATAATCAACTAACCACACAATAAGTTGTCGCTTGTTCCTTTGCAATACAAAAAAGTTCATAACGATAACCTAAAGGAAAGAGTCGAGAAAAGAAATCAAATTAAATAAAACAATTAAAGTGAAAAGAAAAGAAAATGTAAACACAACAATAAAATTAAATAATTTTGAAGAGACAGAAATTGATCAATAGCAAATTCAATCTTCATTGAACAATTAGAATAGAAAATTAGAAAAAATTGAATAGAATGAAATTCAAAAGAAATGTACGCCCGATGTGGGGCTCGAACCCACGACCCTGAGGTTAAGAGCCTCATGCTCTACCGACTGAGCTAACCGGGCTGACGATGATGGAGAAGCTGCAAATATCCTAGACTATTATTCACAATTAGGTTAATGAAATAATAACAATAAGATTTGACTTTTTGTTACTTATGCTGTTTGTTCATTGATTTAATCTTATTTCAATTAAATCCTCAACTTACCCTTAATGTAATTCGATGAATCCAATATGACCACTTTCTCTTTATTCAGGTGCCTGTGAACGGCTGATTTTAATTGTCCTCTCATCTGTTTCTCTCTGTTAGAATCAGAGAAAATGTAATTAACATTTTCTATGTAATCATTGTCCGAAATTAACACAGTTTGACCTCCAGCCAAGTTGAAATAATCAACAATCTTTGAAGACCAATATGATTTACCTGAACAAGGTAAACCAACTATAACAATTAAAGGCATGATGATAATCACAAGAATCTAAATTTAGATTCTAAATTCAAGTACAATTAGTTAGAGAAAAGTCAAGGTAACAGTTGTCATGACAACGTTGATGAAAATGTTCATCGAAATTCCATGTGCGCATGCGCGAGAAAAACCGCTCAAAACATTCGTTTGTTTTCTGGAATCTTTATAAGAAATTCTTATTCTTGTTGGTTATTGTTATCGTGTTTTTCATCATGAATTTTCAGCGTTTTTTTGAGATTTTCCCATTCTTTGGTAGCCCAAAGGTCCTTCGATTCAAGAAAATGAGCGAAAATGCTTACACACCCACAAAAGGAAGTAAACTTGCTGCTGGTTTTGACCTTTACAGGTAAGAAAAAGTATCTTCTGATGCTTGTTGCTATTTTCTTCTTTGTTTGTCTACTTTCAGTGCTCATGATCTTGTTGTTGGTGCCAAGGGAAAAGCTTTGGTTAAAACTGATCTTCAGATTCAAATACCCGAGAATTGTTATGGTAGAATTGCCCCAAGATCTGGACTTGCTCACAAAAATTTCATCGATGTTGGAGCAGGAGTAATTGACGCTGATTACCGAGGAAATGTTGGTGTTATCTTATTCAACTTCGGTGATTCTGATTTCAAAATTTCCAAAGGTGATAGAATTGCTCAACTAATCTGTGAACGTATTGAATACCCAGAACTGGAAGAGATTTGTGGTGATGAAGAGATAGAAAATACTGACAGAGGTGCAGGTGGTTTCGGCTCAACCGGAAAGAATTAAATATTGACCTCAATCAATGTAATCGAAATGTTTTCCCAAAATTGTCAACATTTGCACAATATTATCATCCCTTGATTAGAAAGTTTCATCATCCCATTGTTAAAGACACAACTGCATCACTATTGTAAACGATTTTGAATCAATCTCTCAAACCCAAAGGTCAATCAAAAAACTTAATATGATTCAAAAGTCGAAACAAAATTTACATTTTATTCAATTAAATACTTTACACAGTTGATTTACATTATAAATTGGTTTCTTTAACAATGTCTTCATTGATTAATGGAGTAGAAAGAATCGTCTTCCCATCACCATCGGTCTCTCCAAGTAACCAATAAGTTGTCACAATTCCCTTGCCCTTGAAAGAGAATCAACAAAATCAAGTGAAACAAAGTGTAAGATTAATTTTCTCATAATTTCTATTCTACTAATCATCATAACAATCAAACTAATTACTCACTTTCATTTCAACTTCTCCCCTTAGATCGAGGACAAAGTTACCAATCCTAAGAAGAAGTTCCCTCGTTTTTGGACTCACATGGATTTTCAATGCTGTGGAATGGAAACAATTTAGAGAATCAATATCAATAGAATAACAATTAGAAGGAAAGACGACAACAATTAACTTACGCATTCCCGTTGATTCCATTCTCGAAGCGGTATTAACGGTATCACCAAAGAGACAATAACGAGGCATCTTAAGTCCAACTACACCGGCAACACAAGGACCCGAATGTACCCCGATTCTAAGTTTTAATTGTTCACCAGGACGATGTCTAATTGTAAACGACATGACAGCATTTAAGAGTGATAATGACATTCTGGCGATTTCTCTTGCATGAAGAATCCCGTTTCGAGTTGGAAGACCAGAAACAACCATATAAGCATCGCCAATGGTTTCAACCTAATTGTCAAAGTAATCAAAAAATCAAGAAAAAGATATTGGAAAAGATGAAAGATGAAAATGGAAGAAAAGAATCAAGTTAATCTGAAGAACAACAACAATTTAGATCGATTACATTAAGAGCTGTCTTCTTTTCTCAAGTGAATTAAACATCATGATGGTTAACATGCACGAAGAAATTGTTTCACATCAACATGAAGACTTAATCGAAACAATCTAATCATTTATATTTCTATATATAAATCCAAGAGAATCTTCAATATTTACCAATATTATTCATTTTCTCAACAATATCTGATTACGTGTTTATCTTCAATTTTGGTGAATCGATTTCAAAACATTTCATCACATCAACAATTTTGTTTCTTTTTCATTCATCACAATACAAAATCGTAAGAAATCAACATGATTGTAAAGAAAACAAAAAGGAGAGACAAAGCAAGAGAAAGAAAGAGACTAAATTGTAATGAAATTCTATTATTAGAACCATTCGAATCTCTTACCTTGTAAACATCGAAATTTTCAGCAATCGAATCAAAATGAGTGTAAAGATCGTTGAGCAAAGTGACGACCTGCATCGGAGTACTTTGGGCTGAGAGCGACGTGAAGCCGACAATGTCACTGAAGTAAATGGTTACACTGTCATACGCTTCAGCGGTCACCGAATCTCCTTTGATCAATTGACTGGCAACCGATCTGAACAAATTGAGAAATAATTGATTAGTTATTGGAGAAAATTAATATCGTTAAAAGGATTAGATTGAACGTCAGAGAAAATGTAAAAGTAATCGTTAAATTATCCATGAAATGGAAATGATTATCATCATCGTTACATATTATAAACCATGAGGAAGATAAAAAAATTTTCTTCCTCATAAATAATAGGATTACAATCAATTAGAAATTGAAAGTGAATCAATGAACCAAATCAATTCTCACTACGAACTAACATAAATAAATAATCAATCAGCGAAAAAACCAAAAGTGAAAAGGAAAAGAAAAAGGTTCAACTTGTTGATTTGATTGAGTGAAGAAAATATGGATTAGGTTAATTGTAGACAATTAACTTAATCAAATTGTGAATAAATGATTTTGCAACTTGAGTTTTTCTTCATCCTTTAACTTGGAATCATCATGATAATAATATGAACAGAACGGAAACATTGAACAAAGAGAAAATGTTTTCTTCTCAATCGATTTGTTTTTATTCTGATGATAAAAATATCACCATTATTACGAGTTTATTTTGTAGATGCATTTCCGGTCATTTTGATGTGGAACATGAAGATAAAAAGTGAGTGAGAGAGAGATGAAGATGACCAGGAAGGAGAGACAAAACTCTTAACGGTTATTTTTTCTTCTTCTCAACTGATCATCTCTCTCTCTCTCTGATCACAATCCTATTATCGATCCAGGGATGAATTTATCATCCTCATCATCACCATGAAATAGTTGACTGAAGATAAGAGGAAGAACCAGAACATTGTCATCATCATGTTGATAAACTAATTGTCCTCATCCTGATGTTCATGATGACATTTGATAGAAAACAAAATTTGTTAAATTTACCTTTTTATTTGCTGTTGATTTTCACACAGATCTTCAAATCTACTGACATGCAATCAAATTAGACAAACAATCAGCAAACAAATAACATAACCAATGATTATTAATAAGTTAATTTACCATCAATGAGAGAGACAATTAATTAATTCAGATGAAATCAAAGTTAAATTGTAAATGACGAGTTCGATGATCACCCAAAGTTATTTAAACATTAAAAGGTAAATAAAGGAGAAACAAATACAATTACGAGTGAATTAATCTCGATAATTACATGTGATAAACTAATTCAATCGTAAAGGGGATTAATTAGATGACAATTAAAACTCACTTTGGTAACAATTGATATAATAGATCTTCAGCTTTTCGTTTCTCCTCCAGGTAATCAGCTGTGCGCTCTTCAACCAGCGCCTCTAAATTGGTGGCATATTGCTCCATACGAGATAATAGATTGTCCAAAATGTTTCCACTCTCATTGCTCCTGAAATGCCAACAATTAATCAACCAATTAGTTAATCAATTTTCTCACCGATTTTCATTTATTATCATTACCTGTTCAATCGTCGGATAACTGATTTAAGAGCCTGGAAATCAGGTCTATCGAATGGATCCTCTGACCAACATCGTTGCATCAATTGAATCACTTCCTCATCACAAGTATCATTTTGTACGTTTGGACGGAAACCGGGCTTTGGACTATTTTTTACATTCTCGACGATCTCTGAACATTTACAAATGAGAAATTCTGATTAGTATAATATCTATTTTTCCACGGTTCAATTTAATTCAGACTAAGTGAGTGATGAACTTGCTTATATGCAGAATGATTCAATTACCACAATTTATAAACGTTGACGCAATTAACTCATAAACCTATTGACTAGCAAATTTCATATTCAACGCAAAGTCTCATTTGAATTTCAGAGATCATCTGAAGGTTATTCCAAAGAACAGATTAAATTATCCTCATGTATTGTGTGTGAAAAGACCACTCGACCATCAATGAACGAAATCTGATTGCGATCAGGCAAGTTGAATGACAATTAAGGGACTTTGGCGCTAAAATTTTTAACATCACCACACAATGAACTCTATCGGGACGCTATCAAAATGCGCCTTCGGGAAATGACCGAATTGACCTTGAAATTCAAAGTCCTTCGATGATAATTAGATATTAAATATGAACTTTATCACCTAGTAGGCTTGCAAGGAGTAATATTAACATATAAACGTGTGAGAATTCAATAGCCCCTGAATAAGTGAGCTAATGGAAAAGGAAAACAATTAAGTATCGAACAGACAAAATCAAATGATGCAACAATTAATTGACTAAATTACTTTGATTTCGATTGAATACTAATGTAGTCTAATCATTTCATTTGATTGTTAACTGTTTCCCTGATAATCTATTAGTTATCATCATACGAGAATAATCATTAGAGAGAAAAAAGGAAAAATAATCAATCGAATTGATTAAATTGCTATTCGATAACATTGACCTGTTACCTTGTGGTGTCAAACTATTGGTTCCCAAATAAAATGTCCCTTTTCGAGAGACAATTTCGTGGACAATTATCCCGAATGAGTAAACGTCGCCTTTTTGACTTCCTTCATACGGTATATTGGGCAGTCTTAATAGTTCAGGTGATGTCCATAATTTACCTGGTTAATTAAGAAATAGAAAAACTAATTAATCAACTTGAATTTTGATCGATTCACAATTAATGGAAATTGAGAAAAATGAATCAGTTAAAGCAAAGGTGAAAATTGATATTAATTTATGATCAAAATCCACCATCAGTATTATTTACTTGAATACATTGACTGTTGATTCAATATGATTATTTCATCATTAAAATTGTTGATTGTGATTAAATTGATTAAATTGATTAATTTGGTAACGATAACTATGATTAATGAGCGTTAATGTAAATTAATATGAGAAACTTTTAATCCCATTGAGAAATGTGATATTTTCATCCCTAGTTATGTTAATCAACCTGATCAACCTGAAAACAGCAAAAACAATTAGACAGAACCTCTAATTGTAATTAATCAGCAAAATAATCCATTATTAATGATCAGTAACAAAAGTGACCATAAAAAGGATGACCAACAAATTGAATAAACATTTTCGCGCTAAAATTAAATTCAATGAATAAGATGATGAGAAGATGATGAGAATTGATTTTCTTTTGAAGAAACTTTTTAAATATTCAAATTTAGATCAGGTAAATGGATTCACTTTTTGTTAGTAAACAAATTGTCAAAATCTATTTACCTTGTTTCCAATTTTAACTCATCCTTCATCTTCCTTATCATCATTATCTTTCCTCTTCCTTTCTTTATCATCCTTTTCCTCTCCAAGGTGATTTTTCACCTTGATTCTCATTCCAATCAATCTGTTATTATCATGATTACCATTCATGTATTCAGGTAGATTGTTATTTTGTAGGTAAACAAAGGGATAAGTCCAATTGATTGAATCGACAAAGATACATACAAGAAGATAAGTTTATCCAAAAATTTACATTGAAATTTTTAGTTCAATTTCATCATGAAATCTATTGGATTTTCTTGTTATCGCTTAACTGATTCCTGAAATAACATGTTAATCTCATCTCAATGCTGAAAATCAATGAAAACTAGGTTATTAATCATGATCAGGGTTGACAACTTTTTTCAATCTCCAACTACAACTCAATTGAGTCTCATAACAAAGGTATGATTTAAATGGTTTGATAATCGTAATTAAACAATTTAAATTCTCAAATAATTAAGATTCTTCAAGAGAAATTAAATCAACTCTTAATTAAGAGTAAATCTAATATCCAAATAAATTTGAATACCACTCAACCTAAAACGCTTAATCATTAATCTAATTATAATTTGTATTGTTTCCTGATTCAGCTCCTCCTTTTTAATCATCCATGCCAATGATAAAATTGACAAATTATCATGATAAATGATTGAATTTATCACAATCATTTACATAATCAAATTAACCAGACAATCAGCTATCAGCAAATGGTTAAATTAACCAAAATTTCAAACCGATTGATTGTCCAACACAAAGTTGACAAAAATCATAAAAAAATTTCAACAAAAAGTAAAACAATTTAATCAATCATAATTTTGATATTGATTTGATTGAATCGATTAATTTTAAATCAGTTATCTGATATTGTCAACAATTTATCAAATTACAATTGATTCTTAATTGGTCAATACTAATAAGTTACAATTCAATATTTGACCAAGAAAAAGTTTCCTCTCATCAAATCAATTAAACAGAAATGGTCATTATTATCCTGTCCAGTTATTGTTTATTTAATCACTTGATATGTTAATCATATTGATTAATTTGTGTAATCAAAAATCAATAAATTTCAGATATCAATCAGTTATCAATCAAATTGATAATTGTGATTACAAACTCGATGATAAATTTTAGATCTCCTTACAGACACAATTAACATAATCACCAAGCCATTGATGAGTGAACCTTTAATTGAAAGTTAAGACAATTTGATTTACAACAATTAAAACAAATTGCTAATTGTCTGTTTACCAATTTACATAATCAAATTAAATTTGTCACTTTCTTATCTGGTGTAAATCTTAATTATCTCAGCATTGGAATGGAGATGAAAAGTTGAACAGTTTTTTCCTGGATTTGATTTAATTTTATCACTCAGGTTGAAATTGAAATCATCAACTGAATCAACTGAATCAAAAGGATGAATGTCAATGATTAAATTGTCAACCAGCAATTCATTTTCATTATATTACCTTAACCTTTATTTATTTAATCAAACATTAAATTGAAAAGGATTAAATCTCATAATATGTTGATTGAATGAGATGAAGATGAAAATCAGTAAAATAATCATTCAGAATATCATCAAGTTTACATTTGAAACCCAAACGAAAAATCAACAATCAAAGTTAATTGTTGTAAATGGAAACTAATTTCCAGGTTAAATGAATGGTTTATAATCAACTTGAGAACTCAATTCAATTTACTGAATAGGATTAAATTGCTGCGATAAACAAATGTCAATATTAATGGAGAAGAATAAAAAACTTTCTCAAAGAAGAAAAAAACTTTTCGAGTTCTAATTTCCTGTTTATCAAAATACGATGATAATCATACAGTTTCTCTCATTAAGACAATGATTAACCAGGTGATCGTTGATTGTATTAGTTGATTAATTTGATAGAAATGTTAGTTGTTAATTGTTGGGAACAATTTGATATCAAATGGACATTAATTGTTGACAGAAAAGTTTCCAGTTCGACTTACGTTTCCAATAGACATTTTCGTCTTCGACAAAATTTTCATCAGGAATTCGTAATTGGTGACAACCGAAATCGGTGATCTTCAGTACGAATCGACTGTCAACTACACAATTAGTTGATTTTAAATTACCATGGCTTCGGATTTCACTTGAATGAAGATACGACATACCCTGGGAACGAATGAAGGAAAATTAAAGTTAATTGTTGTTCAATTGATGATGAAATTTCCAGCCAATGATCAAATATTAATAAGATGATTTACTTAAGTGGAATGCTAATTACACTTATGATAATCAACCAACTATCATATTAATACAACATGTAACAATAATATCCCAACGAGAAAATATTAATATTTCAAAAAAAATATCACAAAAGATTCATTAAGAATTCAGAATATAATTCATGATATGAATTGTTGATATTTCTCAGTTGATTTCTTATAATAATATTATTTATACGAAATACTTTCATTCCCCTGTCTTATCATGATAATTTTATTATTACAAGTTATGAGTAAAGTGAATTCCTAAATGATGATGATTATAATTAGATTAATTGTGAGTTAGAAGGCAAAGTAATTAGTTGATACAATAATTAATGAGTCACCAAATTGAAAAGATACAGAAATGATAATATTATATGAAAAAAAACCTGAAGACTTGAAATGATAATCAGAATGAAAAGTTTGACAGAGGAAAAAAAGTTTCGAATCTGAATCAATTTAAATCAACCATAATCATGACAATTCAACCACAATTAATAGACCATTGATTTAATCATCATCATGGTAATAATTATTCAACTAGATAAATAATCTCAATCATTAAAGGTTATAATTATATACACAGAGATTCTGATTGATTCTGAGTATTTGTTTTCCCCAGAAAAACATGATGAGGGAATGAACAGAAAATCAAATCTTCTCCTCATGATTCAATGATGAATGAACAAGTTACATGGTGATTATATTATCTAAGTATTCATGGTGATGAGAAGGAAAAAAAGTTCTGTAAGAAGATTCTAATAAGATGATGATGGAAAATTAAAAGGTAAAGAAGTTAAATCAAAGAATAATCAAGAGAAAAAAGTTCTTGTTCATTTGTCTGAACTTATTCATCTTCTACCATTGAATAATAATATCAGCCTATCATTAACATGGAACCTGAATAAAGTTCATGATAATCAGAATGAAAGATTTTCTCACATGAAGTCCTTTCGATTGTGGTTTAATAAATTACTAATTTCTCATTTATTAATGACTATCAAAGCTAATCCTTTAATCCTCTCAACTAATACAAATCCTTTCAATTTTTGAATCTGATTATCTGAATATATATCAGCGATTCTACCATGATGGTAAACTCTGACATTCTCATGGGAATTAATGAGCATTCACAACAATTATCAATCATTTTATCAGATTAACGAAACAGAAAAAAAGTCAAGTCAACAACAATGATGAACACGAACACAGATAAAAAGGTTACATTGTATTAATCAGAGATTCTGAAAAGTTCTGGATTCTCCGATAAAATGTTTCACCATGAAAATCATTCTGTTCATATTGTGGTTCAATTTATGATTGAACATTTTTCGCTGACAAGTAATTTAGTTAACAGTGATTAACATGATCTCACTTATATTACAATTGAAATTCTGTTTTTATTTCCATGAAAATGTTTACATTTTCCCTGAATAATTCAAAAGTAAATGTTATCTTCAGGGTTTCCTGTATCAAGAGATATTGAGATAACCTCTCAATTTTGGAATCAAATCATGAATACATTAGAAGGATAAGATTATAAAATAGAATTTATGAAGAAGAAAAAAATATTTCCAAAAGAGAATCGAAAACAAAATAAGAAGAAAAAGAAAAAGTTTAAACTTCGAACTGACTTTTCATGGAAAATTCTTTATTTGTTTTTAAACTTGGAAATACTCGAGAGAAGTACAAAAGAAAAGTCGATAACTGTTATTGGTTATTATCATTATTCGAGGCAAATGGATGACGATAAAATGGAAAAGATGAAGATAAAAGGATGAGAAGGAAAAGGAAAAAATTGCAATTCGAAATCGAACATTTTTTCGCTGATTTTTTCTTCAGTAAATTTCATCATCATTCAATTCCAAGGATATTGTGAGTACATTAATTCTGTCAATGGTAATAGTTGAAATCGATTTCATGATAATTAACATCGTCATCATGATTAATACCAAGAATTTAATTTATCATTTGTGCCAGTTGAAAATGCGATACAATGAATTTCATGATAACAGGGAAAACTTATGAATCGATTCTTGAATATTCTTGATAAAAAAAGTAAATTCATCTGATTTCCATATTCTGACATTAACGAATAAAAAAATTCATTCCAATTCCCTGAACATAATGAGGACACTTTTCTTTATGTTGTTCATTAACTTCATTTGAATTTCTCTTGAAATTATCAAAGCTCAATAGGAATTTCATTCTTCTCAATAATCACTCACCATGTAATCATCAGAGACAATTTTAATTGTAAAACCAATCACAAAATTATCAACATATTAATCAACTCACATGATATAATTCTCGATTGAGTAATTGTTGTTTACTATTGATAATCAGATCGAAATCATATTATTCGAATGGACGAAAAGTTCATTCAAAATCGAAAAGGACAAATGAGCAATTGAATAGAGAAAAAAAAATGTTTCAAAAGTTCGAGTATCGATAATATCATGATATTATCGATTTTCTCTCTGATTTTAAATGTTCAATTTTCCTTTTATCTTGATCTGATTTCATGATATTCAGTCTAATGAATATACCATGGCAAAGTTCAGTGTTATCGTCATTTACAATTACATATGTTGATTGGGTTAAAGTAACAAGTCAACAGAAAAAGCTTATAATAAACATTAGATGATTAATCATGATAATGATCATGATAAAAGGTAGTGAAATCATTTTGTCAGCAGATATTGTTATTATTATCATCATGAATTCATGGTAAACAGAATCTGAATCATTAGGATTACTGTGTCAATAGGAAGCAAATAATAGTTAACAATTAACAGAGAAAACAATAATTTGATTAACTAATTGCATTTGCTTTCATCATAAATAAAACAAAAATAATATTCAAATAATGATAAATACAGAAAATCATTGAATTTCATAAAAACATTGACATGAGAAAATAAATTGTTGGGAAATTAAGTTAACAAATAAGTTTGTTGTTGTTGTATCATTGAATTGAATAGTAAATTTGATTGGTCAGTAACTGTACATATTATAAATACAATGTCCATACCTTGACAATATCATGCATCAGTGAATATCTGAACATCCAATCTAATTTAATTTGATCGTTTTCCAGAATGTCCATGAGACTCCCCTTGGGACAGTATTCAGTAATCAGGCACATATGAGGTGGGTCAACACAAGCACCGATGAATCGTACGATATGATCATGTTGTAAATCTTTAATCTGTATAAATTTGACCAGAGTGAAGGGTCAGTTTTGTCCAATCGAGAGAGAAACATGTCCATTCATTTACCTTTTTCATCTCAAGCATGAGACTTCTGGTTACTTCGACTTTAGTTTTCCTCATGGGCTTTATTGCGACTACAGTTCCCTGAGAAAGAAAAATAAAATTGAGAAAATTTTTATAATCATCTTAAGTGTAGGACTTTTATGTGGTCAGTATTTGGTCAGTCAATAGCTCAAAGTGTGAGATATTGAAGTGATTACAAGGCAAAGAAAAAGGTATGTTTACTTTTCAGATGAAAATTTCATGATGTTAATATTACTCATCGATTCAGAAAATTTATCCTTCTTTATTTTTTATTTCTCAAGTTAAATTGACTGAGAAGTAGAAAAGTTCATAAGCTGAGTCTGAGTTTAGAAATGAACTTTTCTCTCTACTCATAATAAAAAAAAACTTTTTCATGGGTCTTGTGAATTCCCAGTTTACTCTCTATTGAAAAAGTATTGATACAAATCAAAATGATAATATTATCCATTCGTAAGTAAATGATTTGTGAACAATTTAGTAATAAACTTACAATCAAAGTAACAGAAATTGAAGAAAATGTTAAACCTTTATGGTAATAGCGAATCTCTAAATCTGATATTGGTTAGAAATAGACAAGAAATTCATTCATGAATCAATATCGACATAAATAAATGAACAACAGTCTGAAAATTGATAAATTGTTGAGGATGAAATCGTTGAACAACAATTAAATCACCGCATCAGCAATTGTCTTGAAGGTTAATACATATTATGATATATTTATCATATTAATCATCAACAGAAAAGTATTGATTGTCATATTGGGAATTTCAATATCTTCATGGTGAGTAAATGAAAATACTCAGAGAGAGAGAGAGAGAGAGAGAGAGAGAGAGAGAGGGGATAACATCCAATGAGAAAAAGGAAAAGTATTTCAAGTGGAATGAATAAAAAAAGAGAGAAACTCAAATGAAGAAGAAAAAAAGAGATGATGATGAGGATGGAAAGATGATGGAAAATGTTGAATGGAAAAAGTTAAGAAGTAGTTGGAAAGAATCAAAAAAGTTCTAAGTCAAAATGATCAATCGATCAATTGAGGTTACCATCAACGTTAAATTGTTCTCAAGTTGATCAGTTCTTTTCATCTTTTCGTCACCTTGAAAATTTATCAACTTTTCATGATGACGATAAAAATATTCTACCTGAAATTATTTGGGTGGCAAAAGTATTCATAAGTTATTCATGATGATGAATCAACGTGAAAGTGAAAAAATAATATTGAATCAGAATTTAACTATCAACACATTCATTGGATTGTCATGAACATTATTCTAACGATTATTATTTCAACTTGATATTAACTTTTATCTTATCGTCATGATTGTCCAATCGTGAAAATCGTTTTGATTGTTTGGGTTGATTTTTGGAAACATCAATTGGAAAGCAAATTGTTGATCATTTTTTTTTAATTTTCTTTTATGGAAATAAAATTATTCATCTGATTCATTTGTGTTCATCTCTCATCTTTTGTCTTGAAATTTTGTTTTCTCATCATTTCAATGATATTGTTTATCGAGAGTTTAAAATTTACTGAATAGTAAGTTCTGATCAATCATTATGAACAAATAAATGGTTTTATTTCATCATCATGGTGATGATCATGATGAATGTTATACTTTTCCCCATGTTTTCATGGAGTGAAACTAAATTTTCTCAATCTCGATTGGGAATTTGAATTTTCTTGTCTTCTTGTTGTTTCTTTCCCATTATCTTTGTATTCAGGTTATTTTCAGGTCTGAATAATATCATGTCAACTCATGAATTACAGGGGAGATTGAATATCTCTGAATAAGTTAGAAAGAAAGAGAGAGAGAAAAAAATTTCTTTCTATTTCATTTGTCTGATTATTTACTTTTATCTTCATGCTGAGCTATATTTCCAAATACTATCATGATCATTTTCATTGTTCATGATGATTATGAATTTCATATGACAAAAGTGTGATGATAATAATAATTCATAGATGATCATGAATTAAAGGTAAATCAAGGATAAAGGTTTCATTTTCAGGAAGCTTAATGATAATGATACTTGATTTTCATCAGTAATCAACATCATCAGGTTACATTGACAATCAGGAAGCTTTGGAGCCAAATGAATGAAACTTTGTACACTTTGTATTTCATTGAATAGCAAAAGCTCAGTTCAGATAAGAAAATGTTATAATTTTCATGAGGTTAAATCTATTTTCTTACCTGATTAACTAAACAGTTAACAAGCTGATCAAACATGATGATGATGATGATGATGGTTAATGATTATATCGTAATCACCTTCCGGGTTATGTATCATTTGAAATTGAAACTTTAACTAAAACTTTTACTTTAATCATGATAATAGTAATACAAAAATCCCTGAATTGGTATCACTGGTTTGTTCATTATCACCAAATGATGATGATGATAAAAACATGATAATAATAATAATGATAACCATGATAATCTGTATTGATGTAATAGTTGAATTAACATGAAACTAAGTACATGTACATATAAATATTATCTATTCCCAGTTGAGGATTATCAATTCATGTATGATAATGTTCATGAAAATACATGGAACGATAAACTTATTATTATCATGATTCAAATTCAATGCACCATAACTTGATAAGAGTTGACACACCGGAGGAAAATAAGGAAATCTAAACATTTCCCACCATCTTAAGATTAAATATATTACATCATTATCTTCATCACCATGATCACTATCAATGTTGTTTATCACCACAATGATAACACAGATAAATAAACATTGTAGTGGTCAGTCAATGGTCAAAAAACCGTTACCCTGAAATCAGTAAACATCAGGTTAACATTGAAATTTGATCCAAGATTGTGGAGCAAAAAAAAAATGACCAAACAATTGTAATTAAGGATACGAAATGTGATTAAATTGTTACAATAACGATAATCATATCTGATAATTATCCAAGGATTATGATTAATTAATTGTAATTACCTTATAATAACCTGTTCTGACAAAGTGTTGCCTTCCAATATCAACAGCGTTAATTGTTTCGGATGAAGTTGTTGACTTAATAAGAGAGAGAGAAGGGAAAAAATCCTCATTAGTTTTCTTGTTGATTGTTGATTGTTTTCTGTTAATTAATTTGTGATGAGACTTTTATATATTGATGATCGAGAAAAACTTAAATAACTAATATTTACCGTTACACTTGGACGATTAATACTATTAGTGGATCCAAGTTTTTTTCCTCGTTTCCTTTTATCGTTCGTTAAAATATCTTCCCATTTAATCTTCCAGCTCATTGAAGCAAGTTCAGCTTCTAATTTATAATGTCTATCGTTAATTAATGTAAACAAAGTGATAGAAACAATTAATCAACCGGTCAATTGGTCAAAGAATAGGGAGAGAGAATTGATATGAAAATAGTTATATAACCACCTAAAAATTAGGAATGATAATATGCACAAGGCGATGAGAAGAGCACTTAAAATTGCAGAGATGATTCCATGATGAGGATAATCTGTTGAAAAAGAAAAGTTTTTTTTCCATAAATGAGATTAGATTAGTTTAAGAGATTAAGATTATCGGTGAGATTTACCTTCATCTATGCACAAGGCACCATCGAATCCACATTCTGGTGTATCGGGTGGTGCGGTTTCCCTGCCACCCGACCAATGGATTCGTTTACCGGGTATATCGATAACTTCTTTGTTTGCTGAGAAATAGTTGGCGACCACTTCGAAGTTACCAGAATCTGGATCCATGTCCAAAAGTGAATAATCTGCATTACGATCGCCATTTTCATCTATTGAAACATTACCCGTAATCCCTGATGAATAATTAATTCAAGGTTAGAACTTTGTTATTATTTTGTTTACTTTTCCATTGGTCGATTTACCTTCAAAGGTCCGATTCCACATTTTCCTTGTAATTACTGTACCATTGATGATTGAATGACCATCACTTAAGGCTTCATTGAGAGCAACAGCATAAAGGATTACAGCCTCATGAAAAGCGGTAACAAAAGTATTGACCTGAACAAATGACCAATATCATATTTATTATGACATTAATCCCATCAAAATATCAAATTATTACTCAATGATTAATGAGTAGAGACTAATGATCATTAACAATTGTCATTATATTAATGATAACAAATGATGATGATGATTGTTAATTGTGTCAACATTAGGGTTACATAAACTTTTTTTTGTGTCACTTGTACTCACACAGTAATCGCAACAATTAGTCGATTCCCTTGGTAACTATTATTATCAGTGATAATTACAATCAGTGGTAATATCAGTTACCATTAGTGAACAACAATGGTCATTGATTATTTTTTTCAACAATCAATAGGAGGCAAATACACTAAGGGTGATCACATAAATCACGATGTGTAACTTGACCACTACACTTTATCATCGATAATTATTTTCTGCAATTTAATTTCGCAATTCAATTGATTGATTCATCTATCATCTACCAATTCTAATATATTATAGTAGGTAGAGGATTGAATAGATTATTAAATTCAGTTAATTACCTCTTCTTGTTTATAATCGTAGCCATACTTTTCTTTGGCTATCTCCTTGACCGCTTTGGCAAAGCTTGCATATTCAGGTGTGTCTGGTACTCGAGCTGTAACGGTCAATAAAGCTTCGTATGCTCTTTTGGCCTTATCGTTACGATCGTCGGTATCATCTTCACGAAACCAAGGACGTCGTGATTCCTGTTTACTTTAACGAGAAATATATAAATAATTATTTTTATTATCATGAGAAAATGATTTATTTTCGAGAATTGAAATATTATCAATCATAACAATTGATTCATCATTTGATTGTGACAATCAAGAAGAAGGAGGAGAAACTTTTGCACAATTAAGACGGAAAAAAATACGAATTAAGGATATACCAGATTAGAGAGAGAGAGAGAGAGAGAGAGAGAGAGAGAGAGAGAGAGAGTAAGATATTGATAATCTCGAGGCAAATATCATCCAGGGAATGATATGAATCTGCTCAGGCATTTAGGATTAACTCTGAACAATCCTGATGATGGATAAGATTGAAAACTTTGAAATGAAAAATATTGTGAAGACTTTAAGTACTAAGAATTGTTATTAAATCTTAAATTGTTACAATCAATTAACGTATTACTGGAGAGAAACAAAATCCCAAATAATGAGCGAAGGGAAAATTTCAACTATTATTTCAACTAATATTTATCTGATTGTATTAATAAATCGATTCTATTGGTGATTGGATATTGCTGATTGTTCCTGAATTTTTTATGCTCTTCAAAACAAAAATTATAATGTTTCGAAGTAAAAAATTGACCCACCAAAAAGTGATCATATTCACGCTACAAGAATACACTACTGACCTTAAATCTTAATCTTTGAATGGAACAAACCATCTAACCCAATGAATCTCACCAATTGCCAAGATTCAGATAATAACTGAATTAAATTGATTAAAGAACGAAAAAAAAAAGTTCTGATCGAATCTCAATTGCATTCTAATTACGACTAATTGTTTTACTCCAACTTGATCATTCATTAGATTGATGTCATTTACAACCGGTAAGAAACCAATTGATATTCATGACTAAATAAATATCTCTTCATTCACCATGAAAAAAAAAGTTCTGAGTTTCTAAGATTCTCTCCATTATTTTCTCTGAGGTTTACATGATAATCTCCAGAGTTTTCCTTTAACTACAAAAAAAACATTGAGACAACAGGTTGATAAAGTTTTCCATATTATTATTACATGTAGTTAAGTGTTATCATCAATTGTATATATAAGATAAAAGGATAAACAGGAAGAGGAAACAAAAGCAAATGGTCAATATTTACCTTGTAAACAATTCAATGCTGAAGAAAACATAATCACCACTCCCTGACATCCCAAGGTCATCAGCTGCTAACATGATTTCCCGAATTGAATCAGATGAGGCACACATAACGACAACTATAATGAGAGATTGAGATAATTAAGAGAGCGAAACAATTTAATACAAATTAGATTAACAATTTATTGGATTTACTATTCAATAAATACTATTGATGATAATGTAACCATTTACAATCGGGTTACAAATAAAACTTATTAATGGGATACATTTAGTTGGTTCAAGTTTTCTCATTCTATCCAAATCAATATACAGAATTTTATTTTGTCAAAATCAAATTAAATCGGTGAAATTATTATTTATAATTCAATTGAAATTCATTCAATGAAATTTAAATCTTCAATTGATTGTTGAAGTGTTCATGAAAACCTTTCAATGCTTTATATTAATAGCATTTGTAATTTTGTATTTATTATGATAATTTATTGATCATTGAATATCAACATAATAATTGTTTGTGTACTGATTTAAGATTAACTAATTTAATTTGGTTCAATATGGTTTCCTTAATGTTAATAATAAGACATGAAAAGATTTACAATTTAAAAATGAAATTTAGATTCGTTGTTACAATGACTTGGAGTGGATTTGTTTTCTTAATTATTTGTTGGACAATTTGATTAACAATCAATCAGAAATTATCTACAAAGTGTAACACATTTAATATTAAGTAATTGTTGTTATTAGCAATACTAAATTAAGTTACAATTTGATACCAATCAATAGATTGATAATCAATCAACTCTTAGGAAAAGAGTTAATTGTTATAAACTATTTACTTGTTAATTGTCATCACAATTACGATTAGTTTGATTTCCACAAGGAATTGATGATTTATTAATGATAATTATAATTACAGAATACAAACTGTTAGTTGATTATCATTTAATAATCTTGATAATGATCAAATTTTACGCTTAAATGATTAAACATATTCTCCCAATGATTAACCTGTTCCAAGTTTAATCAAACCAAACAAATCAAATTCAATTAAATGATACAATTAAATATTAATCATCTATTTAACTCTCTCGATGCTGGTTTAATCTGTGAAAGTGGATTAATTTTAATCATCATCTCGAAACATCAATCAATCCTTGTGAGTGTTACAGTTAATATATTGATTGTAATTACTTTTTTTCCTCTCTGACAATTAGTTATTTGATTGCTGAAAGTTGTGCGTTTATATTTAGAGCCTTAAGCTGTTTACCTTTTTTTACCTGATGTGAGGATGGAAATTAGGATCTAATTAATTTGGATCCGAATTTTAATTGAATTTAATTTCATATCTTTTAATATTTACTCATTTCATTTAAATTCATTTCTTTTATTTTTATTGTTAAAACAATTTAACTATTGATCTTAATTAGGTATCTAATGATACCTTTCCCTCTTTAAAATTACCAAAATTATGATTTAAGAAAGAGAACAAATTTCTCTTTCTTTTGTTAAGATGAACAATATGTTAAATTGTTAACCTTTTCATTTTATACTTTTATCATCATTTAGCTTTAACTAACGTTTGTTGATTAGATTTGACCTAATGGCTTATCGAAGCAACTTTGATTATCTTCCCCCATTTTAATTTGTAACCCCCTTAAATTTGTTTAGAAACAAAGATTAATCTTCAATTGAAGTTAAGTTTACTTTCAACTTTTGATTAGTCGACTTCCTTTTTTTGTGTTCAACTTTGTTCTTTTCTAAGAATTTCAATTCAATTCGAATTTCCCCTGAACAATTATCATTGTTCTTTTCTTCAATTAGAGTACCTCCAAGTCTCATTTTCTTACACTTATTAGTGTTTTTCTTTTCATTTGTTTTAATAAACATTTAAACCAATAATTTGGTTAATTGATAAATCTTGGTAAGTCCCCCTCTAATTGAAACCAATTAAAGAATTGAATCACTGTTGATCCTGAAAGATCCTGAATAACTTGGCGTGAAAGGCAAGTTAAATTTTCCAGCCATTTTAATCTCAACTATAATTAAGTTTAAACCTCATCACTTTGGTGATATTTTGTGATCTTTGAATCAACAATGCACACATTTCCTTTTAGTGAAAGACTTTGTCTCTTCATTCAAAAACTCAACCTTTCACTTGGTGCTGTCACCAGGATTGGTAGTGCTTTCATCTTTAATTGGTGTTGTGTATCTTGTGCTTTGACACTATTATGCCTCGTACTTCTGTTAAGGTAAAAACCTTACTTTGAGGAAGTTAAGGATCTATTCCGAACGTGGTCAATTCCACCACTGGTACTTGCTTCAATTTCACAAGAAATTGATCGATGTCAAAGACATTTTCTACTTATTGGTGAATCTTTGGATTCTTCAACAATTCATCAACTACCCATTGATGATCTAAGAAATCAGGAAATTCCTGAATGGGTTACATCAGCTCGTATTGCTGGTATTAGTGAAGATGAACTTCAACTGTTCATCCAAAAAATTGGACGTGATGAAGAAACGATTCTGACCATCACTTATTGTGATTTATCTTCCCTTTCATTTTCATTGGGAACTCTTCGAAAATTCCAAAATGTTCTTAATGAACATGGTGCTTCAATCATCGCTCCAAATCAACCTACTGGTTCATCTTCAACTTCAACTAATGTTGACTCATCTTCCCCTGTTACTTCCAATTCTAATGAACTATTGGTTTCGTCCTTGGCTCAATTCGCTCAATCTCTAAGGAGAGATCCGGAAGTAACTGAATTCCAAAAAGGTGAAGATATGATTGCTTGGGTCAACAAAACCAAATCAAGGCTTCAACAGGAAAATGTCGACGATGAGACTCGCCTCCGTTGTTTCCGTAAAGGTATGGCTTATGAACTTTAAATACCGCTAAATCTATCGATTCCTCAATCACTAATTATCGTGATTACATTAATGCTCTTTTGGAGAAATTAAATTGCCCTTCAATGCAATACTCCGCTGATTTTGAATTAAGACAATTTCGCTATCGCTTAGACGATCACCCTTCAAATTACTTTGACCAATTAACAAGTCTTGTTCATAAATCTTATGGATCTCAAATTCTGACAAAATTTCACTGCAGAAATTGTTAATCATTTACCTTCATTCATTCGTGATGAAATTTATGTTCTTGGCGTGAACACCGATCGAGATAAGATCTTTAATGTCCTTATTAGGAAACACTTTGAATACACTCAACAAATGAAGCTGAATAAAGCTAAAGCTTCAAAGCCTTTTGACTCTAAAGGTAAAAACGAAGGAAAAAATTCAACTTTTGGGAAAATGTTTAAACGAAACAATCAACCTCAAAAGCCTTCAAATTCTAACTCATCTAAATCTTCTAAGGAAGAAACTTGTCGATATTGTAAAGACGAAGGACATGATGTTTTCAATTGTCCAGTTCTCGCCAGAAAGAAGCAATTTCAAAACCTGCCAACAGTTTCTCGTTCAATTCATCATCATCAACCAATTCCGCTCCTCAAGCTAATAATTTACTTACAGTTCATCCGGAACCTGAATCTTCAGCTCTCCGTCAAACTGAATTTTCTTTGCAGTTTCGCCTGCTATTCAACCAATTACTCAACTTGGTCCTTCTTTTCTTCGCTATATGCCACAAGCAACTTTTAAACTTTGCAAGCCGAACCGTGAGTTCCTAAAGGAAGGTAATGTTCTTCTTGATACTGGATCAAATATTTCAGCTTTAGATGCTAATGTCGCAAATGAACTTGAGTTCATACCATTCATTTTGATCGAGTTCTTAGGAATTGTATCCAATTCTTATGTTCGATCTCAAGGTTATGCATATGCTCTAATAAAGCATCCAGATATGACGGAATCACGAGTTCTAAAACTTCAAATTGTCAAAGACTTTGAGCCTGTTTGTCTCATTGGAAATTCCTTCATTCATTTATACTACATGAGTATGGCAAGCGATGGACTTGAGTATAAAATTAAGGTTAAAGAAACACCTATGGGTGAACTTCTCGATCCCACTTTCTACTTTAGATTTTGCACCTGAGGAAACACAAAATAATTCAAACCGCAACTAAAGTTTCTGAGATTCCAACTCTTCATTTATCATCGATCAAATTAAAGCAAAGATTGATGATCCTGCTGTTAAAATTGATCTAATTAATTCAGATCAACGAACTTTCAAGCTATTACTTGATGATGAAAGTGCTATTATCGCACGTTGTGATCTTGCTGATCCACTTGATATGAAACTCATTGAGTTCATTGAAAAATTGAAAAGAATTGATCCTTCTTTGATAAGTCTCAACGTAGACAATTAATTGAATTATTTGATAATTATCAAGATTGTTTTCTCATCATAAACATGATCTAGGTTTCGTCCTTCTGAAATTTGTCCTGTTGAAATTGATATCGGAGACAATCCTGTTCCTTATCAGAAACCACAATTGTCCCTCTAATCGTCGTGAAGCTTTTAAAAGCATTATTAAAGATATGATGGAACACAATTTAATCGAACCTTCTGATGCCGAAGGTGGTTCTCCGTCAATTTTGGTTCCACGATCTGATGGATCCTTTAGGATGGTAACAGACTATCGTCTTCTAAATCGACTTACCAAGGTTCCACGTTACCCAATGCCCCGCATTGATGACATTATCTCTGTGGTAAGAGGAGGTCAATATTTTAATATGTTTGACCTTGCTCAAGGTTATCACCAAATTGAGCTTCCAGAAAAAGAACGCGCTAAAACGGTTTTTGTTACCCCTGATGGGAAATATCAATATACTCGCTTACCTATGGGATTAAGCGGTGCTCCATTCATTTTTCAACGACTGATGAACAAAGTGCTCGATGGTTTACAGTATAAAATCTGCATCGGCTACTTCGATGATATTCCTGTGGTAGGAAAAACTTTTGAAGAATTAATTGCTAATACAATCTTGGTCCTTGAACGATTTAGGAAATATAACCTAAAAGTTAAAGTCGAAAAATGTGATTTTGGATTCAAGGAAATTCTTCTTCTTGGACACCTCGTAAGTGGTGATGGTGTTCGTCCTGACCCTAAGAAGGTCGAAGCTTTGAAAAAATTACCATACCCAAAAAATGTTAAACAAC